AGATGTGGTCGATAAGTCGGGGTCAACAGCCCTACACCTTGCAGCTTCGCGTGGCCACTGCAGGGTTCTCGAGCTACTCCTCCTTTCGATGGGTACAAACATTGAGGCACGGGACTCTAAAGGGCGAACGGCTCTCTGGACTGCGGCTGAAAGAGGTGAAGTAGAGGCCACAGAATTACTTCTCCTTTCCAACGTGAAGGTCAACACACGTGCGGATGCGCAGATGACTGCTCTCCACATAGCAGCCAAACAGGGAGATGACGCTATTGTTGAGCTGCTGGTCAACGGAGGTGCCGACCTAGAAGCCAGGGATGCTGCGATGATGACAGCTCTACACTATGCTTGTGAGGAAGGCCACGTTAGGGTAATAGAAACTCTCCTTGACAACAAAGTGAATATTGACATCCCTGGCTGCGACATGAAAACGCCGCTCATTTGCGCCGCTGCTGCGGGTGGTCTTTCAGCAATCAAGTTGCTTTTAAAGAAGAAGGCCTCTATTAGACGTGTTGATGATGCTGGTCTGACTGCGCTACATTGGGCTGCATATAATGGACATAGAGAAATTGTGGAGATACTCAGCAGTAGGAAAATCTCCCTGACCACTGTGGATTCGAAAAGCCGAACAGCGCTTCATTCGGCATGTATGAACTCGCAATTTGACGCCGTGGAGATTCTTCTTCGAAAGCATGTACCTCTAGAGGCAAAATGCCAGGCTGGACTCACGGCACTTCATTACGCATGCCTTGCTAATAGTGTCGAAATTTCAAGACTATTGCTCATGTCAAGTGCTGACATCGAGGCTCCGATAGAGGCACAACTCCATAGGCGCCCTGTGCATATTGCAGCTATCCAGGGCTCAATGGGGCTTCTAAACCTGCTCTGTGACAAAGGCGCCAACATGGAGGCTCGGGACTCTTTAGGATACCGAGCGCTTGGAGCAGCAAGCCGGGCCGGTCATGCTGCTGCTGTTCAAAACCTACTTAACCGTGGGTCACCAGTACACCATTCACCACCCGATACATTGGGCCGAGAGGATTCTCCTTTGTGTCTTGCTGCAGTTGGGGGACACCTGCCAGTTGTCTCTCTTCTTCTAGAGCGCGGTGCATCTGTGTTAAAAGAGGACGAACAAGGTTGGTTGCCATACCAACATGCGGCATATCATGGCAATCCGCGCGTTCTCGAGCTCCTTCTACCTCGAACTCTGGCCGGCTTAGCGCCAGGTACCTTAGGCTCAACACGTCCACTGGATGCTATCGGATTTGCTCCAGCTGCAGATATATCAGAGGAGCGCAAAAAAGAAGTATTGGGTTTGCTACGTCGAGTACAGCATCAACCGGAGTCTTTTGCGCAGAGTAAAGCGACCCCAAATGCCCCTTCATGTACTCCAGAAAGGCACCGAGTGACTGAGAGCACTGTTGCAGGGAATGTAAGAGCTGGATTAGCGCATCTCGCATCACCTGCGGCGATGATTCCAGAGCGAGAATCCAGGGCCCACTCTACGCAAGAGCTCCCAGGTTCATTAGAACAAGGATTGCCCGTTAGCCGATCGCAGACACCAGAGCACATGCATCGTCCACCCAATAGTGAAGAACAAGCGCTTTCATCTCTAACGCTGAGAACGGCATTGGAGCGAAACCCACCATTGCAATCCGGGCAAAATCAACAAGTGCCTTTTGTTTGGGAGCCCCAGCAGTCGTCGACTCCCCCAAGGCCGCCGTTAAGTCATCCAGCTCCTGTCCGTGAGCAGGCAATCCAGCCCGACAGACTACTCAGAAACGGGGATCTGTTCAGAGAGCGCTTCATCGACACCCCGGTGTCCATAGTTGAAGAAAGTTCAGCCTTGGCTAGGGAAGGACCTCCTTCTCGCAACGAAGGTCAGGAGAGCTGGAGTGATAACAGAGTACACCCACCAGCCTTTACTTTGACGTCAGGGCGTGATTTGGATTCGGATTCGGATTCGGATTCGATAGCATCATTTTCTACTGCCTCCGAAGGTGCCGAGCTTAGACCGGCGGATATGGCTGAACTTCCAGCATAACTTCTTCATTACCCCCCCCTCCCCCCGTTATATATCCATTTGAATATCCGACACGTACCTATGAAATATAGACCATCGTTTGTAAATAGCTTTTGTCATGAATATGAGTCGTTCCTCCTATCATGCATTTATAGCGCTGGCTCATTGGGTTGCAAGACAACTTTTCTGAAATGGAAGCCCTAAAAGGATGCATAGAATAATCCACACAACTGCTTTTGCATGAGAACTCTAATTATACCTCTCCCGACTTGCGTAGGCTACATGTGTGTTTACTCCTTGGTTACTACTGTGAGCTTTTGCGAGGGCCGTTTAAAAAACTAAGCTTGGGTATCATGCAAAATGACTATGCTCGTCATGCTATCTTAGGATAATATATAACAAAACTGTGCAGTTACTTCCCGACGCAAAACTTCTCGAAAACCACGCCCAGCACATCCTCGACGTCGCCACTTTCGCCCTTTCCCGTAATTGAGGCAAGGGCTTCAGCACCATAACGAAGATGCTCCGCCGCCACCACGATGTCCACCTCCAATTCGGGCATTCTGTTAGGCGATGGAGTAGCCTCAGCGAGAAAATCATCTAGGCTTTGCTGGCATATTTGAAGATTTGTACTCTGCCGATGACTCACTCCTAGGGAGTCTTCCCAGTATGATCGATCGTACTGTCCATTTGCATCCCCGTCTACTCCATGCGGAGTAGCCATTTCCTCGAAGGTTGAGATCAGACCCTGTAGGAAGGACGGCCAGGTGCTCGTCTCCGAATGTTCGGGTGTATCTGAATGCTCAAGGCACGAGATGGCGAAGAGGCGCTTCATTGGAATTTCGAGGAAGAGCTGGCTCACTTGCAGAGCTAGCTCGTGAGGCGCGTGAGCTAACTCGCTCCGGTCCAGTGGCGGCAATCGGTCACATTTATTGATGGCGACGATTATATGCTTGCCTGCGCGCACACACTCATTGGCCGCATCGACGACATCTGGCTCTACAGCAAGTCGATACGGCGTGCCTTTCTCGAGTCCATCCTCCACAGAGATAACCACAACGACCACATCGGATTCTAAGGCTCGCGAGCGAGCCCGCCGAATACCTTCTTTTTCAACAGCACCAATCATCAATGAAACATCTCCTGGGTTTCCATTGGGCTCGGATCGGATCCCTGCCATATCTCCCAATTTGCAATACCAGCCGCCCAAGTCGATTCCAACATCCACAATATCCCTGGTAGTGCCTTCTTCCGTACTGACAATAGCGGCCTCTCGCCCAACAATTCGGTTTAAAATAGAGCTTTTACCTGCATTCGGGGCTCCAAGAAGGGCGACCTTAATCCCGCTACGCATCAACTCGCCCTTTGATGCGTTTTGGATGTGCAGTGCAATCTGCCGACTGAGGGCCCGCACCTGCGACGCCACCGATAAGACCAACTCGTCAGAGGACTCATCAAAGTGTTGGTCCTCCGAAAAATCAATCAGTGCCTCAAGCTCCCCACGTGCGTAAAGTAACTGCTGGCGCCACTGTTCGTATCGCTTCGACAACGCATCGCTCGCACCACGTACAGCCAGGCGCCGCTGTTGTTCCGTATCTGCCGCTAGGGTGTCACCCAACGCTTCAATCTGCGGCAGACCAAGTCGGTTGTTCATAAACGCTCGTCGTGTAAATTCGCCTGGCTCTGCGTACCGCACAAGGCGGTCGCTCCCGCCAGAGCCCGCGATAGCTGCCAGGACAGATCTGACAATTGCAGGCCCTCCGTGAAGGTGGAATTCCAATACATCCTCTCCGGTGACGGTCTTAGGCCCGGGAAAGTATAATACCAGTGCACCAGCATCTAAGACTCCCGCTTGGCTGGGTAGATCGTTCGAAGTCGGATCGTAAAGAGTGCGAACCGCTGCCACGCGGGGTCGTGGTAGTGGTGCTTTAGGGCAGAGCGTTCGGTAAACCTAGAATAAATGATCAAGGAGAAATCAGCTCACGGTTCTTTTTATTCCTAGAGGCGAGGTGCAATTCTCCCTACCGTGGCGCAGGCCGGCCCAGAAACTCTGACTACAGCAATCGCAGCTCGACCAGGAGCTGTAGAGAGGGCGTATATGGTGGAGTCGCCCTCATGAATCCGCAAATGTTGTGGCGATACCGACAACGATCGAGTTTGCGGGAAAGATGGTACGGTGGTATTCAAGGCATGGCGGAATAAATGCGCTCTAACCCAGAGTTGATTCCACGGCGAGCGAATGGCAGTAGCAACGCATCGCACGTGTCGAAAGAGATGCGCCCGCATGCGCGGAAAATATTAAAATGCTGGAAACGTGGACTAAATGAATTGAATTGATGACGGTTGAAGGAATTAATGGTTGATTGCGTTCTACATCTCGGAAGTCTGTCGGACAAGATGCAATGTCCGCGTCACGTGGGTCTACTATGCCGGCACAGGGAAAAAAACCCAAGAGACCCCCAAGCAAATATATTCTGGTGATACACGATCAGGATAATTTAATCATTTCGTCACGCCTGCGTGTCGAATGGCAGAACCGTACGCTCAATTCTTGACCAATATGACCAGACAATCGGCTCAGTAAGAAGGAGAATATGTACAGGATCTGTCGTCTCAGAAAACCAAAGGAAATGCTCAGGGATGCAGCCAAAAATGTACTCTTGAAAGGAAGGGTGTAAAACAGATATCGCAGGAAGATGCAAGAGATGTAATGAGAGGAGGAAAAGATGATCATAACATCAAACCTGGTCCCGTCACGCTGGCTAGTATAAACGACAAAACAGAAAAAGAAATCAGGAACGAAAGGGTGAAGAGTCGAGGACGACGAACCGAAGAAATATTATACATAATATGGGTAGTAATGAGTTCTCCGAGACGACATCAGATGGTCTATCAAAACATTATATTAGGAAACGGAATTTGTAGTAGGTCGGTATGTGGTGTCAACATTGTCGCGTTCTCCTTCGTTCGAAACAGCATTTAGCTAGCTCGATGAAGGGCGATTCTCATCATCAGGCGTATCCGAAGCATTCGATGATAAAACAATAGTTGGAGTGTTCGACGTTGGATTTTCTCCATTTGGTGGACTCGAAAGAGCCATATTGTCTGGATCCATGGGCTCATCGAGGGAGGTTGAAGTCGGTTCGGTTACAGGCGACAAAGGCGTAGTATCAGTGCTGTCCTTACTTCCACTAGTTGCTCCGTTGCGCCTCCTTTGTCGACGCTTTCTGCGTTCTTCCTCTGCACTTTCTCGCCGTCTCCGTGTGCGTTCGGGGTCGGTATTATCTCTTAGCCCTTGCAGCATGCTCGCTGCACGGTCCGCGACGTCCTCGCTTCCCGTGCCCCCAGTTCCTTCAGATTCCGGAATTGGAGGACTCAAGAGGTCGGAGTCGGTGCCATTCGGGTCAGCAGTACCACCATTCTCCCCCTCTGCACCGTTATCCTGGCCTTCGGAGTCTTCAAAATCAGGTATCTTCTGCCCGGAGGCGACTCGAACCTGATGACGTTCCTTCAGTCTCGCGCGGCGGCGACGGTCACGCTGATCCTTGGCCTGAGGAGCAGCGGCACGTAACTTCTCCAAGAGTGAATCCATAGCTCCGCTCGTAGCTGGAGAGAGCGGAGAGTCTCCAGTTCCACCCACACCTGCACTGTTCGCAAGGCCAGCATTAATGCGTTTACGAGCCAGAGACGCTTCAGTGCGTTTCCTAACTTCCTCCAGCGTCATGTTCTTCTCCCTAGATTTCTGTAAATCACAGTTAGCAGAGTTACAAAAAAGGGTCAAAAAAAAACTGCATCTGTAGCGACCTACCTTCCACTCTTGTAAGAACGCAGCCAGTTTCGCAAAGAAGTCGCGCCGAGCACCATCGTCGGAGTTATCCTCGCCGTAAAAGACCATTATATCATCATAGGATTTGACCATTTCTTCCAGATAGAGCTGCAATTGCTCCGCTTTCCGCCTGGCATCCTTCATACTGCGTTGAGTAATCTGGCTGACACGATCATGAGGGTGGAACTTCTTCGGATCGCTGAGATTCCCTGCATCCAAGCTTGCCTGCACATTCTTGATGTTGTCGATGTACTTCTTTGCATCCGTCCGTAGCTGGTCAACATTGAGCTTCTGGAGGCCGATAACGCCGCCGATTTCATCAGTGAAGTCTTCCCATTCCGGATATTGGTTCCGAACAATACGTTCGACAAGATCAGCAAACGTGGTCTCGTTCTTGTCGTCTTTGACCATTCCGAGGCGAGCCAAAGAGCTCAATTTGAAACCCTGGGCCTGTTTGTTGGCGTCGTTCATGAAGTTACCAATATCTAGGATTAAGCCGAGCACGTTCATTAAGGAGACAGAGTCTCTTAACGATTCGCTTACTCGAACAACCTCTTTAAGTTTCGCAGAGATATGTTCATAATCCTGTTCGAAAGAGCGAGTCAACGAAAGCGCGCGCATTCTTGCCTTCCAGTAGTGGTTCAGTTCGAATGCAGTATAAAGGTAAATTTGGTCTTCGCGAGTGAGCTCGTTGGGATCCTGTTCTCGTTCGGAGCTGGCGGCATCAGGTCCGGTCCAGTCCTTGCTGTACGGCGCCATGAGTTTCGATACATTCTCGGGAATTGTACACAGCTCATCCCGCTGTAGGAACTCCATAACAACCATGTTATCCAGCATTTCGGTGTCGCAGTGGATGATTCTTTTGACAACATCTTCGGCAGGGTACTGAGAGAATTTGGACAGGGCGATCTGGAAATTCTTGGACAAATCGTTAGAGATTATTTGTTTCTTGTCCTTCCGCTGCTTGGCTGCAACACCCCCTCCGAAAATCTTGGTCTCCTTGGCCATGAATAGTCGTTCTACTTCATCCAGTACACCCTTCTTGGCCAGCTCGGTGTACTTCTCCTCCTTATCCTCGGGATTGTTTGCGTGCGTTGCCCATACTGTAACCTGTGGCGCATCGACCTTATCCCAGTGGAGGGCCTTGAGCTTCTTCTTGGGTCTAATGGATGACATGGCAGGCATGGCATGCGATGGAGCGCCTTGTGAAGCCAAGTAGTTTGCTCTCCACCCCCCAATTACTGTACCGGGTGGGGGTGGTGGTGGTGGTGCTCCAAACACACCAGGTGGCGGCGGTGGGGGAGGCATACCGACAGCGCCTGGTGGAGGCGGCGGCGGCGGTGGGGGAGGAAAGGCTGCTCCTGATCCTGGGGGCGGAGGAGGAGGCGGCGGCGGCGGAGGAGCTGCCCCAGGGAGGCCTGGTGGAGGCGGTGGAGGCGGCGGCGGAGGGGGGATTGCTCCAGAGACACCTGGTGGGGGAGGCGGCGGAGGAGGAGGAGGTGGTGGTACGGCGCCTTCACCCTGGGCTTTCTTTTCGTCTTCCAGCGCTTCGTCGCTCTTGGTGGCCACTTCTGCTCCTTGTTCTGCTTCTGGCTGTCCAGCTTCAGTCAACTTAGCGCCTTGCGTCTCATCATAAGCATCGATCTTTGGAACCTTAGCAGCGATTTCGCCGAGAAGGCCAGTTGCTTGTTCTGGATTCATGCGCGGCCGGTGAACATCCACAATCCGCGCCTGTTCATAAACAACTCCTTCATCATTTTGATCTTGCTCCTCGGTGGGTGTATTCTCCATGCCCTGGATGTAGGTCCTCTTTCGGTACACAGATCCCACCGGGTTCATGCTGAGATTCAGGCGAGCTTGTTCCTCAAAATCTTCATTGGGCCCGACATCACCATCCATTTGCTCGCGGAGTTCGCGTAGTCGGTCTGATGGTCCGTGCTGACCCCAGACTTTGCCTTCCAGCTTGAACTGGGTCTTCGTCCTCTCAAGCTGCCTCTCCAGCCGTCCCAGTAGCTTCTCCCGATCTAGAATACCATTCATCTGAGCTGGATCAACTTCAGCATTCTCTAGGTTGGCTTTCTTGGCATTCGACGCAGCAATATCTTGAGCATCTCGGAGCATGAGATAGAGTTCTCGAGTCTCCAGCTCGTTTCTTTGCAACTCCTGAGCACGAAGCCTCTGAACATCTGAGAGCTCGGCCTTAATCATCTCGTTTTGCCTGCTCTGGAGCTCGATTATGCCGGTCTGCTCCTCAATCTGCTTCTGCAACTTTTTCACCAGCCCATCAGCACCTAGCTCAACTTGGGCCTTCATCTCATCACGTTCAGCAATTGCAGCCTCCGCGATTTGTCGAGCTTCCAGATTCTCGTCGTAAGCTTGCCTAGCCTCGGCATCCGTATGGAGTCGATCTAGCAAGCTTTGCACAGTGAATGTCAACCCCTGTCGCAGGTCAAGATCCGGTAGTCTCCTGTCCATGGCAACGTAACTGAGCATAGCATCCACAAGTTGGTACATTCTGAGACCGTCCTCCCCAGAGTTCTCCCGGATTAAAAGCAGATGCTGCAAAGCAGAAAGGAAGTAGTCATGAGATCTTGTCCCATTGATGCGAGAAGCGATAGCATCTGTGATCTGGAGCGGGTCCGTCATGTCCTTTACTTCTCCTTCGATGCTGTCCTTCGTACTGCCGCCCTCCCGTTGCAGAAGATCTTCGTAATCAATGGCTTCATTCTCCCGGAAATGCTCAATTTGTTTGTCAATGACTTCGTATTGAAAGCCCTCCATCTTCGTCAATAGACGTTTAATGCCGCATGATATGAACTGCGCTCGGATATGGCATCGTAGCTGTAAGTCATGCTCCGGTGCATCCACCAGCATGTTGATAAGGATCATGCTGGAGACTGCATATTCCATGAGAAGATTCTCCATCCCGACACCACCACTGCGATACTCCTCGCTCGCACCGACCAGGCTACCCATCTTTCCACGGCCGTCTACTGTTACCTCAACGATACGCATCCAGGCATCAAAGCGGCCGGTTTCACCCTGGTGGTTTTTAACATGGTCCAGAGCTTGCAAGACTCTCTCATGGCCCTGTCCATCCGCCCAGTGGCAAAGAAAAGTGAGAACCTCGCTCGCGAGTTTCCTGGTGTTCAAACGGGGGGAGAGCAACGAGCTGATCAGGGCCACAATGATTTGCTGATGGGTGAGGGCATCATCCGCGCCATATTTGTTGTTCATCAGCGCTTTCAAACATTTGACGATATCGTACTCGCGGTCCAAGTCCTTGTCGCCAGATGGGGGTGCAGGGACGGGGCCCGTAACTTTCTTGCGGTTGATCTTTACGAGTACGTTCGTCAAAGCGATTTGACCCTGTGCCTCAACGAACGCTTTCACCCAACTGATCGGTTGCGTTCGCAGACTGACACTCAAGCTTGCCAGCTGTTTCGATGTTATCGTGTCGTCCATTACCTTCTTCACATACCACTCCGGGCTTCCCTCTTCGTCTGCTCGTTCCAGAATCCCTGATGGGCCATCATATCCGTGAGTCTGGCGCGCATGCTGTTTGCGCTTCTGCTCCCCTTGTAGTTCCGTCAAGCGGTCTTGGTGAACCAGTGTCCATTTCTTCGATGCCGGATATGCCATCATTTGCCGTCTAGCTTGCTCCGGGAGATTTTGCCAGCCCCGCTTCTGCATTAATTCGAAGAAGAGCTGATCCACAATACGATCATCTCTTGGTCTGGTGAGATATTGCTCTGTACTGTGTGCTACCCTCGGTTGGGCCGGTGGGATGGCGGATTGAGAGCTCGATCCACGGCCGGAGTTTGCAACGCCAAAATAAGTATTCCGATCCGCCGTATGTTGAGGCCCAGGCGTACGCGACGAAGCGTCTGTTGAGAAGTAACTTGAACCCCTAGTGTTCGACGAATGTGAAGAGTGGACACTGGCTTGGTCAATGGACATGCGAGAGTTTGTGGAGGAATCCACCGTCGACAATGAGTGGTGACTAAACCCAGTATTAGCTGCAGAGCTTCCAGGTCTCCCCCACTGTTGATATCGTGCACCCCTATCTCCGGTAGAACTTGAGCTCATTGCTACACCGGTGGCATGTGGTGGTGGCCGGGGCCCCGTTGGGTGTGAATATTGTTGCTTCATATCGGTCGGGTTCCACGCCGGATACTGGTGGAAATCGCCTGGTAATTTCGCTAAATGTCCCGGTGATGGCTCCTTTCGGGGTGAGGTCTCAGCCTTGGAAATAGAATCGACAGGAATCGGCGATTTGGTATCGGTTGACAAGCTATCGAAGGGTATCGACGTAATTACGCCTCCTGGCGTTGTGAGATAAGAGGGGTCTATTTCGTTGCCAAAATCCACAGACTGGACTGACGACCGCTTCGAATATCGCGATGAACGAGAACCGGCGGCACTTGACGGAGGGGCGAGGGTCTCCAAACTCCCATGGGCATCGTACCGATCCTCCGCTGATTTCTCCTTATGTAGCTTCCTCCCAAAGAAAGACTTGCCTCCTGATGTTTGTCTCGATTTATCAGAGGCGGATGTGGTAGTTGGCATTTTGACGTGCGTCGCTGGAAAGTTGCAGAGCGCAGCATGAGCGTCGTCCGCTAGACAAAGAATCGGCTAGCTAACAGGTTTCGTTTTCCGTTGTTCAGTCGACAATACCTAGACAATCCAGGACTTCGCACAAAGAAGGTGACATCAAACTTCAAGCGAGTGATAACTAACAATAGGTTGCTAGGTTGCTTTGCACTCCTGGCGGATTTGCGCTAGTCTCGCCGCTCCGCAGTTAGAACAAGAGGGGATAGACACCAGTCTGTCACCTTCCTCCTTCTCTAGACATCCGGAGAATTGTCAAGAGCGTGTATTAGTGAGGATGGCTTCAGTCAACCTGAGCAACACCTCTTATCTCTCTCCTGCACTGGAAACCGACGTTCTGGTTAAATAGCAATCGGATTGTCTGTGTATTAGGGGGGGGCGGCTCTAGAACCACACACAGGGGCGGGAGGTCACATGACATTTATGCCTACGGTGTCAAGTGTCACAAAAGCAGCCGCTAAAGCCGCCATCACGTGAAGAGCGTCAGCACCGGAGATCGCGCAACCTCAATTGCCTTGCGCCTCAGTGGTGAAGCTTGCAGTTGCCATGAAGACTACTGAAGACCGGTGCTAGCTTGTTGATTTCTTCGCGCAAAACAAGCGGAACTGCAAGTCTGCTGGTGCCCATGTCAAAATGGGCTCCGCATCCAGTCTCGCAAAGGTGCGGCAGGCATCCCCTTAATATATACCTTTTCGGGCAACATTTCACCCATACCACGGAGCAAAAGCTAACTTTGTTTTTTGGCCAGACTCTCCTCATTCCTGCCGTGATTTCATTAACATTATATCTTCTCATCTCCTTCCTCATTGTTCCCTTCTTCCGCCGGTACCACCAGCGATACTCTCAATATCTCCCGCTAGAAACTATAACAGCGCATACATCCTCGCTGTGGGAACGGATAGCAGACGCCATCATGCGTCGATTCCTTCCGTCGACTTGGCGGCAGCATGCACACATATCAGATGCGAATGATAATATCAGCATACTCGACGAGGAAGGGGAAATTATGGTTGGCATGAACATGGACTCCGCGCATCGCGAGGCACTAGAGCAGCGGCGAAGTACGGTTGCTGAAGACGAGGGGAGACTGAGTCGGGAGCTCGAAGAAGGATTCATGGACGATAGTGATGATGAAGTGAACCGAGACAATTGGAGAGGACGAGCGTCCCATCGATAATGCGGCCTTGTATTCCTCATAACCCACTTGTATCTGTATATAACTAGATACTTTATATATAAATGGGCTAAATTAGGCGTTTGAGTTGAGCGGCACATCAATTTTACTTTTCATTCGATATTTCATTTGTTCTCACCATCCACTACATACTTCCACAGGCTGCTTAAGCTATTTTGCTGGTGATTGTCCTTGTACATCATGTCTAGAACTGAATAGCCAGGGTCAACAATTGAATAAAATGGAACTTGGGCGTTACTATATCGCGCACAAAACGAGGAAGCTTCCTGGAGTTTGAAGTATTTATTTCATTTCAGGTATCATAACTTCAATAGTACTGAGAAATGTACCAACCACCCTTATTAGGGGTTGCAAGACCAGAAAACATGCGCCGAAAAATCATTTTCATCATCACATCTCATTTCCCCCCATTTAAGTCTACTTGCGCTGACCGTAGGACTTGGTGGCGTAATCACCGGCGTGGACGATCAGGTCCTCAGGCTTGTAGTCGAAGCGGCCGGAGTAGTAGCTGTCCAGAATGGACTTGACACCATTGGCGTAGCGAATCTGGGCGTCGATGGAAGTACCAGACATGTGAGGAACCGTTGCATTACCGCCACCCCAGGGGTGCTCAGCGTAGCGGAGAGGGTGGTCCTTGGGGGCAGGCTGGGGGAACCAGACGTCACCACCATAGCCACGGAGGTGGCCGGACTTGAGAGCCTCAGCGACATCCTCCTTGACAACGATAGCACCACGGGCAGTGTTGACGAGCCAAGCACCTTTGAAACAAGTCAGTGTCGTCACTATGGGGCGGTGCCAAGTTTTTTTAAAGACTTACCAGGCTTCATCTTGGAAATGAGTTCCTTGTTGAACAGACCACGGGTCTTCTCGTGGAGAGGGCAGTTGATGGTGACAACGTCACACTGAGAAACCATTTCCTCGAGAGACTCGACACGGCGAGCGCCAATGGCCTTTTCGGCATCAGCGCTCAATGGCTGGTAGTCGTAGTAGAGGAGCTCCTTGCAGTCGAAGGGCTTCAGGCGGCGGAGCACACGCTCACCAATGCGGCCAACACCGACGGTACCAACGACCTTGTCTTCAAGGTCGAACTCGTTCTTAGCGACAGCAGCGACGTTCCAGTCGCCGTTGCGGATCTGGTCGTGTGAGGGAACGAAGTTGCGGACTAGGAGAAGGATTGTCATGATGACGTGTTCGGCAACAGATACAACGTTGGAGCCAGTGACTTCGGCAACAGTGATACCACCGTTGGTCTTGTTTGCGGCATTGAGGTCAACGTGGTCAGATCCGATACCAGCAGTGACGGCGAGCTTGAGGTTCTTAGCCTTAGCCAGGCGCTCGGCCGTGAGGTATCCAGGGTGGAAGCTGTGTCCAACTGGTCAGTTGGTGAAGCGATGACAAAGTGATCAAGGACGTTACTAACGGAGTGGTGATGATAACTTCAGCATCGACAAGCTCTTTGTCAAAAGTTGAGTTCTCGCTGTCCTTGTCTGAGGTTGTCACAACACTGTGGCCCTGGTCTTCGAGCCACTTCCTGATACCGAGTTCGTTCTCGGTGGTTCCGAGGAGACCGGGTTGGTCTTTGGCGTGGGAGCCACCCTAATGCTTTGTCAGAAACCGCTGCCTTTGTGGGCAAGAAGTATAAGGTTAGACGCGACTTACATCATATAGGACCATAAGAACCTTGCCCTGTAGGTTCGCGGAGGCAGTTAGCGTACGTGCACCAGGAGTACGGCCACCCAATGCGGGGGCACCGAAGCGGCTGCCGACCGCAGGCCTGCACAGCACATTGGGTGAAAGGAGGCTGGAAACGGGCCGTCCAAGCTGACGAGGAAAAGAACGGATAAATACCATTTTGAAAATTCAACAATAGAATTGCTTAGAAGCTTTGATATTATGAGAAGTCGTGAGGATACTAAAGGACGAGGTCAGCCAGGCACTTTATACTTTGTGGTCAGCGGTAACCCTGATCCATGGACCTAGACCCAGTCTTGACGAGCATACTCAGTCGAGCGGGGATGAGAGCCTAGGGTGGAGACCATGCAAGATGGGCAAAGAAGGACGAGGAGATAGGCAGGGGAGGGGAGGGGGACTGAGAGTCTTACCAGATCCGGTTACAGAGAGGCTGTTTGGAGTATGAGGAGATGATGGGAGAGAAAGCATGTATTCGGGCGGGAAATATCGCCAAATATATAGACATGGCTGGGTCTCCTGCGGCAGCGATTTCGCAACTTCCTCCCCCTCCATTGTGAAATCCACTCAGCAATCGAGGTTCCGTCCGGGTGTCCGTGAGCGGAGAGAGCAGGCCCAGGGTGGCCAGTTCCCGTGGAGCGGACTCCCACTGGTTGATCGCCTGGGAAGCAAGACATCAATCGTGTAACCTCCCCGGCAAGCGGAGTGGACGGCTGCCCATGGATCAGGAATTTGCGGCCGCATTGGAGGGTCTCCGCATGCAGTTACGTACAGTGAGGGGGAGCTTCCATAGGCGGACACGAGCGCTCTTCTTGGAGCTTTGACCCTGGGGACACTTTAGCTTCATACAGACGCCGTCGGACGTTTTTGCCATTTGCTCCTTCGCTCAGCCCAGCCTCAACTGCACTTCCTGAGTGGTTTGCATTCCTCAAGGCTGTCTGGCATGATTCCCTGATTGGACTCTTCCCCTCATGAGGGGTCGATCGCTAGTGCGGGGCTTCCGTTTGCCCCTCATCGCATCCCCCACCCTTCAGTCAAGCTCCAAGCCGGCGATCCCAATGACAAAAGAGGCAGCACTACTGTACGGGAAAGGAGAATGCGGGAATTCTATAGCTGGCGCCTATCTACAGGGAGATACCAACACCATAGTCAGTCCTTGCAGCCATGCTGTTCTTAGTGTCAAGTACCAAAGCTTCCTGAACTGAATATTACTTATACTGCTTTTCAGCCAATATGAGCTCACGACGTGTTTATCAATTCATATTTACTATCTGCGCCTCATAACATGACCTATGCAACTATTGATTACCTTAGTGAGGATGATATTTTCCAACTCAGAACGGAGTAATCACCAGGCTAACAATAGCTGCTGTCTATCCACACTAGCACCGAAACCTCCGCCGAGTTTCAAGCGAGGGACGGGGATGGACATACATGGCCTGGAATCTCTTCCCGAAAACCGAGTCAATGCCGCATTTTGTCCGAGATGGCGTTCCTTTAATTTCAAAAAGAGTGCGTCGCGGCTTCCCCCAAGGTTGCGTTGCTGCATGAGGGGAAGGGCTCCATTGCGAGGCTCGGAGGCTCCACCACTCCTCATACGGTCGGCCTCTCCATATTCATATCCAGCCAAATCATCCGGTGCCCACGGTTTTTGGCGGCAAGCTCAAATTACCCCAATTCTACACCTTCGCGATTTCCGAGGAATTCGCGAGAAACACCGGGGAGAGGTCTCGTCGCATGGGCGACGCGATCATTGTTGCATGAAAATGGGGGGTAAATTCCCAAGGTAATATTATGTACGGCAATAACAAGATCTAATGCAAACAGGTCTAGATACAGCGAGAAATGTCCCACCTAAAATACAATGTTCACCAACTTTCCGCCTTTGACTACAATGACTCTTCTCCGTTTCTCCCAGTCGTTCCTTTCGCGCAGCCAGAGACGACCTTCTTCGGTTTCCAAAATGCGCGTCATAATATAGTCCTGCTCCGTGACTCCAGAATCCGTGGTTGTCGGCGAGAGCATCCTTGGAATTGTGACAGTGAATCGCAGCTTGCCATTAATCTGAACCGCCACGACCTGTCCTCCACGCCCTGATAAAGTATTGGCTTGTTCCGTAGTTAATGGAGGTGCCGGCCACGGGCAGTCGAAGATTGGGGGGATCTTGGGCTCAGAGTGAGGCTTCTCTACAAAAATGGATGAATGGAGGATCTCCCAACATTCAGATGACAATGCTGGAGCCACAGGCGCCAGGAGGCGCAGTAGGGAAGAGACGGAGGAATAAAGGATATGCGGGGAGTTAGGGGTCGAAGATAAGAGTGAGTTGGTGAGTTTCGTCAAGTCAGAGATGACAGTGTTGAGCCCATAGGGATTCGCCTCAATGCAGTTTGTCACAGAGCAAACAGCTCGGTGACTGGACAGTATGGCCTCAGCATCACTGTCGCTCAAACTGTGCAAGAGTCCCAAACTCTCAGCGAGGCCAGGGCCTGCTAATAAGTCTTTTTGCTGCACCCTATACGAGGATGAGCTCAGGCTCTGTTCTGTGTCTACCACGAGTTTCCAGAGGCGGTTAAACCAGCGCTCAATGCCGACGATCTTTGTCTCGTCCCACTCTAAGACCTCACTAACAGGGGCCGAGAAAAGGACATGCGCGCGGGTGGCATCAGCACCGTACTTTGAGACGCACGTCGTCGGGTCCACGCCGTTGTGTTTGCTCTTCGACATTTTCTCGAATGACATATTGGGCGTGGCACCGGTTTCCTTAATAACAGGCTTGTCTGGATTCGAAAGGTCGAGTTCAGTGGGAAGCAAGAAGCGGCCGGTAGATGGTTCGGTGTACGTCTTGCCGTGGACCATCCCCTGGGAAAGAAGGGTCTTGAAGGGCTCCGGCGGCACGGCCAAGTCACCGGTGCGAGCAATCTCCGGGAAGAGATTCGATTGAGACAGAAATTTGTAAATGAAGCGAGCATAGAGCAGGTGCAGAATTGCGTGCTCAACACCTCCAATGTAGACGTCGACTGGTCGCGCCACTGAGGGAGAAAAGGGCTGCTGCTCATTCGCAGCATCTAAGAAACGGAGATAGTACCATGAGGAGTCAACAAAGGTATCCATGGTGTCTGTATCGCGTCTTGCTTGACCTCCGCAGCTCGGGCAATTGGTAGAAATCCACTCTTCGGAAGTCTCAAGAGGGTTACCCCGGTTTTCCTTCAGCCAGTTGCCCTCTAATTCAGGCAACTTCACTGGAAGATCGCCTGCTGGAACAGGCTGAGGTCCGCAATCGTTGCAGTGAATTATAGGGATAGGGGTTCCCCAATAACGTTGACGGCTGATCAGCCAATCCCGTAACCTCCATTGCTCAACAAAGTCAGCGCGGCCAGTGGCCTTGAGGTCTGTGGTGATCATATTCCCAGCTTCACTCGAATGAAGACCGTGGTATTTCCCGCAGCGTGTTGTTAAAAACCCTTCTTGTGTGAAAGGCTTCGCCTCGCCGATGGGGACCTCACTTGCATCCGGATTGGTACCCGTGGCAGACGCCTGTTCCGCTCTCAAAATGACAGGAATTGAGCTGGGATTTGCGTTTTCCTTGAAAAACAAGAAGTCTCGGGAATCATGACCTGGCACTCCCATAACTGCGCCCTCTCCATAATCGCTAAGAACGTACGGTGCTACATACACCGGCAGTCGACGAGCGAGATGAGGGCTTTCTTTGTCAATTACACGCAGGGGGTTCGTAACGCTGACGTTCTTTAACTTATATCCAGCTTTAGAGTCCGCAGGTAGCCTCGCTGCCTCGTCCAAGAACTTTTGCAGGTCTGAATCTTTCTTGGCTGCATCCAAGACGATGGGGTGATCAAGCGCAAGCGCAAGGTATTCTGCTCCGTAGAGGGTATCCGGCCTTGTAGTAAAAACGGTGATGTCAAACTTCTTTCCATTATCACCCTCGACAACAAGAGGAAACTTGATCTTCGCACCGTACGATTTCCCTAACCAATTCCGTTGCATGGACAGTACTCGCTCCGGCCAACCACCGGCCAGAGAGTCGAGATCCTCCAATAGTTGGTCCTTGAATTCCGTGATGCGGAAAAACCACTGTTTCAGCATCTTCTTCTCGACTTTCGCGCCAGACCGCCAAGAATATCCGTTGGCGTCAACCTGTTCATTCGCCAACACTGTCTTGTCGACTGGGTCATAGTTAACCATCGCCTCAGCCTGATATGCGAGCCCTTTCTCGTATAGCATCAAGAATATGCGTTGGGTATGTCGGTAGAATTCCGGCGAGCAAGTCGTGAGCTCCTATTATGTCTCAACGAAAATCGACCTTTATTAGCAGATGATCTTCCTCTAAGTAACAACATCATCTTTCAAAGCCCAAAAACATACCCGGTCCCAATTAAAAGAGGTAGAGATACTCTGTAACTGTTCCTTCATCCTAGCAATATTATCCGTCGTCCACCCCGCAGGAGACACGCCGCGCTCAATCGCCGCATTCTCCGCCGGCAACCCAAAGGCATCCCACCCCATCGGATGCAAAACGTCATGTCCACGCATCCGATAGAATCGCGCAAGCACATCCGATATTGTATATACCCGCAAATGACCCATATGCAACGTCCCGGACGGATACGGAAACATCGAAAGTATATATGACTTGGGCTTCTCATCAGCCGTCCCTCCAACAGCATTGCCAGTACCAATGGTGGCCCCGTCTTCTTGCCATATTGCCTTCCACTTGTTATCTATAGCCAATAGATCAAGCTTTTTCGACTTAGAGGTTGCGGCAGCAGTTGCAGTCGCCAGGGCGCGGCGGGGGCAGCCCGGGGAAGGTTGGAGAGTTGATGCGCATGACTTCAGTGTCCGGGGCGCGAATGCCGCCCGGGCAGGGTTCAATCGGAAACGGATGATGTGTTGCATAATTTTCGCGTGCTCATACTGTCATTATATGTCGGAACTACGCCGTGGCTGGCGCTCGGAAAGCACACGGCTGAAATCACAGTAAAATAAAACAAATTGCTCGATGGGTTTCGCGACTCTCGGGACTATGATGTTTTAAAGTTTAAATCAGCTTAGGCTCAATCGGGCTTAGTGCAGCAAGCTCTCCCGCAGACTCCGAGTTCTCGACTCTCGACCGATGGATTTCAAAGCTTCAGAGATACGAGCACAATTTCAGTAAAAAGTAGTGGGCTGCGAATGCGAACTTAAACAAGACAACCACTCCAGGGGTAACTCCCATCCTAAAACAACGTTATGATCCTATTCCAGAAATAATCTGTGTGCCTCGTACCGGGCAATATGAGAGACATTATATATATAATACAGAACCATGCATCAAACATGAAATCTTGCAATATGTTTAAGAACGGTTCTATAACCGAAGAATGCTCCCATCGTGATCTATTCCACCTCTAAAATGATCTGACACCACCTTGCCCCCTAAGACAGTTTCCTCTACGATGCCCTCAACATGCTTGGGTTCAATGCGTCCATACCAAATACCCTTACCGGCCAGCGGGTGGGGAGCAGACGAGTCCACGTATTTCATGCTTTTGGGAATATATACGATCACGTTCCCAGCGTATTTATGTCCGCCAACGTGACTGATTAGCCCGACATGAGCACGATCCGGACTGTCAATATTCTCGCTGCCATTCCTTGCCTGTGTGAATATCCCTTTTGATTCCAGGACCTTCCGAAATTGTTCTTCTAGAACAGGCGCCATTATTCCGCATCGCATATCACGGCCGCCGTGACCGCAAATCAAGATAACGGGTGAATGGTGTAGGTCCACAGCGTCGGGGAACTTGGATACCAATTCAGGCTTTCGGAGTAAATCGCCATGCCGCGGTTCAGGGAGGCTCTCTGTCATCGGGCTGAGTTTTGTGGGGAGAAGGAATGCTTGCACAAAGGTTGCAAGATCGGCTTCTGAATTCGGCGAGTCCCCGAAATTGGTAGGTATGACAGGGAAGTATTTGAAGCTAGGGAAAAGGAAAGCCGAGGCTGCGGTGGTAGAAGTAGATCCCGTCTGCGAAGGGGGCAATGAGGAATTCGTGACCAAAACGTTGTTAAAAGGCTGCGAGGCGAAACAGAGGTTAGCTGGCGCATTGGTTGGAGGGGGAAGCAGGGACGCGACTTACATCGGCGTATGGACCACCGCGGCCCATCAAACCCTTTAAACCTCTCACAAGCTCTCCCCAGCTTTGGTCTTTCCCATCATTTTCAATGCGACTTGTCCAATCCCTTTGTCCCGTGCAAATGACTATTTGTTGAGCGTATGCTGCCATTGTCCCATTCAGTGGGTGGTCGTAATCAAGCGGTTGCCCATCGGGCATAGAGGGTGTCGGTGGACATGAGCACTTCGGTTCAGGGCAATCTTTGGTAACAGGAAATGGTGGCGGGATATCCAAGGGGATTCGTCGTGAAATTGAGAGGCAACTGGAGCTTGACAAACATCGGGTCGTGGCTTTCGTTCTTGTTGATCCGGTTCTAGTTTGTTGTAGGGCGGGAGTCCGCCAGCCCACCACTCGTAGTCTCATTTTCTCAATTAGAGCATCGATATTCTGTCGATAGCCCGTTATTTCAGTGGATGTATTTGCGCTTGCAGAGGGAAGGTTTTAGCTTGTGCTGACAGGCAACCTTGTTATGATGGAGGAAAAGTTATCTTCGGGGTTTCCCGTCCGAGGCCGAGCCGGAGATAAGAGATTGCGATAAGACTATACTTAATATTATATGCGGAAAACCCTTGAAAACCATCGGTACCCGGAGCTTACAGATTGGAGAATGGGCATAGAACTATTGAAACCAAGTGAATTTATTTGTGTATCATGTAAATGTCCGGTGTAGCCTTTTTAGCTATTGTTAAGGGTGTTTGTACAAATGATATCCCATTCCACGTTTCCATGGGACGACGGGGAGGACAGAAAAGCCCCAAAGAGATATGGCACGGTTCGGAATTCATCGCGAACTGGCGAAATTTGCCAAAGCGTGTATAGACTCTGTCAACGGCCACAATGCGCAACAGAACCCAATAAGCCCAAGGACGAGGAGGACATAATATGCGACGCTCCATCCAATACCGAGCTGATCATAGTCATACTCTAGGCTCCTGTCAGAATCTTCCTTCCCTCGACTGAGGGAAGGCCCTATTGGAACTTCCCCCTCAACCCTTCCCCATAGGCGAGGAAGCCCGCACCAGTTGCAAAAGCTATGGATAATGATGACAGAAATAAGAGACCCCGTTCGAAGATAGACGAAAGTGGCATACCAGCCAAACACTGTTGTAAATCCGAACTGGAAAACAGAGCGAAGCGCCGCGGCGATGATTGAAGTATCCGGATGGGTCAACCTGAACTCATAGAAATGATGCACGTGGGCGACACCAAAATACAGCGGAGCTATCCAAACGATACGTCCTGGACTAACCCGAGCAAGAAGATGTAGAGGTATTATGGCTGATCGGAACATGACCTCCTCTGTAATGGGACCCTGCATCTCTTTGTTAGCTGGGCGAGACATGTAGCATAGATGAGCGACACTCACAGCGATATAATTCCTCCATCCAATCCAGCCGCCCAGCGTTTCGGAGATCTGAGTTTTCTTGAACCAGCTCCTCCATTCCCCCTCAGCAATTCCACGCTCGAAAAGTGGCCCAATGAATAGTATGGAAGTCAAGATTAAGCTACGAACGATGTCCACGAAGTTGACTGGCCACCAACCCAAGAGTTTCAGGGCACCGAAGACAGAGGAGCCATCTTTAGTAACAATGAGACATAGCACAGCCAAGCTACAAACGATACAAGACAGCGTTACAGCCCGAATCCGGGCCCTGATCACCGATGGAGCATCACGGCTAAGAGTTGCGGATGGCCGCGTTGTTGGTGAGATATAGAAAGGGAGCACGTAAATCAGGGTCAGACAGATCTAGCCAAAGAGATCAGCAGTTGGTTGATGAGTGAAATCCTGCACAGCGTGGCTCGGAGTCAGAAGGAGGGGCATTGGGTGCCGAGTCCACAGGGAGCCCCTTTCTTTAAGTTCTCCATTTTGAGGGGGGATCATAGTGGTGCTATTTTTATAGAAGCGCCGGGCAGCGCAGGCCAAGAGAACATACCGAAATGCCAGCTGCTGCATGGGCCGAAATAGCCGGCTTATCTGGATCTAACGGTTAGTAAACGTGAAATAGTTGGGGATGTTTGGCAGCATGCAAACGGCTTACCCTCTTCTGGCGAATACAGACTCTTGAGGTGAGCGAGGAGGCTAGTAACCGGGGCCATTTCCGCGTCTCTCAGAAGTCGGTGCTCGAAAAGAAGGACAAAATAGGGTCTCAGACACGAGGGTTTGGGAATAGGATATTAGCTACCAAAAGGCAGTGACAACATCGGGAGATAGGATATTAAAGAATTTATGGAGATTTCTAGGTGTGTGGCATGAACTCGACACCCAAGAACATCCTCCTATTGTTGTTGAGGTGAGAAGAAACAGAACAAAGGGAGAACGCGCAAGTTGATGCCTGAATATCAAGGCATAAACTAGGCCGCCGTCTCCAATTGACTTCATCGACTGGGCTCGACCAGCAAGTCTCGACGACAGTCGGCATTACGATGATCGCACTCTCGGATCACTGGTAAACCTCATGAATATTATACTCTGTGATTTCCAGTTATGTTTGATTTCTGATGATCTACAGTGAAATCTTCCTCAAGTTCTAAATGTCCTTTTGATGACATGGCTCTTTCTCATGAGAAGAATGAAGTGATCACCCTCAGGCACCAAACGAAGTGCTCCACTGAGCCCACTCAAGGTGAGTTGGCAGTCTTGGAGTCATCCTTCTGTTCCGTGATGCTTTTCAATGGCTGAGCCTGCATGATTTCTCGACTCTCAACGAGTTTTCCCCTGAAACTGGGCTGCTATTGGATCGCCAGGGCCAATTTCCCTTTCATTGATGCCAATGAGGTCGTCGAGATTTTAAGCCTGTTCTTAGCGCACTCAGCCACAACATGTGGATCGAGAGCCGGGAGCTTCTGGTTCCTGAACTCGTTGCCCAGCATGCCCACCAGCAGGTTCGTGAACTCCACCGTTGCGACTTGTCACATCACCTTATTTGGCCTCCTCGTGGAAGAGACGCTCGTAACCGAGTTTGGGAATGTGATGGGATTATCCGGCATACAGAGAGTGGGATAGATTGGCCTTCGTGCGTTGTTATTCCTCCAGCGCAGAAGTCACTTATGCACGCCGTATGCACGACCGAGCGTCCAAACTCCGTGCCTTGCATTCCCACTTTCTCTTCCTCCTTTCCACTGGCCAACGGCTCGACTCCGTGGGCGCCTGGTCCTCACTCCTGATTTGGAAGCCGGGCGTCAATTATTCATGCCCTCAGGGCTGAATGAGATTATTTGGCTAGCGGCAGGAAAGAACTCGAGTTCGTCAAGATACGATCCTTAATTTCCTCGGAGGACAACCGGCACGGCGGTAATCAAGATTCAAGAGATGAAGATGGGGTCTTCGTCGAGTCCGACCCGTTCAAAGCATATTCTTAGGCACTGACGATCTTCGGTCCTCGATCTCGGATGACGAAGAGGGACCGCTGCAATTAAACTCGAACCCGCTGGCAAATTGAGAGGCGGACATCTTCCTAAAATAAGCGATGAGCTTCGTTTGCCTTGTCTTATCCGCCAATCGTGCAATTTTAAACAGCGCTCCAGACTCCTCTGCATGGCCCCTGGGGTCCCTTTTGAGTCTAGTTCCTCCGCTGCTCACCGCCGCTGCGCAACGGAATTCCTGGGCTGAAGGGGAAAAGGTTCTCAAATACATAACTGCGGGTATCTCGCTGTTTCAGATCGTGTCCCTTTGCTTTCAGTCCTCCAGTCGTTCTGTCGTTTGTCGCTCTTTTAGAAACAGTTCCCAGCGGTGCTCCCAGCTCTCCGGTTAGACGCTCTTTTACCGTTCTTGCAATCGTTCATTCCCTTCGGCTGTATCAGGATTCAGTACTCTTGCTATCGGTCGGATCTACGCTCTCTTTGTTCCATAACCGCTGGACACCCGTCGCTCTTTTTCAAATCGAATTGTGTCGTCAATCCTGTCGTGGCATTCCTTCTGTGTCGAGTATTTTCACGGAACCACATCAACAAAACAACAGTCAACAATCGCCAATAACGTGTTGATCGTTTGTTTCATAGACAAGCCAAACCTACCTGGTGTTTTTATTTTTTTCTAGTTCACTTCCAGATTGAGTGGCATTTGATTATTGCCCATCACTTCTTTTCGGTACTTCGTGAATTACCTCTAATTGATAATATCTTGCGGAGGCTTTCATTTTCTTTCTATTCCTTTACCATTCTCTCTTGTTTTTGACACCCTTACCTTCTTTGAAAATCGCCTTGCGTCGGTCTTCACTTTTTACCGCTGGTATCACCCGATAATGAATTAATGGTCATTCCAACAACATGCGTTCGAACAACTCGTCCCCCCGACGGAGGGCGCTTCACGAACGAACACCGTCTCATACAAACGAATGTTCCCCACCTACATCCGTGCGGGCTGTCAGCGACAAACACCCTGAGCCAGAAGAGCATCACATCTATACGTCTACTCCTTACCCGACTAAGCCAGAACAGATTCTTCTGCCTCGACCCGGAAAAGGGCACGAATTTGTTCCCGACTCGCGCTTTCATTTTGAGGAAGGTCCAAGTGTATCAACAGAGACATACTCGACGGATGTTAGTGGACTTGCAGACAGCAGCGTAGTTGATCATTCAATTGCCGATTGGGATCTGTCTTCGACATTTGATGCCGCCAATACGCCTCCACAGTTGTGGGAGGATGATCCCAGCTCAAGCAAGACTTCCTTTCCGGAGTCAGAGCTGCTCGAAGGCGAGCGCTCTGGCTTACGGGAGAATGACGTAGCTGGTGCTACATATTCAGACGAAGAATCTACTCTACCTCAAACTGGGCCAACTATCAAGACAGTTGCCCCTGATTCTGTCTCGCGCGAACCCTCTGGCTCAGGAAATGCATCGTCAAGCAACACAAGCCCTAATGTAGTCCCTATAGGGCCCCCGTCCAGCCCTAATTACGTCGCTTTGGACACTTCCAGTCTCAATTTCGTTCGCATTGGTCCCTCGTCAAATCAGGATTCCGGTTCACGGTCGAACTCAGTATCATCGCTCAACTCGTTAGGCACCGTTATTCGATATGCAGACGCTGCACCTTGGACACATGGTTCGTCGTCTGAGCTAGGGCCCTCCCGGTCTCAGTCATTCCGCTCCAGCCCTCCATATCAGGTTCCATCGATGAGATCAAATTCTACTCGGCCGAGCGTTAGGAGCCATTCTCGTTCGGCAACTTCGTCCTCGGAAGGCGCCCCGCGCTCTGATATCCACCAGGTTGTTGTTGATAGCGGTGTATTCATCCAGTACCCGTCTATTAGAGCACCATCATCCGGTTCAAGAGTGGAAAATGTATCAAACTCCCCAGGGTCATCTGAGGATAATCTACCGGCACCTAGTGGTGATTATTCCTCTGCCCGATTTCGGTCTCATCTCTCGACGGTGACGTCTCGTTGGTCGGCCGAGGGCGAATCTGGCTTCGCTTCTCCCACGAACAATAACTCGAGAAATATGTCAGAAGAACTCTCGCCACCCCCTGTAGCCATGACGCGCCAAAGGCTCACATCATCTTCAGTATGGCTGGTGAATGAGTCAGAAGATGACGAATTCCTTGACAGTGTTGCTAGCCTACCACCGCGCCCCACAAACCCAGGTGTTCCCACTAGCCAGGCTTCAAGTTCAAGAAGCAGCAGTGTACGGAGCAATCAGCGTCCTGGCACGAGTTCTAGCCTTGTCACAAGCATCCTTCCGACTTGGGCTAGAATGTATTACACAACTGAAGAGGAACCCGGGAATTCTACACTGGCCCTGGTAGAGGAAGGTAGTCGCCCAGCCTCAGCGAGACCGGCAACCTCCAACTCAACTGTTATCCAGCGATTTACTAGCGCCATCAGTCGATCTAGAACCTCCCATGAGACCCAAACAAGCTCTGGCCAACAACCAGTTTCCGACCTCCGAGACCCACGAACCCATTGGGTGAAACCTCCCGAGCCATCTGTAACAAGGGCTGGATCGTCTCTTCACAGACTGCGACCTAGCTGGTCGCCCCATCTATTCCCCGACAGGCGTATTGTAGCGCCGAAGTCAAGTGCTTGGCGTGCACCATCTCTTGACTCTCGGACTGAGCCCATTCTTGGGCGGCGTAATATTCAAGTTTGGTCCTTTTGCTTGGGCTTTATATGTCCACTCAGTAAGCACATCCAACCTCTCCCCTGCTTCTTGACTTATGTTGTTTCTTACATAACCATTTAAATTTAGTCTGGCTCATCGCTTCGTTCTTACCGCTTCCGAAAAAGCCCGAAATGGTGATGGAGGAGAATCGTGGTCCTGACCTGGAGGAGACGCTCAAGACGCGACTCTACGACCTTGAGCGAAGGCGGTACCTAAATGCTCGATGGTGGAGAAACCTCAATCGATGGATGAATCCCCTAGGGTTGGTGATCGTTGCTATTATTGTATGTTCAGTTGCTCATTTGAGTATGGCTTCCACTAACATCCCCAGATAACTCTCGCTGTTGTGGGCTCTACAGTAGGCTTCTAAGATGCTCGTGTAACCCCGCCCAACTCCGTTGAACCGCCTTACACGACCTTATTCTTTCATTCTTTTCGCAGGCAATGCCTCGCCTCTCCGTCCCCTCACAGACCCATCTGGTCTGGTTTCCGAGTCCACAATTCAACTGCCTCATAGGCACGGTGGACTCTGTTGTGACGTTCTCTTCTTTTGACATTCGCTATTATACCCTTCTTCGCTGTCGCGTATTCCCCTCTTATTCCCCCTTATTTCGACTGCATTTTCGCTTCTTGTTCACAAAATTACTCGACACGACTGCATGATGTGATGCACATAATGTTTTATACTCATTCTCTTCCAGCCCGGCGTTTTTGCTTATGCTCCTCTTTCCCTCCTATGGGAGAGTGCTCCATGTGGAGTATTGGGTAATCGTTTTACTGCGGGTTTCTTATGACGACAGATTACGGACTCTTTCTATTCTTTACTTTACTGGCTCTTACTAGCCGGGAAGTTATGCACCATGTTAATTCTTAAACACTACTTATGTCTTGATGTATATACACTTAGTATTTAGACATGGGATCGGCGGATATTATACTTATATACACTCTATTTCAATAAAACAGCGCCTTATTTAACATATATTTCGACCATTTCTCAATGAAGATGTTTCTATGATTAAAGTTAATTGCACAATATATCTGATGGGGCGTGGGAGTGTATAATAGAACAAGCGATAGTGAGTAATTAGAACAGTATACAATTAACGGGGCGAGAACACATAAAAACCCATGTCGTCGATGTTGGCGTCAAGCATTTCATCCGGAAATATTTCGTATTCCAAAGATTTCACGGTCATCAGCCGCTCGGTTGGCATTGTGCACTACAAGCAAAAAGAGGCTCATGGCCTAAGGCCTTTATCCACTGCTGGCGCCGAAAAAAATCTGTATTCGATGATGGAGAACTGGTCTGGCTCATCTGAGCGGGTGGCCGATTTTGTCTTCAACCGCTGCCTTGAGTTCCTCGCCTGTTGGCATTGTGACCACGCTGCCTCGTCTGCGTCTGAATTCGATTTCAGACTTGACCTCCTGTACTGCATCATCAAATTCCTTGAAAGCATCACTTGGCAAACCCAGTGTTGGCTCTTGAATGCTCTCTGTGCTTGCTGATCGTACCATCTTGGGACGATCGCGAGATTTCAACTTCTTGACCAGGATACCCTTTGCTGGTGAAGCAAAGAAAGCGAGAGACACAACTATAGCAACGATTCCATAATAGTAGACGCTTTGCCAAACGCGGTTCGAAGCCGGGAAAGACAAGAAGATGAATGGCATGACAACAAAGGACATAACGGTCTGGGTCACAAACCAGCTGGCAAGGTCATAGTAACGCTTGTACGGCCCGGGCATAGTCTCATCTGCAGAAAGGAAAAAAGGTCGAACATAGCGTCGGAAGTCTAGGCAACGTGGTGAGTGATAGCAACGGAAACTAGGCAGGAGTACTACTTACTCTTCGCCACAGTTTGGACAAAAGAGCCTAAAACAAATGATAAATAATACCCAGGGTAAAATCCATGCCAGAACGCACTGGTCGTGAATGTCGCCAGACTCGCGCGGAATCCTGGCTTCTTTCCTTTAGGAGTAACGCGCAAGTAAACATAATTGCGCAGCCAGTGGTTGGTGTTCTTATTCCAGCTCCCTAAGTATCCGTGCGAATTTTGAGCGGTCTCGAGCTTCCAGGCATCGATGTTCTCAAGCCGGTTCCAAAATACCTTGCCGGTTTTGCCATCAAAGCCATTATAACCCATCCCTGACAGAATACAAGCGCCTTCAGCTAGGCTCCACACGCCGTAATACTTGGTACGGGCTGTAAATCCAAGAGCGTATAGGGACCAAACCCGTCGGATGAATGAGAAGTCCATGAAACTGGGATCCAGAACCGCATCTTGGTTGTAAATTGAGCCTAGTTGCAGGAAAACGAAAATCCATACCAGGCCTATGATTGCTTTCTTCATAGCAGGAGTTCCGCTTCGGGGAATCTTCCGTTTCTTTCTAGTCGGAGGTGCCTTGGACGGATCTGTGCCTGGAGGTATTTCGAAGAGCGTGGTGTCGATCCATCGACGGTAGGCAACGTAGTCAAATGCGGGGCCACCGAAAAGGCTGGGGAAAAATAGCACGTAGCCCGCGTAGTCTAATATCGAGGGAAATGCGGTAATCGCAGCATACTTCTGGGGATCCGACAGTTGATCTTGAGGCAATCGGCCGTCATGCACGTTCCAGCAGAAAGCTGAGAGTTTCATCACAAGCACCATTTGGGCCCCAGTAATGTCGATAACCTGCGGGTCGTCCAAAATCTGGCGAGAAATGTGGTTGATTGACATGTGGCCCATCAGAAATATGAAACCAATCCAAGGCATCATTGAACCGTCGATATAGTAGGAAATAGCATAGATGCCGGCAGAACTGTAGATGAGTGTCCGCAGGCCATCCCACAAGTCAAATAGCCCGATGAGGTAGAATAGCGATACTGCAATATTAAACGCATTTTTCTTCCAAGGCTGAGTATCTGGAATTCTCTTCAATAGCCCTGCCAGCGGATACGAAAGGAGGAACGAAGCTATGAGTTTTACTTTGTAGGAAGCCCCGCCATTAGCTAGACTGATCGAACTCGTGTAGTAACAGAAGGACCACCGGGTAGAACATACGCTCATCGACAGAAGCTCCAGTAATACTGGCAGGATAACTGAACACTGAAAAGTAGTAAAGAGAATGTTAGTCGACTCGATCTGAAGCTCTAACTTCGCTGTACCAAGACTCGATCCACGCAAAAAGAAAAGGAAATGGACGTACAGTAATCGATGCCTGGGAACATTATGAAAACCCGAGTGGGAGTTAGATTACAAAATGCACGACATGGGAGGTAGATGAGAAGACTAAGAAAGACAATGGGTGAAGGAGAGGAAGAAAGTGAAGATGTTGAGTTGAGTGTTGAGAAAGCATGACGGAATCACAAGGCCGATCACCAGACTCCGACTTGGCATCCCGCCAACACAGCTTCATCCCTCCTCTCTGTTCCTCCCTTCCCGTTACTCGCCCGTGATCATATCGAAGGGCTTCCTTTACCTTCTCTTAATTTGCTCATCCCTTACTCTGCGACCTCCTTCAGCCACAATGGATGTCGTCGCCGCGGTGTCTGGCTACATCTCCAAGATGGTCACTGCGGGCGATCCATCGGCATCAGGCCCGTCTACGACCAAGATGAAGATCTTACTTCTTGACAGTGAGACAGTGGGACACTCGCAATCCTCCCAGTGGTGCATGCGACAAACTTGTGTACTGACTAGCGACTGCCGCAGGTACCAATTGTATCGACGGCGATCACTCAATCCGCCCTGCTGAACCATGAGGTATACCTGATTGACCGACTGGACAACGCCGCTCGAGAGAGAATGCGGCATCTACGCTGCCTTTGCTTCGTGCGGCCCTCCCCGACGTCTATTCAGCTCCTCATCGACGAACTCCGCGAGCCGAAATACGGCGAGTATTACATCTACCTCAGCAACATTATCCGTAAATCCTCCTTGGAGCGTTTAGCCGAAGCCGATGTGCACGAAGTGGTACGGGTCGTGCAGGAGCAATTTGCGGACTTTCTTGTGATCAATCCCGACCTATGTTCTTTGAATCTAGGCTATCCGAACCAGCGACTTTGGGCCAATTCACCAGATGTATGGAACGCGGACGCGCTGCAGAGAACCACGGAGGGGGTAATTGCGACATTACTTTCCCTGAAGAAAAATCCGTTGATTCGATATGAAAAAAATAGCCTGTTGGCCAAGAAGCTGGCAACAGAAGTTCGCTATCAGCTGACGCAGGAGGAGCAGCTCTTCAATTTTCGCAAAACCGATACCCCTCCGATCCTACTTATTCTTGACCGTCGCGATGATCCAATCACGCCGCTCCTCACACAGTGGACATACCAGGCCATGGTACATGAATTAATGGGGATTCATAATGGGCGGGTAGACCTTCGAGATGTCCCAGAAATTCGCCCTGAGTTACGTGAAATCGTTCTTTCTCAAGACCAGGATCCGTTCTTTAAGAAAAATATGTACCAGAACTTTGGTGATCTCGGCCAGAATATCAAGGAATACGTGGAACAATATCAGGTGAAAACTCAAAACACGATGAATATCGAGTCTATTGCCGATATGAAGCGCTTCGTGGAAGACTACCCCGAATTCCGGAAGCTTTCAGGCAACGTGAGCAAACATGTCACGTTGGTCGGCGAGCTCAGTCGACGGGTAGGGGAAGATACCCTGCTCGATGTGAGTGAACTTGAACAGAGCCTGGCTTGTAACGACAATCATAATAGCGATCTAAAGGTACGTTAGGATCACGCCCTTATGTTCGTCCAATATCGAGTTAACAATCCGGTAGAATTTACAAAGGATCATTCAAATACCCACAGTACCTGCTGAAAATAAGCTGCGGCTAGTAGCCTTATATGCCATCAGATACGAGAAACAACCTTCAAACGCTCTTCCGATCTTGCTTGACCTGCTAGTCACGGCAGGAAATGTCCCTTCACACCGTGTGAACATCATACCCAAGATACTCGCCTACCACCATTCTCTCCAAGCTCCGCCTATCGCTGGCGGCTTCTCTGACCTCTTTGAATCCACATCGCTGTTTTCCGGTGCCCGGGACAGGTTCAAGGGGTTAAAGGGAGTTGAGAACGTGTACACGCAACATTCGCCTCGGCTAGAAGCAACCCTACAAAATTTAATCAAGGGCAAGCTCAAGGAGCTCCAATATCCGTTCTTAGAGGGTGGTGGTCATATCCGAGACAAACCGCAAGACATTATTATATTCATGGTCGGCGGAACGACGTATGAAGAAGCGAAAATGGTAACTCAAGTTAATGCTAGCTCCCCGGGTATACGGGTAGTTTTGGCCAGCACCTCCATCCACAACAGCAAGAGTTTTCTTGAGGAAGTCGACGATGCTGTCAGCGGATGGCCCGAGCCTGCGTCCTCCACTGCCGCTGGACGGCTTCGGAGAGAGATCGGACACTAGATGCCCAGTTCTGTTATACCATGTGTTTTACGGCTTGCCGGCGTTCAAATGGCTGCATTTTGAGTAGCGTTATGTAAATCTAAAGAGTTGGAGCTGAGCTAATAGACAGCCCCAATTTAAAAACCCTTATAAGCATAAATTTCGACTTATACCAAGGTAGTTGTAAGTAAACATGCACAGTTCGTAAGGCACTACTTAGCTATTGATGTGAACGTGCCGCGGCCCCGTATTTTCTTAATGCGGAGAATCGGAGACGGCGGGCGAGGTTCTCGCTCCACGATCGAACGATCCCCGACTGCAACAGCTTCCTTTCAAAAACAACCTCATTCATCCAACCCGATGGAACTTCACAACTCCCCACCTAGAGCGGCAACCGCCCTGTCGCCCTCTGCAACAACTAACAGTCGAGAACCGAAGCTCCAGCTCCCTTCGACCACCGACCCCCCAGGTCCGCAGAACCCGCCCAAACCACTTGTCTGGCTGGTATAGCATCCACCCCCCAATTTGCCCCAGAGACACCTGTATTGATCATTTTCCGCTCTCGCGATTTTAGATTTTTGGCGCGACTGGCCACATGGGCCGTTCTCTCGTAAAAACAGCTCTCTCGCGTGACGACCTCGTCGCGGCGGCCGGCCGCACTTTCGAAACCAGCCCGCAAGCGATGAAGAAGCTCGAAGATGAACATGAAAATTGCCTAGGCCTCCTCTGCGACGTACGAGCCCGTGAAACCGTGCAGCAAGTTATTGACCGCACAATCGAGCGATTCGGCCACATCGACATCATCGCCAACTGCGCGGGGTACGGTGTGATCGGGGCCTGCGAAGACCAGGACGAATACGACATCCGCGACCAGTTTGAAACCAATTTCACGGGGACTCTTAACATGATTCAGCTTTCGTTGCCACATTTTAGGGAACGTCGAACGGGGCGATACTTGATTTTTAGCTCAACTTCTGGCGCGCTCGGTGTACCTGGTTTAGGTCCATACTGTGCTTCAAAGTATGCCGTTGAGGGGCTGATGGAGAGTATGCTCTACGAAGTTGACAGCTTCAACATTAAGACTACGCTCGTCGAACCCGGCCACATGCGCCGTGATGATGTTGGAGATCTCGTCTCAGCCGAGGCTTTCCCCAGCACAGACAGCGTGCATAACCTTTCATCTCCCCTTCCATTATATGGACATTTCCTCGTGAAGCCACCAAGCGAGCCATACAACACGCCTACGGCGCCAGCAGCTCACGCAAAGCGGATGCTCATGTGGCTTGGTGATAAGCAGCCCGCTAGTGCCGTCAAGGCAGCACATTTGGTCTGGCAATTGGGCCACTGCTCTTATCCGCCGCTGAGACTTATATTGGGGACATATGCGGTCGAAAGTATCCGAGATCGACTCAAGTGTATTATTGAGGAGATAGAGGACTGGAAATATCTTAGTTTCCCATCTGTGGACCAACCGACTGGCTCTGCCGGGCAGAGTCAAGACAAACCTCTATCAAATACCCAAGAGCAGGAAGAGGAGGGCAGAATATGATTCCGGCGGTGAAGTTGATACATCATCAATGATGACCACGCGCCCGTCCTTTTATACGAGATTGGATTGAGCAATATGATATGATCCTGAGGGGCCGCGGTACCCGCATCAGGCCAACAGATCCACCGGTCTTACACCCTTTTGAATCCGAGGGACTTTGGTCGCCCCAAGCGCTCTCTACTCAGGTGGTGCTCCTAGTACAATGCTCACCACCTTGATTTGCGAACATCATCAACATATTACGACTACGAATTGGTCCCACGTTTCCAGGCAAACTAGCCAACACCAGCCTTCACGTCGAATGCGATTTAGCTGTGCAATGGATAAAATAACGGAACGGACAGGCTGAGTGGTCAACAATATGTATTATGTAGACATGTTGGGTTATTATATTCTCGGGTATGTACAGTGATTGGTATGAACCAGACAAATCTAGGTTTCTATATAGTATAGACAATCAAGAGTAAGATTGGAAGGGCAAATGGAGGGAACAAAAAGGAGCCCTGAAAACCACGGCGAGTAGACTCGCACAAACACACATTATTCTGGTAAAGCATTGTTTTGAGCTTTGGACTCAGGGAAACAGATTTCGGAGATTGTACAATAAAGAACACTGTTTGCTATCATTTCAGTCATGAGCTGCTGCTGGCTGCGCGTATCTCATGCAAAAAAAAAAGTCTGAAGCTCAGTCGTCTATGTTTCTGGCCGTTAATCATGAGCAGTCATAACACACGTTTCTCTAGCATGCCAGATGCGTCGTTTCTTAGCCATGTCGGCGCCGAAAGTGTCCTTGATGAAATCTTCATCGCTGGGGTAAGAGACAGACGCATGGTCGGAGGTGTCTTTTGCGTCCCCCTCGAGGGATGTGCGTAGGAGGCGTAGCTCCTCGACTGTTGCGCCGAATTCGTACTCGCCTCGGCAAAGGATGGTGACGCCGACGGTAGCAGTCGTGTTTTCACCACAGCCTAACACGGGCAGTACTTGCTGCAGCATGCCTGTCCAGGCCAGGCGTCTTGGAAGATCAAGCGCAACATTGCTTGGTTGATTGCGAAGGCTGGGCTGGAGTCGTAGTAGGGAGTGGATTGGTCTAGACGAGCGGTTGTGAACAGTGACAGTAAGATCCAACATCTCATCAGTCTCGACCTTGTATCTCGACCTCCCTGTTTGAATAACGCTAGCCGGCGCGTCGCTTTGAGAACTCCCAGTGAAGGAAGGCTTCAACGAGAAACTCGTCTCCACGTCCTCAAGTCGTAATGCGTCCACCATCCGAGCATTGAAGCGCATGTTTCTCAGGTCAATTGTTCCTTCACGGCCGCCCAAGGTTTCTTTCCAAGACCCACTGACTCTTTTGAGAAGCTCTTCTCGATACCAAAACGCCTCCCGTGCTGCAGCTTCGGCTTCGAATGTAAGTTTATGTGCACTAACAACAAACTGTCTCTTGGATCCCGTGTTTATAGATGGTATTGAGGCATGAGGGTTTTGTACATAAACACGAGGTAGAACGAGAACAAAGCGCGACATCTGGCCAGGTTGAAGCACCTCACGCAGGGAGTACTGACCGGCTTCGTCAGTCAACTCCCCGGGCTTGTCCATGACATGCAGAGCAACGGATAACGGGTTTGGCCAGGCGTTTCGAAGATCAAGGAGTAGAATGCAGTGATCGGAGCCATATGATCCGCGCGCCAGATTTGAGAGAACAGTTGAGAAATGATCACTGCTGTGAAGATCTGAAGATTCGAGAGCTTCGCCGGCGGAACGATTGATGTCCAGCTTCCCGTTATTCGACCATGCAAAGTCACTACTGAAGGGTAATATATCGCAACGGGCCACTTCCACACTCGCGTTCACAGTTGCAGTGAGCGGTATAAATAGTTGTCTGGTATAGAATATGTCAGGCAGTGCTTCATAAGAGACTCCGACGCTGGAATAGTCGATCTGCACTGTAGCCTCCTGCAACCCAGGGTTTCCAGTAACGTCGATAACGAACGTCGCACTTTGCCCTGCAAGGATGGAATAGTCATTTGGATTCAAGCCCTCTCTGCGCCAGTGCAGAGCTGGTCTTGTGAGCTTCAGCGTTAATTCATATATTTCAACTGGGAGCAAGTCCTTGTTGCTGAGCGCCGTCTGTATTTGTTTCGTTGTCGAGTCTTGAAAAGTGAATAGAATAAAGTCGAGGTCGCACGAAGATGAATTGCGCAGCGTGATGCTGAAAGTTGTCATCTCACCCTCAAGAACCATCAGAGCGGATTGAGAAAGTGATAGTGACTCTATTGTGAGGGACGGCTGGGGCCGGATAACTTTTACCTCACAACATGATGTTTCAGGTCCTTTCTTTGAGAGTGGTTTTCCATCCTTGGAGAATGTGGAGCTCCAAGATAGAGGGCGATCAGCAGAAGGCTTCTTGGCCGATAACCCGGTTCGTTTGAATTTTACCTCTATATCGGGTTTCCAGAAATCTTTGAATATAGGGAAGCTTCGCTCCCGACAGTACCGAGCCTTAACAGCACAGCCGGTTATTTTCAACGAGCCCTGCTCATGGGCTATTCCATATACTGTGATGTCCTGAATACAGAGCGGCGGAAGGAGTACCCATTCAGCCACGGCATCCAGAGACACACCTTCGCTCTCCAGGCGGATCCGTTCGATCTCGACTTCAAATTCGTAAGGATTCTGAAGAGTGACCTGGAATGCGGCATGTTCACCGGCAACCATAAGCAACTCTGAAGCCTTGCTAGTGGCCTTAGAAAATGGATTGTACAGGAACGGATCCTTTGTAGATTTTTTGCTTGTCGCAGTAACAGCGTCGAGTTCAGATTTGTTTCGACGAACTGGCTTATTAGGGTCAGATAGGGAGAGTAGCTCAACACCGCGAACTAAGAAATCATCCCAATATTCGGCTTCCAGCCCAGCTACACCAAGCCGATTCGCAGCACCAACGGTTCGTTTGATGTTATTCAAAAGGCGGACCTGTTCGTCCGGCTGCAAGCAAGGTGCGGTATAAGACAACCTAGAGAGCATAAGGTCTCCTCGAATCGTTTGAAGCAGCTCAACAGTAAATCGCAGAACGCCACCAAAATCCGGAAGGGCTTCACATGAGTTGATGCACATTTTGAGGACATCAATCTTGAGGTTCAGGTCACCGTAACGATCTAAGACAACGTGTCGAAAAGCCCGTTCAGCGATTCCAGCTACTGAGTCGTACTCAGTGGTTTCCAAATCAGCAGCGCTTCCGGACCTTCTTTTGCCTAGCTCGGTCCAAGACGAAGATTGTACGCCATATACTTCTCCAATAGTACCGAGAAGCGCGCGCATGCTCTGATCCATGTTACCTGGGCCTATATCAAGGGCATTTATGTCAAAAGCAGTGTCACTGAGCGACGATAAACCTGCTGCGGGGTGGATACCAACTTCAGCAGCCCCGATTTTGCGGGCCGTTACTAAAGCCGGAACCAAAATAGATAGAAGCTCCCTTAAAACGAATGCCTTTTTCCGTGGCAAATCAAGAGTGTTTAGGACAGACACAACACCAATCAGGATAGGTATCGCGTCCGTTGCAGGTAAATCCGAGCTCGCAGAAAGTGGCAGTGCGCGGAAGAGGAAATTCGCAATTTCATTTTTTCGAAGGATTGTCAGTCCCCGAGGCCGCTCAGGACGGATTAGAAGTTCCAGTGGCTCATTCATCACAACGTGCTTCAAGGCAATGTCATCCAAAGCCCCATCGCGGATTCGGGCGGCAACTAATAACCTTGCCAAGCGAATAACTGTTTCAGAAAAGACGAGCTGTGGTAGTGGTTCATCTGTAATATTGGCCGCACGATTATAGAGATTGAGGATATTGTTTGCTAGATCAGGCAAAAGGTTTGAGAGGTTTTGGAGGGAAATGATTCGATTCCCCGCGGAGGACTGGCTAGAAGTTGGATCAAAAGTGATCGCTGCCGTCATTTTGGAAGATTTATCGGCAACAGGATAGCATATCGGAGGGACCTGTGGATGAAAGGTATCAATAACCAATCGACCCTACGGAGAGACCGTAACAAACCTGAAAATCCATGCCCGCCCAAGCAAACATCAGCAAGCAGAGGAGAATTGACTCGAGTGCTTTGGCATGCCACACATAGTCGCTGCTTGCCCTCGCGTTAGATGCTGCCTCGACGAGTTCCTTCAAAGCATCGGGCCATCTTCCAGACTGGAGGAACAGAGTTCCTATTACGACACCTGAGCGACCTTTGATCCGGTTTTTCGTCCGATCTGTAGCACTCAGGCCACTGGCTGACATCCGATCCCTACTATGCTCTTTGGACGATGGTAGAGAGCCTGGTTTGCCTAAGGAGGTATTGGAGCGACTAGCCACCTGGATGGATCGAGTGATCTCATCGAACGTTGTCGGTGTCTCATGATCTTCAGGTGTCGGTGAGCTTTGGTTGGAGGCTTCGGGCGTCTCGGGCGTGCCACTTGGGTCCGTGGGAAGCTGGGCAGGCATCGTCATCCTATGAAACAGCTTGTCTGTTGGGCGCCGACGCAAATCCGGTCCACGATGCGGACCCCACGACGAGGCCTTCGGGGATTCAATTGTTGGGATACTCTGAATAGTCTTTGCAAACTCGTCCATCTCAGAAAGGAGGAGCGACGTGATATCACATAGTACAGTTTTCATCGTGGTAGCCTTGGAGGCCTGCGGAGGCGGAATCCATAGAACGTTATCGGGGCCATTAGAGGCTTTATTAACACCATCATAATCAAACACTAGAAGCTGGTGCACCAACGCCCTTGGGTTCTTCTCCTTAAGTAGCTCGAGCTCTTGTTGGAGGTAGCCCAGTCCCTCTGGTTTCGGCGACTGGTCAGTATTCGAGTCGACACCATTTCTGTCTGCACCACCAGGAAGCTCAGACCCATCGGCTATTGCAAGAACTACCAATGGCTCCCTAAATAATTCAAATGGATACAATTCCAGGTGTGATATTGGGGGCATGGAAAATGAAAGATCGTAAAGGATAATGCCCGTCGGGAAGGCTAGGGGAGAGAACATGTCTATGATTGAACAATCGCGGTGATCAGTTAGTCGGCGCTTTGAAGTTTTAGGCCATGCCCTATCGGAAGTTCATCCTCAAGCCTCGAGTCACTCACTTCGATTAGGCCGCGCATCGGGGCTGATGTCCCCCAAGCGGACGACATTTTCGGACTGGAGCCTCGCGGCGAAACTGAGAAAGCGAGATCGCTTAATTCGGCCAACTGGAAGTATCAAAGCTCGCAAGCGCGCGGGCGCAATAGGGGAGAGAGGATCAACGCCCATGGTGACATCCGAAAGGAGACGAGGCGGAGGCAGTCGGGCGTGATGCACGGGACTGCTTCCAACCGGGCGTACAGGAGTACCGAGAAATCATGCGAAACAACCCAAGGGGACGAGGCTAGAAGTTCTTAGTTAGGAATTCACGGTTAACACCAGCCGTGAATTGGCCACTTTGACCACCAGTCAATGGCAATAAAGTAGGGTTGTTGGCGCGGGAGTATAAGAGGGATATTCGTCGTAGTCCACGGTCTCGGGGATCTCCAAATCAACACCTGGGCAACTACTCTTCGGTTCGTTTGGTGCCCGGGAGCCTTGGCCCCGTGACCCAACTTCCCCGGGGCGTTGCCAACGGGGCTGAGTCAGCCAGGTACAGCCGTCATCACACCGCCCCCGATAACAACAGCCCGATAAATACCCCCGATAAGCAGGTTGCGCCTCAGCACTACCGCTACCTACTTTGGAATAATGATGGAGGGAAACTCTCTGCCTCTGAAACTTTATCCTTCTTAATAAGGCCATAACAGGTCATGCTTGTGACGTTATCACTCTACACCTGCTCCTGTTTCTTTTCCTCTTGTGAATCTTGCTCCATGCACTTCTCATTCACATAATACTTGGCCGCTATCTACTTTGTCTTCGGACCCCCGCAGCTATTTAACTGCATACTTATTCTTCAACTCAATCTTGGGAGCATTAATACTATCACATTATGGCTCAGAAGATTGATTTCGGTGCGCTGAAGGCGCGCACTATGGGGTCTGGGGAAGATGAAGAGGCTGTCACCGTAGATACCCGCGGCTTGATTTCAAAGGTTCTTGCACGTTATTCGGGGAGATGGTAAGATTCGATCCCAACTGCCAGCTTTCTGTGAAAGTAAAAGTGTTTACTGACAAAGAGTCAAAGGACGGTCTTACGCGAGATGATCCAGAATGCAGCTGACGCCAGCGCGACAAAAGTTACCATCAGATTTGAGACCTTACCCTCGACTACCGTTCCATTGCCACCGTCTGCCGATGGCACGACTATCATAAAACACACTATATCGCACCATACCCTCAGGCGTCTCCTAATATCTAATAACGGTGTTCCTTTTAGCGAGAAGGACTGGGCAAGATTGAAGCGCATCGCAGACGGGAACCCCGATGAGACGAAAATTGGAGCTTTTGGTGTCGGTTTCTACAGCGTTTTTGACGACTGCGAGGAGCCTTTCGTTTCTTCTGGCTCAGATGCTATGGCCTTCTATTGGAAGGGAAATGCCCTCTTTACCCGTCGACTGCAGTTGAATGAGAAGGCCAACCCCGAAACAACATTCGTCTTAGACTATCGAAATGATACTTCGCCTGTGCCGTCGCTAAAGCAACTTTGCCAATTCTTATCCAGTAGCCTTACATTTGTCAACCTCGAGTGCATAGAGCTGTGGCTTGACGACTGGAATATGCTCCGTTTGGTCAAGAAGGCAGCCCCCAGTATCAACCTCACTATTCCAAGAGACATTGAAACCAAGACGCAGGAAGGCCTAATGAAAATTACGAGTGTCGCGAGAGAGGTTGCACAGGTTGATGCCGTCTGGATGCACGCCGTTGAATGGAATCCGAACGCAAACACGCTTCGCGAGGGCATTAGAGACACTACCGTATCATTACGCAGCTTCCTGTCTAGGATCACCCAAGGCTCATCTGAGAAGACCGTCGATAATGAGAAAAAGGAGACCACCGTTAGTTTGGGAGACCTGACAAAGAGCTCAACGGCGTCGGTATTTTTACATATCAATACTGCAAACATCCAGGCTTCCATCAGCCAGACTTTGAGCAGTGAACTTGAGCGAGCTACAAGAAAACCTCCACCTAAGAAAACATCAATTGCTGTCTTGACGCCTTCGTATGATACGAGCCAAGCGTCTGCGGCTTCTGGATCACAAGCAGAATTTTTATCCTCCATTCTTCCCTCCAAAGGTGGCAGAGTTTTCATCGGATTTCCAACGCAGCAAACAACCGGTCTCAATGCCCATATATCTGCTCCGTCCGTCATTCCCACAGTCGAACGAGAGAGCATTGATCTCAATACAAGGTACATCAGCAAATGGAACACCGAGATGTTGAGAGCGGCAGGGATAGTCTGTCGAGTCGCTTGGTCCGCAGAGATGGCTTCAATAAAGTCTAGAATACTTTCTGCAAAAGATCTCTCAAAGCAGACAAAGATTCGACGAGGAGACATTGTGACTGTGCTTCCTGAGACCATTCACACTGCAAACCAGTTCGTGTTTCGTGAGTCTACACCGTCCTCATTGCTCGGACAGACAATGGAAGACGCATTTTGGACTTGTAATAAAAATGCTTCTATTGAGGTGCTTTCCACGTGTGGCATTGTTCAAAATCACCAGGTGCGAATAGCCGCAAAAGACCTGACGTTCCTAGACTCCATACCTGTATTGCCAGATGAGTTCGTGGAAGGCTCGAAAGAGTTTGTCAAAAAGTTGACGATGTTGGGGCTTGTAACCGAAGTTACAGTGTCTGATATCAAGCGTGAACTAGAGGCCAGTCCGCTACGTCCCTCTCAAATTATCGAATTTCTTTCCTGGTTAAGTCGGAGAGCTATTTCTGGTCAACTCGATCCATATTCCGTGAAAAGCTTACTTAATGGTGCGGTAGCTTCCACTGATGATGAGAATGGTACTGCCAGCGGTTTGATTGTTTTCTCTGAAGTATCGCTTTTTTTAAATCCCCAGCGCATACCTGCCGATCTTCCTTTGCCACCAACCGTGATGCCGTTCAAATACACCAAATCCTTGGCCAGGAAAGAGTTAGAGTCGTTCGGTTGGGATGAATTGCCTATGATTCCCTGGTTATGCTGGCTTCTCAGCAATTCTGGAAACCGAAATGTCCTTCCTGTGTCGCAAGACATCACGCAGACCTCAGCATTCGCAGCACAGGTGCTACCAGTTATATCAAAACAATGGGAAAGCCTGACCCAAACTGCAAGGGAAAAAGTGATTGATCAACTACAAGTACACACCGTCATTCCTACTAGAATCGGCATGAAAAAACCCGGCGAAACATACTTTCCTTCCGTCCGTCTTTTTGATGATCTGCCTGTTATACATGGACTCCAGGGGGTAAAAGAGAAATTTCTGACTGCCCTTGGAGTACGGAAAACCGTCGAGCTCGGCGTCATTTTTGAGCGCCTTCTAAATAATCCTGGTACAGTTGACGGGAAGTCGCATAACAAGGGCAAGTGGAGCCACGTCGATTTGATACGATATCTGGCGTCCGTCAGCAGTGATATTCCTGCCAGCGACATCAAACGCCTCAAAGACACTAGTTTCTGCACGGCCGAGTCGAGCATTGGTCGTGAGGGTTCAAAGGCTTTGGACCAGAAGCGCTATAAAGCCCAGGAACTCTTTGAACCGAACGATTCTCTTAGAGCCCTTGGGCTTCCGGTTATTGAGTGGCCAGGGATGTTCATATCCAGCAGCATTGAGGGGAGATTCTTGGCTAGATTAGGGCTAAAAAGCTTCCCAACAGCAGTTGAAGTCATCCGGATCATGGCCAAGGCGGCTGCCTCGAATAATTGGACCCTGCATGGGAAGGCCATGGCTTATTATATCACTGAGTATGATTCCAAAGGTTATGGCATTTTTGATTGCAGCTCGGTTACCGAGCAGTTTTTGCCAATTGAAAAGCCGAACAACTTCTTTGGTGAGAATTTGAGCGATAAATCCAACTCATCTGCCGAAGAATTGTATAACATCAGCTCTCCAAGCAAGTGTTATACAGATGAAGGTGCCGCCTTTTTTGGTTTCAATATTCTCCGCAAGGACCTCCGTCGTCATGCCTCGAAACTCGGTGTCAAACAACATCCCAAACTCTCCGACTGTCTTGATACGTTGATACGTAGACCGCCATCTACAAAACATGATGCAAGATTCTTTTATCGATATCTCGCCGGAAGGGTGTCTGAGCTTAACCAGCGCGATATAGATCGTGTTGGAGGTGCCGATATAGTGCCGATCCATTCAAACAACGGGGCCGCCAAAGATGGGACAATACGTCGTGTAGCGCCAAGGCTTTGCTATCTTGGAGAGGGTGAGGATTACAAAGATTTGTTTGATTTCGTCGACTTTGGTCAGGAGGCAAACCTCTTCCTGATGGCCGTTGGGTCAAAAAGAGAACCAACAAAGGTTGAGTTGGCGCAGATGGTAGTCAGGGAGCCGGCTAGGATTTCCTCTACCTTTCAAAGTGCCGAAAAGTATCTAAAGTTGTTGAGAACTCTTGCTGAAAACGTCTCTGTTCTCAAGAAACACAAAGGGCTATTCCAGGAGATGAAAATGTCAGCTTTCTTGCTTGCTAGCAAAGACATCAGTGCGGCGGCGGAACAGTCTAGGAGTGAACCGAAAAAAGGCTTTGATAACTCTGATGACGAAGACGAAGCTGAAGAGGAAGGCATCAAGGAATGGACGCTGGCCGCAGCAAAAGACGTGATTGTTGTCGATGACTTTCAAAGCTTTGTTCTCTTCAAAGAGCACGTATTGGCCGCGCCCCAGGAAGAGGCACTAGAGAACTTCTACATCGCTTTAGGGGCAGTACCTCTCAGCCGGCTTGTGGAAGAAAGAGCTCACTGGGGAGCAGTGGCTGCTGATCAGCGCTCTGCTGTCAAATTACTAAAACTGATCAAAGAACGTTCAAGGCTTTTCCTCCATGATCAACCTTCGGAAGCAGTACGGCATGACAATCGATGGATTGATAAGAACCTCAAAGTCCAGGTTGTTCAGTCTATCGCCATCACACGGTCTCTCAAGGGCCGCCGTATATCTTACCAGCAGGAAAGAAAGGCGATAGTTACCGAGGTTTCGAGAGAACATGTCATGCGAATATGCCCCGGCCGGTATGATTTCTACGAGATTAGTCAAGCACTTTCGCATTTGATTCTCTCTCGTCCAAAGCTTCATTCGCCGCTCACCTTGGAAATGCTGTTGAAAACTGATTTGTTGGAGCTGAGAGGGCGTGGCTATAATGTGGAGCGTATTCTGAAACAGAAGGCTCAGGAAGCGCGAATCGCAGAGGATCGGCGACAGCAGCAGCTGGAGAAAGAACGTCAGCGTTTACAAGAAAGGGAAGAGGCATTGGCCGAAGAAGCAAAGAACCATACACCTGAGAAGCAGGGTCCAGCTCCAATGCCCGGCGTCTTTCCGGACTCACCGTCGTCGAAGGGTGTCCGTCCCACCTCCCCATCGGAGTTGAATAAAGAGAAGCGCAATGGTCTATTTTCCTCTTTCACAAAACATTTCAAGGACGGGAAGGGATCGTCCTGGAATCCCTTCAGCGAGACCTCCGCATCGCCTGATTCTCCTGATGATTCTCCTAATGATTCTCATCTTCCGCATCCCCCGCCTAAAGAACCAAAACCAACTCTCCCAGAGCCTTCCGTGAACGTCAGCTCTCCGATACAGCTGCAAAAGAAACTACTCTCCGCTGTCCAAGCCAGCCGGCCGCATGGGTCGTCCGGTGTATTCTCCAGGCCACAGACAAGCCAACTCAATGAACTGAAGTCTTATTGCGATGAGAAACCTGGGCATGACCTAGAGTTTGCCGCGACACTTCCTTGTCGAGTCAATGTCCTGGTTGCAAGAACGGTTTCCGAGAGGTCTGCTTTCCTTGCTCAGAACAGTGCTGGGATGAATCTGTTTGGCTTTATATTGCTTGACTGTGCCGATGTGTTCTCTCTGCGGCCTGACACTCTAAGTATCTTCCATGATCCCGGTTCGAAGTCCATCGCGTTCAACCGAGCCGGTAGTGTCTTCTGCAATTATTATTATTTCCAGCAGCTACATGAAAAGGCATTGCTCCAAAACGCAACTCCGGACCGAGCTGAGGCAACGGTCTACTGGTGGGTCATTCTCTGCCACGAGTTGGCGCATAATCTGGTTCAAGACCACAGCTCCGCCCACAGCTACTACACGTATGATTGCAATCCTTTTGATATGAATCGCTCATATGCTAATTCTCTATTGCAGTGAAAGCTTTGTGAGCCAATACTTCCCTAAGGTGGCAACTAAAGTCGCAACTGCGGCTACAAAGAGCCAGAGCCCTGGGAATTAATTCCGGCCTCCTTTATATGGATTAAGATGCCTCAGGTCATGCCCTGAATATTCATGATTGTTCAATGAGCTAATTCTAGCGGGTTTTCGACTTTTCAGTTGGAGTAGATATATGCATACTACATAGACTTGACGAACTTGTCTGTAAATATAGCGTTGCATTTCCCTTCGTTTTTTAGGCTGGTTCTCAATTCATTATTCTGGGGGTTTCTAAACTTCAGCCTTCTAGAACTGATTGTAGAAAAGACGTTGAGGCTAGGGAGGCGATGTGGAACGGTTCGAGGCTCCACTGGTCCAAAGTCCTAACCTTTTCCCCGGGAAATCTTCATCTTTGCCGCTCCCGCCACCATCAGACCAGGACGCTCAAAAAAAGTACTCGTCAAGAGGCGTCCTGATCATGTACGCCTCGAACCAGAGATAGATTGTCTCTCAGATAAACGCAAAGAAGCCTACTGTCAGCCGGTCAGTCTTCTTTTAGTGCTGTCGACTGCTGGTATAGAAAGGCGCGGTTTTTTTTTTTTTTTTTTGCCACCAATTTCTCTACCTTAATTCCATCATTTCTACCAGGTTTGCTTTGATTTCACTCTTCGTTAGAATATTACGATTCTGTCCGTATATTCCGACTCCCTGTTTGAAATGGCGCCACTACTTGGCGATTGGACGGCGTCAAATACTGGACCTGATACGGGAGTCGATCATCAAGGCTCCCGACAAAAAAGCATACTTTATATTGATGCTTATGATTCTTTCTCTTACAATGTCGTCGCAATGATAGAAGAGGTTCTCGGGGCCCGGGTGACAGTGATGATGATTGATGCGGAATGGCCGGATGGCAATATGGTGGAGTTTCTTCACCATTACGATGCGGTCGTCCTGGGGCCAGGACCGGGAGACCCCAATGTTCCCGAAGATGTCGGCGTTATGGCGGATATTTGGAATATCAACAGCTCACACACGCTGCCCGTCTTGGGTATTTGTCTTGGATTCCAAAGTTTGTGTCTTCATCATGGAATTTCTGTAGGACGACTACCGGAGCCTCTGCACGGACAGGTCCATCGAATTACAACAACGCAGAGTGACATTTTTGAAGACACGCGGGATTTGGAGGTTACCCTATATCACTCGCTTTATGCCATGTTTGATGACGAGGAAAAATCGACATCCAATTCGAACCTTGATGTTCTTGCTTGGTTGTTCGATGTACCACATGCATCGTCGTCGTCGTCGTCGTCCACAAAGCGAATACCAATGGCTGTAAGGCATAGGGAAAAGCCTTTCTGGGGTGTACAGTTTCATCCTGAATCTTGCAAGTCTAACCGGGAAGCGTGCAACGAGCTGCTCCGCAAGTGGTGGAGTATGTCCATCAAGTACAATAAGAGCAATAACCGCGAAGGATATGGGACCTTGCCCACGGATATCATTCGACCGTCAAGCGAAGAAACTAGTTTACCAGATGTCGCCTACACGATGGTAAATTGGTGTGCATCATCTTCGGCGCAGTGCGCCTTCCGGTCTATCAGCGCATGTCAACCAGATGCTGAAGGAATTTGCGAAATATTTAACGACCCACGACTTCCAGCTGTCTTGTTTCAGTCGAACGGGAAACATAGTGTCATATCTGTACCAAGTCCGGCCAGCTGGAGGCTTGAATACTATGCTGATGAGCAATCTCTATCACTGCAACGTTGCGCAACATCTTCCAGCGTACATGACTCTTCAAAAATTGCAAACTCAAAGGTTGAAGCAGTCTCTTCCGTGTCTCAGCTTTGGGATATTCTAAGATATTTGGTGGACTTAAAGAAAGTCGAATCGGGCGACAGTGAGGTTCCATTTTGGGCAGGATTTCTAGGTTATTTTTCCTATGAACTAGGTCTGGCCTGTCTTGCTCAACCGAAGCACGAGAATGGAATCTTTCAAAATGAATACCCCTCTCAAGACAGTGCCGGCGCTGAAGACCCGCCAGATGTTAGCCTCATATGGACTGAGAGGAGCATTGTTGTGGATAATGAGACAGGCCGGGTTACGGTACAGTCTACTAGGGAAGAGGATAATTTACCAGCTGGCTGGCTAGATTATGCCGGGAACACGCTGAAGAGTTTCTTTGGCGTTGATGTCCCACCATCGTCCGAGAACTCCGTTGCTGATGAAGAGTTCCTGGATTCAATTTTGGCCAGGGGAGTGGTTCATTTTCCAACCGAAGAATCATATCGAGGCCAGGTTGAGGCTTGCAAGAACGAACTGAGAGCGGGTGAGTCCTATGAGCTATGCCTTACTTGCGAAACATCAATCACTTTACCCTCCCCGGATACCGCTACTGGGCGCATGGAATTTCCTTGGAAACTGTACAAGCGACTGCGGAAGTATAATCCCGCCGCATTCAGCGCCTTCGCGAGACTCGGAAATGTTAAAATTGTGAGCAGCAGCCCGGAGTGCTTCCTCAACTGGGACCGGCACTCGACATTGGAGATGAAACCTATGAAAGGTACTGTCAGAAAATCTGACAGTATGACGATGGAAAGGGCACGAGAAATTCTTGGCTCAACCAAAGAAATGGCTGAGAACCTTATGATTGCGGACCTCATACGGCATGATCTCTACGGCATCTGCGGTGCGGGCAACGTTCACGTAGAAAAACTGCTTGAGGTGGAAGATCATGGGCGAGTTTATCAAATGGTCACCCACGTCAAGGGGAATATTGACCCCTACCGACATGGTTATGCTGCGAAGGGTCTACCGCGGCTACAATCATCGAACATGCTCGGATATGGACTCACGGCATTACAACGATGTCTTCCCCCCGGGTCGATGACTGGCGCTCCTAAAGAACGATCTTGCATGCACCTTTCTTCAATCGAAGGTCGGAAGCGCGGCATTTACTCTGGAGTTATGGGCTTCCTTGACCTTGGAGGTGGAGGAAGCTTCTCTGTCCTGATTCGCTCCGCTTTCAACTCCTCGGATGACCAAGCCGATATTCAGAAATGGAGAATTGGCGCTGGCGGCGCGGTCACCATGCTGAGCAGTGCTGAAGGTGAGTGGGATGAAATGCTCACCAAGCTCCGGACTGTCTGTGGGATATTCATGCCTTCCCATGCGTGATAATACCGCATACGAGCTGTTATTACTACCGGAAAACGGCTTCTACTATTGTCATTTTGACGTACATATTGTATGGCAACGTTTTCAACAGTTGCCCTTGAACGATTGATGTGAATTAGGTATAGACAGGTCAGATTCAACATTCAGCGTGGGAATTGGCGTTTTTGGGTGCATAATTGGCGGTTTTGGATTAAAGCCTTATCTTCTTGGACCTTGACTTAACTCGAAGGCCACTTACATAGAATTTAATGAAGCTCAACGATATTCAATTGATTGATACTTCTCTTTAGTTCTATGTAGCAAGCTGCAAACGATGCAAACCGAGCTCGTCCTCCGCGGAGTACCTATTGGCCCGAGCTTCGAGACCCTTTCAGGTTCACACCGTGACCATACAATCTTGTTCTCTACCAGATACCAAGCTCACTTATTTCTTCATTGCCGCAACAGTTGGACATGGCCGGCACACAAGACCCGTCCGCGTTGGAGGAAATTCTCTGGCGATCTCCACCACACATTCAGATGATGGGCGGATATCTCCATTCGAATAACAGTAGGGATCTCCCTCGCTGAATTCTCCAGTTCTTTTCTTGATTGATGCAATTAATTGTCTTCATTGGCTAGTCCTCTTCTACTTCGCCGAATCTCCTTTCTTCGATGCGACCTCGAACAATGCCTCCCTAGCAATCCAAGCGAACTACAATGAAGCCTTCCGTCACTTCGTGGAGACAAGAGAGGCATTCGAAGGCCGCCTGAAGACCATGCAAGGTCTAGAGTTTATAGTTGGCTACGACCCGTTACAGGCCGCAGCGGGTTCGAATGCCCAATTTGCACATGAGCCGTCCAACGTGTGGGTGATTCGGAAACAGATGAGGCGGAAACGATCGGGCTTTGAAGACGAGGTCGGAGTCTTGGCTACATTCTTTGTGGTTGGGGACTGCATCTACATGGCTCCTTCGGCTGCAAGTATCTTGGGGAATAGGATTGTATGTTTTGTGGTTCAACATTGCTTGTTCAGTGCTGGCAGTTCTAACATTGCGTCCTCGTTATAGCTTTCGGCGGTCACTTCTCTTTCAAGCTTGATGAAGACTGCGTCGACATTACCCAACTTCACACCGTCGCATGGACACACGTACCTTCCGCCGGTGCCCAAATCTACAGATGCAGGCCAACTAGGCGTACAGACGCAGACAAGCAAAGAGAACACGCCAATGCCGGATGATACGACGAACAAAACGCAGTCTTTTACCGGGACGCAAGCCGACACCAGCTCTTCGGTGAGCGATATGATGACTCTCGCAGAGTCATTCAACCTTCTAGCTCGATATGGAGACGAATTCATGGATGAGACTCCGTTGGTGGGAGAGCCGGGATCCTTTATTTTGTCTAGGGCAGGGGATACAGACCGAGGCGCTACATCTAAACAGCAACAACACACAAGCACTGCCGCTCCAGGCCGAATTGGAACACCACAAACCAAGATTGATACGCCCGGGAAATTCACCGATAAAAGCAGCACTGCAGAGGAGCCCAAGCGGAAGAAGAAAAGCAAACCAGGTAGTTAGCCTCGAATGGATGTTAACATTGTGATACCCATAGCCAGTGAATTCATGCACCTGAGCCCAAACATAACATCCCTCGTGATATGTAGATGCCAAAAGATCATCCACCACAACTTAGCATTGGGCGGAAAGGGACGCAACTATAATCGTTGTTTGCGATGCCTGCAAATCCCCTCCATGCGTCATCTCATTACCTACCGAGCCAAAATCTACAGTTTATACATCCTATATGGTGCTCCTTTTCGTCTATCTAAAAGGCACCTGCACGCACATATATCCCTGAATCATCCTGTTTCCTGCGTAATTTTAATCTTGCATTCTTTTATTTTACAGAAACCATTTTATCTACGAGCATTGCCTTTGTACCTCACTGTCGCTGTTTACGTTGCTGCTGTTTTGATCTACCTATTGGTTCCCGCCCAATATCTTGTATTTCGTCCATCGACTGAACTTGTTCTCCTACCTACTCTACCTACCCTATACATCTATCTGTTACGAACATATCAGCGAATTTATTATTAGTGTTGGCGTTTTAATTTCGGCCCTATGTTCGGCTTTGTTGTGTTTCTAGTTCGTTTTATTCTATTTTATTCTATTTAGGTAATATGACTGACTCGTTCGATGTCGTTGGAATAGTTCTTTAGCCTGATATAAGATTATTTCCTTCCTGACCTTCGCAGTCTGTGAGGCCCTACCTACCATCATAGTACATATAATAAGTGACTACGCAGCCATACGACTTACATATCAATTTCTCTTAGTGTAGATAGCCCTAATGGGTACCTAGGTATATATATGCAATAGGGTTAGAAGAGGGCCCCAACTAGATACATCAAGTCCCTAGGAAGACCAATCGTAAACCGCCCAAGATCGATGCCTATGTTTCTGTTACTTAAATGACTATCTCACAAGATCTCGTCGATTAGTAGTCAGCGCCTTAAATCCAATCCAATTCATCCATCCATTCATTCATGATTTCTAATTGCGCAAGCGGGTAAATGCTACCTTGGGCATAGATTGCATTCCAACAAGTACTGCTTGCTCGTTCACATATCAAGTAGATTGACGCCACACATTGACATACATGCATGGGTTCCTCCTATACTCCAATGGTGGCACCGATTGAATTGACTGTATCCATTAATAGTTTAATACTATATGATAGGATAAGATTGATATTATTCCTCATCGTCGCTGGCATAAGGAATCTGCTTAACCGGTACCTGAGGAGTGGGCGGACCTGGAGTCTCACTGGCCCCTTCCTATTATAGACGAAGACGACCTCAGGAAATGTGTGCACCTTCCTCTTGTAGATAACGACGAGGTTCAACGTCTCCCTGGGCTCCTCCCTTTCCCTTTCTTTTCCTTCCTTTTCCCAACATCTTTCTTTTTCTTCCTCCTTGACATCCCTCACCATTCGTTTCTTCCGCGTGTTTTATCAAATCCATCCATCAAAGTCAAGTCAAAGTCAAGTAGACACCGAATTTCGACGAATTTCCTATCAAAACATTTGGCAGCTCTCTATGGACAGGCCTGACTCAGCTTCTGAACAAAAACAGGTGGGTACACCTCTCTAATGACCGATGAAAAAAGCAGTCATCCTTCTGAGGGCTGAGTGGGGAGCCCAGTGATGAGACCGCTAATCTTTTGAGCGAGGAGGGGGAGCTTCGGCGAAGCCCACTTAGTCAAGGATGACTCCTGTCCAGGCTAACTCCCATTATTCTGTAATATGCAGGTTCGATCTCGTGCCACGTCCAAGAGTCAATGGTTTTTTTAGGTGTCTTTTCAGGCCGACCTATTATCGGTAGCGGCGGCTTCGGCGAGTCTGTCCGTACACCATGTTGCCGTCGTGGCGTCGTTTACGAACGGGCTCTTATTTGATATAGTCTGCACCGCAGAATCGTCTTCTAACACAGAGTCATTCGATAGTTTCCTGGCTGTATTTAATGCTGGTTAGATAGGAGAGCATGTTAAGACCCGTGATAAAACAAAATCATTTTTCAATTAGTTATCGTTCGTTTCAAGTTCAGTAATGCGTATATTGGTAGTTCGGCCCTCTGTGGCAAGGAAAGGTTCCGTACGCCACCAAGGGGAACAGACTGCGAAGGTCTCTGTTCAAATAGATAGGAAGCGCGGCCAACATCTAACTATCGCAGTGATTATGTCCAGGATACGGGAACGAGCGGGCATGAAGAGAAAACCAAGTCGACACTTGGGAGTTAGTCCCAAACAATGATGTATCTAATAGACAATAGACAGTCGGTGTAAATAATTGGGAGAACCAGACTCGAGGGTATGAGACGACGAACGAAATGGAGGAGAAAAAATTTAAAAAAATTTAACCTCTCCGCGTTTCGAACGCGAGCCGGGGGAGAAAAAATTGGGGGGGAACTTGTTTTTGGTAAAGCAGTCATTGTTCCCATTCGGCCATCGACCCGAAGGTCATCATAGAATTGCAGAATGGTGATATAATAGCCTTTCCATGACGGTCCATGTCATGAATTTGTTCGGGGTATTTCTGTCCCGGTTCGGGGGTCGTCAGTTATTGCCCTAGCTGGTTTCTACTAGGTACACGGCCTGGCTCACTTAGCTTCTTCCAATAATGACTATATACCTAATAATATGTATTTGTCTTTGGCCGTATAATTGGGGAGAGATCAAATACATCAACTTCAGTAGCCTCTATACCCATTTTGAATGGCATAATAAGATGGTGATATATGTAGGATTGCAAGGACTCACTGCTGCCCAGCTGAGGCTTTTGGGTCTAGTGGCATAAACATCTATAATGTATCTATATACCTTGGTATTTCATTAGTCCGGGGTACTTGTCGAAGCTGTCCAAAAGATAATCGTAAGTAGTCTCCCGCAGAATACGGAATAATTGAACAAACAGAGCTACATTCCTCTAACTACGGGAGCTTGGAAAATGGAGGAGGCCTGCTGGCATGGTCCGAGCATTCGTGGCCCAAGCACTATTTTAGTAAGAGGCCGCCCTGGTTCCTATGACTATCGAAAACCCTGGCCGTGGATAAGACTAATATCAACAACCGTATCTTACTGAGCGTTGCCGATTCGGTTTCTATAGAAGATCGGTTGTGACTGTGTGTTATAGGTTATAGTAGGCTATATTTCTGCTACTATTGTTATTTTCCCCCTATAGCACACGTACTATAACTATATTAATGAAGATATTATAGAGGAACAGCGCGGGTGTTAAGGAATACTTGAGGTAATTTTAGGTTGAGTAGAGAGGAGGCTGGGTAAGCTGGTTAAAGCGGCAACGTCCGAGTGAGACAAGAGTAAGCTGTCTGACCTACCCAAGTGAACCCCCAAGAGTTCGCCGCTCCATCATATTGCCCATTAATTATAACAAAACGTGTATCTTCCCAATTCTAGACCATAGAGCTTCTCTCAAAGAATCACTTGCGAAAGTTCAAATTAATTCAGTCAAAATGACAACCCCCGAATCCAAACGCCCCGTAGTTTGCGTCTTGTACGTTCTGCGACACCTTGCCCCTCCCCCGCTATAATTGCGTTTTATCACCCCTACTGAAGGAATACACTAACCGCTCCTTACTTAAAAGCATAAGGCTAACATGAAGTTTCTCAAGCTGCGGCTCCGTCGAAGGGACTAACCCCGCACACATGGATACCGCCCGACGCCTCGCCCAGATCTTCCATGATAACAACATCCAGCTCGTCTATGGTGGCGGCACAAAGGGCCTGATGGGCGAGATCGCGCGCACGCTGGTATCCCTCTCGGGCCCCGATGCCGTACACGGAATTATTCCCCGTGCTCTTGTGAGCGTTGAACCAGGTTACAAGAGCAAGAACCAGGAAAAGACGCCATCAACGTCTTCAGCGGCTGCTACTACGGGCGGCGGAGGGAAGGAAGCCGAGCGGGTTGTTAATGATAGCGGGACGCCGTCTTCTGAATACGGACTTACAACGATCGTTGCGGATATGCATACTAGAAAACGAACCATGGCGCAGAAGGTCAGAGAAGGAGGTCCCGGTAGTGGGTTTGTTGCGCTGGCCGGGGGGTTCGGAACGATTGAGGAGGTTATGGAGATGACAACATGGAATCAGTTAGGAATTCACCATCTGGGGATTGTGCTGTTGAATGTTGCTGGGTATTGGGATGGTTTGTTGGAGTGGGTGAGAAACTCGGTGAGGGAGGGATATGTATCCAAGGAGAATGGGGGGATTCTGGTGGAGGCGAAGACTGTGGAGGAGGTATGGCCGAAGCTGGTGCAATATCAGGTGAGTGAGGGGAGATACCAGTTGAATTGGTCAGATGAGTAAATGAAAGGAGCGAGTCGCTGCACTTGAATAGAGCAATAGTATAGGCTAGATATGGATTAGACAATGTCAATTACGGATAAAACATGGTGCGGCATGGATGGAAATCTTGTCATATTATTCCCGGTATCAGGAGTAAGGCATTTTCATGTCTATAGCGTAAGTTCACATTTATGAATCAACCTCCATCGTCTCAGTCTCCTTGGTCTCGCCCGCTTCCGACCGGTCCAGAGCTTCGAAGAGCGGAAGGAGCTGCTGCCCTTCGTAGAGCTTGAAGTTCTCGGTCTTCCCGGTATCGCTTGCAAGTCCCACCACGCTGATGGATGTGTTGTCCACCGTCAACTCTTTGTCCTGGGAAAGAGTCTCCTTGAGAGCCCGAAGTCCATGGGTGACGAGCTCGTCCCGGGTAGACGCTGTGATCTGGTCTAGATTGCGCTCCAAATAGGTCCGGGCCATCTGAGATCGTGCTCCGATGGCACAGGCGAGCATCTCCTGGGCCATGCCGGAAGGCTGGAACTCGAATAGATGGGGACCAGCTTCGTCCACTCCAGCAACGAGCAGACCAACACCATATGGTCGCTTTCCGTACTGTTGCGTGTTTGTTTGAGCACGGTCTGCAATTTGGTTGACAATGCGATTCACAGGCAGGGGTCGGCCGTACGTCATCCGGGAGCTGAGACACTGCTGCTTCATGTAGTTGGATAGTACACGGGCGTCTGATGCCAGACCGGCGATAGCGACACCCATATGCGAGTCGACCTCGATGATCTTCTTCTGGTATGAGGAAAGTTCTTCGGCGTTTCTCTACAGATACAATTCAATGTTAGTTTCTGTTAAACCCCGTTTATGTGATGGTTAATGTATTTGACGGGATCTCGAACCTTCAGGCCAACCAGCACGGCATGTGTCTTATTGACCAGACCAACCACGACGGAACCCTGCTTCACTGCTTCTTGTGCATACTCTACCTGAAATATCCGACCTTGCGGGGAGCTTCATTAGAACGACAAGTTAGCCCAAGCATCTTCAAAGACTTAAATGGAGAGCTCATACAAGGTGACCGCATCGTTGTCGTAGTTGTTTCTGAACATCTTGAGAGCTTGAGCTGGGCGATACTATGCTCGAAATGCAAATTTATCGGATATGCAATTATCTCCTGGAGTGGGTGGGCCAAGGGACAGGAATTCAAAAGGAAAGTTGATGGGGAGACGAAAACGAGATACCAGGCAGACAGCAACTGACGCAAAACATGGAGGTCCAAAGGAAGCTCCACGAAGGCTGGTGGTGAGCCTGGCCGCCTCAGGCCGCCAAGCCTCAGCTGCCGCCCGAATCCAACCTCCCTCACGTCACCCGCATTCATTCATTGTTCATCTTGCGATAGAGTAGACCGGCTTGGACAATACCGTTGAATTATCCTCAACTTCGTGCGGCTCTAGATTTATGTTCACATGAGCCGTTTCCCACCTACGCAAAGGATTCCTACAACATCTGCCCGCTGCCTAGAGCTTGACGCACCTGCGTCTCCGCAGTCATGACGGCTGGACTGAAAACAATCATCGCGCTCTCCTTTGTACGGATAGTCCTCGTCCTCTTCAAACGTATTGGCTAATCTTTAACTCCCCTTACAGGTTCTCGCCATTGGCTTTCTCCTCGTTATCCTCTCTTCGGCTCTCTGGCACAACTTCCTGCCACTTACTGTTGTTGCGACCTACGTTATTGCGCCGCTCCCAAACTGGATCTGTTCAAGATGCGCAAATCCAGATGACTTTATGGACAGCTCCGGCAATGCGGCCGCTGATTTTGGCCGTTTCTTGACCGGATTCCTAGTCTTAATGGGCATTGGTATGTCAATGCGCCCACCCCAGGTGATTGAGCTTTTGCGGTTATGGAGTGACTCGCTTTTCTTCCAACATATACAACTCGTTTATTTTTTTTTTGTGGAATATAGCTAATATATATGTCCTCACAGCTCTCCCAGCCGTTCTCGCGCACAGCGGTGCGATCCAAGTACCTGCTATGATTATGTCCGTCGTCGGCGGTCTGTTGATTTATGGAACGATCATCAGTTTCTCAATGTTTTTCCGAGAACAAGAAGAATTCTGAGTACAAGATATGTTGCGATGAAAGGATGCAGATCTTATTTCCGGAACATTGAGCTATTATTATTGCGAACCCTCTACAGACCTGTGTCGCATATCGAGAGAATCCCTGTTACTTATCATTTCCAATGTTTCAATGCTTGAATGGATGTTTCTTTCTTCGACGTATGCTGGGAGTTTTTGATGTGGGCTTCGTGCGATATTCTGCCCTTATTGGCTGTCTTTTATTCGGCGATACGATTATTTGATGTATTATAGCCACTTCTGCAAGGTTATAAATAGAGCTTGTAAACCGGATTCAGATGGCCCATTAATTATATGCAGATAAGGACAGCACGGTTATCTAAAAGGCAGTTGTATCCCGGCCCATTATTCATGTCGTAGTTGGTAGTAGGTCGTAGTGAGGGTATCACGTGATCACGCGCTTTCCTATTTGGCTCGCGTCGTGTTAAACATTCAATCACCAACAGCATGAACCCCGGAATATGACGAGCTTATGATATGTATATTGAGAGGTGTGGAGAGTTTTGAAGATGGATATCTGGTCTGGTGCTATTGCGCTAGACGATCAAACTCGACTACAAGGTAGGTTTGCGTCTCGTGCCAGGGCTTTGAAACGGTTGATTAACCAATTCCCAGGCCTACAACTTATCGATCGATCTGCTAGTTGGCAGTCAGATATACTCAAACTCTCTACTCTAGGATTTAAATCCTTCGTTAACCCTGCTCTTATCCCACTTTACGCTCGCGTTGGTCCGAGCCTCGAACTCCATACAAGTGACCCGCAAACTTCCCGATGGCTAAAACACAAATTGCTGGATAATATATGGTTAGAGGATGATGACTTGGACCGTTTGCAGACTATTCAATGCCCGGTTGGATTTCTCGTGAACCTTAATGGCGCGACACGACCAAGAGCCTCAGGGCTAACCACCACCGACCTGCTCGTGTACGGCATTCTGTCAACCGCAACCTCATATGAGCGCCCCCCTACGCCACCTGTATCGTCCTCGCCCGAAACAGAAGAGGCTGTTTCGGGTACCGTTCACCAGAAACTGAAAATATATGCATCGCCAATTTCTGCATCCCTTATTACCAGAGCACAGGCCCTTCCAAATCGTGAGGAGCCCGGAACAATTGGTAGCCATGAACCGTTCGCACAGTTTCTTCCGGATATCAATTCCCCCAGCCCCAAGCGCAAGCGTGTGGCAACGTTATTCGAATCTGTAGCGCAGCATCATAAACGAGTACAACACAAGGGAGGCGAAGCTGTATCGCTGTTGATGGCCCAGAACCTTTCACAACCTTCACAACAGCTCCAGGGTTACAGGGTCAAAGGAGAATCAGAGGAACCTAGCCTTCCAATATTGAGCAAGATTTCTTCCCATCGGTCCAGATCACTCTCGATCAGCTCGAATTTAAATCCTAACAAGGGGTTAGAAACCCGCGCCGACCATTCACGGCCCAGCAGCAGTCGAGGCCATGTGCGCCAACATTCCACCAAGCGAGGGACACCGGCGCCAGGGGCATCAACGGAAGCCCCGTCGCGGAGGGAAAGCGTGCTTTCCCCTGCATTACTATCCTCCGAAGGCAAGGAGGATCCGGAGTTGAAGATCGCAGAGACCATCATCTCCGATAATAAAAACATCATAACTCGTACCATATTGACTTGTATGCGGCTATACGGGTTCAACCGGACCACTCGACCTGCATCCTCTAACAAAAATCTATCCCATAACGATATGGTACCCCCTCAGAACGAAGGGAAGGACTCACATGGTCCCGGCGACAACACGGCTCTGTCTAATTCTAATTCATGCAATGATGAAGATGAATTCAAAGCCATGTACCACGCGACTTATCGTGCGTCGACATTTGCGCTGAGAAAATACCTGAGAGAGCCGGCCATGAGCGAGGACGGCTCAAAATCGGCGCCCCCTGTTCTGGAGAGAGGAAGAGCAATGACGTGTATTGATGGATTTTTGAAGCTATTTTGCGAGGAGGAACATTGAAGCTGGCTGGCCCAAGCTACGAGGCAATGAATTTACGAAGTATATAACCTGTTTGCATTCTGAGGAGTTAGAGCTAAAATTTCATGAACTTTTTTCAATTTTCTTATGAAACCGTAAGCCTATTTCGCAAGGAACCTGCGCTTGGCAAGTGCCATGAGAAGCTCTTGCATTTCTCAGGCTGAATGGTTCAAGGCTGAGGCTGTATACTCCGGAACCGGATTTTCCGAAGTCCGGACACCTGCGGGCATCGTCATCCACCATCCAGCCCCCAGTGGAGGTCAGCGCGAGCTTAAGAACAAGCGACAACCGTGATACCCAACACACGCAGTTTTGTTTGAATTTTCCCGACTAAAATACCTAGATACACGGACGACTACCACTCGAAATATGGATGGCTCAGACAACCGCCTATTCCGCTTCTCGAAGCCTGAATGGCTCAACAACTCAACTGTGCGCAACTCAGGTGTCTACGCAGCAGGCGCATTGGTAAAGTTCCCAATCTATCATTCCATGGCATCCCTCGTAACTCATCACTAATTAACTGTTATATAGTTCTCTCTTGGGTTCTTTTTCTTGATCGATGCCGCGGCGTTCTCGCACAGCTACCGCAACGACTCGGACGTCCACGTCAAGTTCGTCGACTGGATCCCCGGCATTTGCTCCGCGCTGGGCATGCTCGTCATCAACTCGATAGAGAAGTCGCGGCTACAAGCCGATAGCTTCAGTTACAGTGGGAATGGTGTCGCGTGGAAGGCGCGATTTGTGCTCTTCCTGGGATTCGCACTGCTTGCTGGGGGCTTGGCGGGGAGTGTGGTATGTCTTTCAGATGACATCTCTTTTAGACTTCTTAATTCCGAGGTATTATTCGCGGAGAACGGTATACTAACTAATATTTTAGACGGTTATGGTCCTCAAGTACCTTCTCAAAGACTACGAGTTGTCGATTTTATACTTTGGGATCGCGAACGTTATTTCTAATGGGCTGATTATGCTTAGGTAAGGAAACAAGATCTACTGCAAAGGACTGGTCCAGTACATTTGCTAATTCTATATAGTTCGATTGTTCTTTGGGTTTCTCAAAACATTGAAGATGACTACACATATAACCTTGCGCTGTAGAGGCTGATCGGGTTGCTTTGGGCATTGTGTGAGAGTCTGCTCTCTAGCATATTACTTTTGAGATGGTTTTATATGATTCTTGAATGTTACGTTTTATCGTCGTGCGTGTTTTCATGAGTTTCAGCCCGCGAATCAGCTTGTGCTTTTATACTACATGTATATTTATGGGATGGCGTAGACAGTTTTTGTGATGGGTGTTCAGAGTGTTCTTTTTATTGCCTCGATTTATTTATTTAAGTCTCGGTTGTCTTATATCTTTACCGAGCCTAGCTTCCCCACCTATATCGCAGAATATATCACCATATGCGAGATGGCGATGAGTGAGTAACGGCGAAGAGAGGGTATCTGTCCCTGCTATTTACAAATAGCGATCGAGTCTGAATGCGCACGTATGTGCCTTGTTGTAGCGACCCCAGACGACCGCGCCTTCTATCGAGAGTGCCTGTTGCGGATACAAGTTATCTCGACGGAGACTCGAAACACTTCCTCAGGTAACCAAATAGAAGTGACAGGCGAGGCCGCCAAAAGCTGTCTGCCTATCGTATACGCACACGTAATTGAATGCGTAGGTAAAAAGATGGCAAGGCATCAGAATTAAATTTCCGTTTCATGAGAGTGGTGTTCAATTACGACGACGGCCCGGGGTGCGCTCTCAGTTTATCCATGATCGCATCAATGGTGTCCATGTCGCCTGCGTCAACTTTGCCACTGGCATATCCGTCTGGAAGATGCTTGACAAACTCGTTCATGGCTGGTTGATAGTTACGGACGGCAGAAGAGAGAGCATAAACAGCCTTCTTGCGGACGGCCTTGTCAGGGTCTTCTGTGGACAGCGAAACGAGAATTGGCATAGTGTTCATGACAATAAGCTATTTCAACACGTCGTCAGCTTTCGTTCTTTGCACCAAGACTTAAAATAGAATGGGACTGTCGGGGCCGGAATACACACCTTATCCTGTGCCTTTTCGTTATTCTGTACTGCTGTTCCAATGCACCACGCCGCCATGCGTCTCATATCAGGTTCCTTATGCTTCAGAAGCTCAACGAGCGGAGTCCAGAGGCCCAAGGGTTCGAGGTTATTCGCATTGTCGATAGATTCAACAAGCTGTTCAAAGTTGTCGAATGCGACCAATTTGTTTTCCAGATCGACCTCATCCGAATGCAGGGCTTCCATTGCGGCTTTCATCAGATCGGCTTCGGAGGGGCCACCGAAGAGCGCGTTGAGCATCTGCGGGGTGACGTTGGTGCGCGGGGCTTGGGAGCCATCGTTGTTAGAGTCGGGTGATTGTTGGGCATTCGAGGAGTTTTGGATTCCCCATTTGAGGAGGTTGTTCATATTTGGGTCCATAGTGTAGGGTGTGACGGGATACTTTGAATATTTTCTTCTAGGGCAGCAAGGTTTGCGGCAAATGCGAATTAGGAGCTAACGAAGAATAGATCCGAAGTAGATGTTCAATTCAAATAATAAACCGGTCGATACTATACGTCGGAGGTAAAAAAAAAAAGTGCTTGCAAGTTTGGCAAGAAAAAAAGTATTAGGGAAAAGAGAGGTTAGTTAAGGATGAAACCGAAGAACGGTTCTTGTCGGATCCAGACGCTTCACGTTCCAGCGATGAGTTTCCACCTTGTTCTACGCTAATTAGACACCCTAGCAGGCACGGATGGAGCACTGCATGCACGGTGCTGCTGCTGATTTATTGCTTGGTCTTAATTGCTGTGTCAGCGCAATTTCTTTAAACTCAGTATCTGTGCTTTTTATCCAATTTTAGTGGTTTCATATTCAAATCTTCGTTACCCCGCCATGGTCGAGCCCCGCGATGCTGTCATACAGTAAAACTATGCGGCTTAATGTCCGCCAGGCTTGGAATACGAAGTACAGAGCCGGTATATGGCTGCAATACATAACAGGAAAATTCGAATTTGCCTGTCGTAAAACTGATACCTCGACCGTTTTTTGACAATGGCATTGTACAGAGTCCAGGCCGTCTGATCGTGAAAACTAAAAAGGCGGTCAGGTAGACGATCTTCAGTCCAAGATTCGGTGATCATGATTCTAAACAGCGCAGTGTGTAGCGATACGAAGCATTAACAGGAGCAGACTACTTGGCTCCATTAACGAGTCTGGCAGCCCATGCATAAAAGAAGGGACAACCCGACTGTCTTTTCAGGCACACACACCTTCCTGATTAGGGCGAGGGGCAAAGAATCTGGAAGCCTGGATTCTTCTTCAGGCATTGGCATTCAAAGAAAAGCGAGTCGTCATCATGCTTATTGCCGCTTGCTTCTAGCTGTTTGGGATGACGCCGATAATAATAGAACGAATAAGAGGCGGCGATAGAAGGACCCTGTTCTTTGGAAACTGGAAACTGGAACACGCCGGGCTGAACCATCATCGCAGCCTTGAATTTCATGGTCTGCCCCACGAGGATTCATCATCGCCTGGGCCGGAAAGGACACCTCAGCTGCTAGGAAACAATCATTCTGCCTTGAGAGGCAACACCTGTAAGGCGAGCCGTAGTCGTATAAAGCCAATAATGGATTCAGCTGAGGGCGGCGACTGTATTTTTCTTCCAACGCAAGTATCAGACAGCTGTGTGGCGGTGACAGCGACTGGGACTAGACGAGACTAGCCCCCTTTGGCGCCTAATCATAGCAACTTTGGAGCGAACTTGACCAACTCCCCCCATCCAGCCCCCTTTCCGCTCGAACTGGACAGAAAAAACACAGGGAGCACGGTAGCAGCTGCTGACTACTCCGCCTACCGCTACCCTCGCACCTCCACCACCACCACCGACCACCACCAAACTCTCGACTCTCTCCCCTTCTCTCCCTCCACTTTCTCACCCCAACAACAACCACATCCCATTTTCCTTCTTCTTGCCATCATCTCTCCTCCTCCCTTCCTTCCCATCACTCTTCTCGTTTCTTTTTCCTCTTTGTTCCCCGTAGTTCGCTTCTTAATCCATCCCTAGACACCATGGAAGGTAAGGTTTCTGCCACCTCAACGCCTTGCTTCCCTCGCTTGTTCCCTTCCCCCTCCCCTCCACATCCTTCGCCTGTCAACTTTGCGCTAACCTGCCTTTCTTCGGCCGTGTACAGAAGAAGTTGCTGCTCTCGTTATCGACAATGGGTATGTCTTGACTGTGTTTTTGATGGCATCGTAGATGCCATCCCACCCTCCATTGTTGTCCCTAAACACTCGCCTCCGCCCGCCGCTGGTCGCAACGACCTAACCGCCCTGAACATGCTGGCTGGTTATTGGACTCCGGTCGTTCTCAATGATCATCCATGTTGATCAGCTTCAGCTATTCTACCTCTGTAATTCATAATCTGCCTTTGTTTAATATGCTGACTTGGATTGTTTTAGTTCGGGTATGTGCAAGGCCGGTTTTGCCGGTGACGATGCTCCCCGTGCCGTCTTCCGTAAGTCAACCCCTCGATCCCCCTATCTACAATCCTTCGATCCCGCTGGAATTCTCGCCACGCATTTCATCGAGTCTGCTCGATGAAACGGTGTCCACAGTGCTCTTGCGCTACAGTGGGCACATTCAGGGCGGTGAACACTAGTATAGCCAGCAATACACTTCTCAACTAAACAATCAATTCTGGTGCTAACTATTTTGTGAAGCCTCCATTGTCGGTCGTCCCCGTCACCATGGGTAAATTTCCCTCAAATCCCCCCATCTACCCGGCGGTGGCCGCTGACGCTCGAAAACAGTATCATGATTGGTATGGGCCAGAAGGACTCGTACGTCGGTGATGAGGCACAGTCTAAGCGTGGTATCCTCACGCTCAGATACCCCATTGAGCACGGTGTTGTGACGAACTGGGATGACATGGAGAAGATTTGGCACCACACATTCTACAACGAGCTCCGTGTCGCCCCTGAGGAGCACCCGGTTCTCTTGACCGAAGCCCCCATCAACCCCAAGTCCAACCGTGAGAAGATGACCCAGATCGTCTTCGAGACCTTCAACGCCCCCGCCTTCTACGTCTCCATCCAGGCCGTTCTGTCTCTGTACGCCTCCGGTCGTACCACCGGTATCGTCCTCGACTCTGGTGATGGTGTTACCCACGTTGTCCCTATCTACGAGGGTTTCGCCCTTCCCCACGCCATCTCCCGTGTCGACATGGCTGGTCGTGACCTTACGGATTACCTGATGAAGATCTTGGCGGAGCGTGGATACACCTTCTCCACTACCGCTGAGCGTGAAATTGTCCGTGACATCAAGGAGAAGCTCTGCTACGTCGCCCTTGACTTCGAGCAGGAGATTCAAACCGCTTCCCAGAGCTCCACCCTTGAGAAGTCTTATGAACTTCCCGATGGTCAGGTCATCACCATTGGTAACGAGCGTTTCCGTGCTCCTGAGGCTCTCTTCCAGCCTAGCGTGCTTGGTCTGGAAAGCGGCGGTATCCACGTCACCACCTTCAACTCCATCATGAAGTGTGATGTTGACGTCCGTAAGGATCTGTACGGCAACATTGTCATGGTATGTCTTCCTTGACGCTATCCTACTTGGCCGGTACTAACAATTTGATAGTCTGGTGGTACCACCATGTACCCCGGTATCTCCGACCGTATGCAGAAGGAAATCACCGCTCTTGCGCCTTCATCCATGAAGGTCAAGATCATCGCTCCCCCTGAGCGTAAATACTCCGTCTGGATCGGTGGTTCCATCTTGGCTTCCCTGTCCACCTTCCAACAGATGTGGATCTCCAAGCAGGAGTACGACGAGAGCGGTCCTTCGATCGTCCACCGCAAGTGCTTCTAAGGTATGACTGGACGCAGTATTATCCAATGCAACAAGATTCTGAATTCTGATTTATTTGCAGCTCTTGCGTTGTTGTATCTTGTCGTTGTCGCGTATTTCCTGTTGTATTAAAAGAACCAAACGGAGACAAACGGTGGCTTGCGGACCGTCTCTGACTTGCACTAGGAGGAAGAATGCCTGGAGAAGGAACTTTGATTTTTAGTTGTGGTATAGAGATGGTTTGTTTGAGAACGCTTGTCGCTCGGCGCAGAGGGTTAAATTCGAATAGCAGCTTGTGGAGACCGATGGCAAGAAAAGTCATGGATACTGTACATGGATTCTATTGCCAGTGCGGTGAAAGCTTCCTCTCATATAGTTTCAATCCTTGTTTGAATCTGCTATTTTTTTCATATTCGGACTGCTGTCTTTCCTTATGTGGTTTCACCTTCGAACACATCTGCTGAAAATTTGAGTTCCTGTGCAGTTGATGAGCCTTTCGCCGCTGTTGTCCTTGTTTGTTCTTCTATTCTCTCGTCAGACCCGTTTGCTCTCTTGCAACCCTTGAACTTGTCGACATTCTCTCCCCCCAGCGCGTTACCAACAGCGAACTCGATATCAGTATAGTACGGAACAAGTAGTCTAACTAAAATATATCCTAGTACAAAGCACCGTGTTCAAGTTGTAATAACAAGGAAGAATATGGAACGCTAGGGGCATTGAGATGAAGTAAAAGGCATATTGTTTTGCAGGTACACAGAGCGCACCACAACTCGAGTCTCTCAACTCAATTCATTCAAAGAACGTGAATTCAATGTTATCAGAGCATTATGTTTTCTGGAATATAAACAAACTAGGACTAACCGTTAATTGAAGCGCCCACCTACTACCCTAACAGCACTCGTTGGTTTGATTCAGGCCAAGGCCTTCATTGCTATAAGTGATAAAAAGATAAGAAGACATCGATAGATAGGGAATAAGTAAATATATGAATATTGTCATGTAATCTATCATACCGTATTAAATAGCTTTTATCTGTCTGGCACTCCGGAGATCGGAAACCCGCCAAGGGATCTATAATATAAAGTCAACTATAAGTAGTATTTGAGTGATATCGCGTGTAATGTCATGAACGTAAATCTCAAACATAAGCCATTCTTTTCTCTTTTCGAATATCCCAATATATGCACAGTACCAGAAACCCCCCGCCGGCAGTCAATCAAAGCAGTCTTCCATTTATGCGTCCCACGTCTCAAGTCCCGAAACGATACAATCCTCTTCGCCTTCAGCCTTGGCCTTGAGTACACCGACCTGGTAGACGGTTTCGCCTTCCTTCTCGAGGAGGTCCTTCACAGCAGCCTCAGAACCCTTCTCGACGACAATAACCATGCCAACACCACAGTTGAAGGCGCGTGTCATCTCGTGCGCTGAGACATTACCATTCTTCTTGAGCCATGAGAAGACAGGGGGAAGCTGCCATGTCTTGGCGTCAATGTGTGCGGTGAGGGTCTTGGGTAGCATGCGGGGTACGTTGTCGACGAGACCACCGCCGGTGATATGGGCGAGACCCTTGATGGCGGTTGGAGATGAGGTAGCGAGGGCTTTAAGAAGGGGCTTGACGTAGATTCGGGTTGGGGTTAGGAGGGCACGGCCGAGGGTGAGGGGTTCATTGGAGGAAGGCATGGTGAAGGGGGCCGCGTCGTTGTAGTTGAGGCCAGAGCGCTCGACGATCTTGCGGACGAGAGAGTATCCGTTAGAGTGGGGGCCAGAGGATGCTAAGGCGAGGAGGACGTCGCCATCTTTCATGGCTGACGTATCTGGGAGGATAGTGCGGGCGTTAGGGCCAGAAGTATTGATGGCACCGACGGCAGCACCGACGGCGTCGTAGCTGTCGTCAATGAAAAGGCCGGGCATTTCGGCGGTTTCGCCGCCAATCAAGGCACAACCGGCTTGCGTACAACCCTCTGCAACACCAGTGACGAAGGCGGCGGCCGTGTTCACGTCTAGCTTGCCGCAGGAGTAACAGTCGAGGAAAAAGAGTGGCTCTGCTCCCTGGACGACAAGGTCGTTGACGTTCATAGCGACTAGGTCAACACCGACGGTGTCGTGTACACCTGCTGCGTGAGCAATCTTGAGCTTCGTTCCGACACCGTCGATAGCCCCAATGAGAGTTGGAGACTCGGGGTGGTAGGCGGAGTTGGCTGCAGCGAGGGAGAAGAGGCCACCAAAGCCTCCAATGACAGCGTCGGTTCCAGGACGCTTGGTCTTTGCGACGTTGCTCTTGATCTTGTTGACAAGGTCATTTCCAGCATCAATGGAGACCCCGGCCGAGGCATAGGTGAGCGACTGTTGTACCTCACGTTGCCGGAAAGCACGGTGAGCAATATCCTTGCGGTAGAAAACATCTTCAAAGTGAATCGTCTCGATACCCGCATAGCTGTTCTTCAGAGCCTCTTCAAGGCTAGCTCCTGTAGCGGTGGATGCGATAACTCGTCCACCTGCAGTCTGCAGTTCATCTCCAGCAAGGTTGGTTCCGGCGTGGAAGATTAGGGTACCCTCCGGAGTTGGATCTAAAGTGATCTTTTTACCCTTAGCATATGCACCGGGGTACCCGCCCGCAACAGCGATGACAGTGGTGGAGAAGTCGGGCTTGACCTTGATGGAGACGCCATCAAGCCAATGCTCCGTGCAGGCCACCATGATTTCTGCCAGATCCGTGTCATCACTCAAGAGGGGGAGAAGAGTCTGGGTCTCCGGGTCTCCACCACGAACGTTGTATTCGAGAACCTTGGGGCCGTTGTTGGTCATCATGAGGCCGGTAAATAGGATGCCAACAAATGGGAACCCTAGACGTTTTTAGCATAGACAGTTATAGGAATGGCCGTTGGGCACGTACCTTCTCTCCGCATTCCATCAATAGATGGTTGTACAATCGTGCGGTCAATCTCTTCAAGAACCTGCTTCGAAGAGATTGGTGTGGGAGCGTAACAGCCCATGCCTCCCGTGTTGGGGCCCTGATCTCCGTCGTAGATACGCTTGTGGTCCTGAGCTGCGGGGAGGGACTTGATGCTGTAGCCATCACTGAAGGTCAAAACACTGAGTTCGTCACCCTCAAGGTATTCTTCAATAACAACCTCATTTCCCGCATCGCCAAACTGGTGGTCGACCATCATTTCGCGCAGCGCTTGGTGGGCCTCCTCCTTTGTTGTCGGAATGATCACACCTTTTCCCCCAGCCAATCCATCGGCCTTGATGACAACGGTGTGCGACACACTATCGAGATATTGGCGAGCCTTTTCATAATCTGTGAAGTTCCCGTAGGCAGCGGTGGGGATGTTCTGGCGTTTCATGAAATCCTTCGAGAAGGCTTTGGAGCCCTCCATGCGCGCTGCCGCCTTTGACGGACCGAAGCACCTAATGCCGACTTCATACCGAATTAGTAATAGGTCCAGTGAAATAAAAAGCGCAGGGGTACCAACCGGCCTGGAAATATCCCTGAATCCCATCTACGAGGGGTGCCTCAGGACCTGGGACCACGAGATTGACTTGGTTCTTTTGAGCGAAAGCCACAAGTCCCGGGTAGTCATTCCCCTTGACATTGGCATTCTCGATCTTGCTGTGGGCACCTGCAGCAGTACCTCCATTTCCTGGAGCGACAAAGACAATGTCGACTCGCGGAGACTGGCTCAGTTTCCAGGCTAAAGCATGCTCACGTCCACCATTACCAACGATGAGGACGCGCAGACGTTCCTGTTCCTGTGCCATGGTGGGGGTAACGTTCGCGAGAAAAATCTGTTATTTAGAAATATGATATTAGATTCAGTTCTCACACATGATTCAGAGAGAGCGCAAAATTGGCAATTGGCAACGCTGGAGGGGCACTTTTCATGCATGCCCCTCCATCAATGTGCAGCAGCACTAGAACTGATAAATTTCGACCAATGCCAAAATATCCAAGTAACTCACCTCGAGAGAAGTCTAACAGGAGACGAGCCGCCAGACAGCAGAGATAACCGTTGTAAAGACAAAAGCCAACTTGACTCTGTCGAATAACTTTTTTTCTGATTTGCGGCACGGCGGGGCTTTTTACTTTTTGCTCCGAAGTACCCCCGGACTCGGAGGCCTCAATTACGGTACGGCAGCCCCGTACGGCCGGGTATCGTATGGTACAGCGGTAATTACTTCAGCAAAGGCGGTGAGCGGGCGTTGAGCAGCAGAAAAAAAAATATGGGAGACTCGCGTGTTTGCGCCTGAGTACTTCAACTACCTTTCTCGCCGGCACATGGAGATTTCCTTTCAATTGACTTTGTGAGGCCTTCTACGTGTACTCGGATCGGATGTTTCGGTCATCGTTACGGTCTGTGTCAGACCCTCTTCGTGATCATGTCTGTTTTTCCTGTCTAGCAACCCGCCTGGAAGGCCAGGTTCAGGCTCGCGCCTTTCGCAGCACTCGTTTGTCGCGCGCAGAAGCTGGCAACGAAGGCTCAGAGGTCAAGCCCGATGAATCACCTGCTGGAGGTGCTCGACCGCCACTGCACAAGGTTCGTGATTAATCTGAACATCCCCGTTCGCGGACCAGTCAGCAAAAGTATTTCGATACTAACCCTCCTTGCGATCAGAAACCGAAAACGCGGCCGGCATTGCGAGAAGCAAAATCAACGACATGGAGCCCTCGAACAGACAATGCAGCGAAGGACAAACCTAAACACTTGCGAAACTCCGTTGTACACAAAATCCGGGCGATTCGTTCTGATCATGACCGAGTCAAGGCCAGGGAATCGGGTAGCAAACCTCTAGTCAAGAAAAAGGGTGTTGAAAACAACTTGAAGAACATTATTCATAAAATTCAGAAACCCCGGGATTCACAGCCTGTCGACCAGAAATATAGTGTATTCCCGCAAATTCCTGGAATATTTACGTCTTCGGCAGCAGGCCGACGACGTGACAAACTGTATTTGGCACGGCAAAATTTCAAAGGTACGAGCAATATACAGCCTCCCTCCTTGATTCCAAAAAGTACATAACTGATAAGTGTAAAGAGCTTGAAGTGCCAACGCAACCGGTACCAAATTTGGCCTATGGCCTACAGAGAGTTCTTTTCAAGTTAGCCTCATTCTCACCTTGGGTTCTTATATCCGCATCAAATAAGCTAACAAATCCGTGTGCGTTTTGTTTAGTCCTGGAGTCTATCACCTTCGTGATCCTCGGTCTCGTGTCTTCAACTTCGATCCATATTTGGGTTCCATCATGCCTGTTACCGAATTCGATTTCGCAGCCTTGAAGGACTATATCACGTCATCCAAAGACGAAATATTGCGAAACGAGGCGATAAAAAGTAACAAGAAATATATAGGATCGTCTTCAAGCATGACAAGCGTTTTGTCGCACTTCCATTACCTGCTGTCAGCGTGGCGCCCTATCAATACGGATGCACTCTCTCGAGGATTCGATGACGATGCAAAGAATTTCACTCGTATAATGCGTGCCCCCGCTGCCATGATTTTGCGATACAAGGATGGTGTCTATGCGATAGATGCCGATAAGGAATTCGATTCGGCCAACATCCTCATGAATTTGGGTAAATCGATGGAGAAGCTTCTCACCTTACCGAAAGATGAATTTGAACGTTACCGGAGATCCCACCAGAATAAGATCACACCTGAGGAAGAGGCGTCTTTGCCGGAATCCTACCACTATTCAACCATGGGAGATTTCTTGATGAGGTCTCAACTCGATGCCCATGACCCACGCCTTCCTGGTACCGGAATGTTTGATCTGAAGACACGCGCAGTCATATCCATTAGAATGGATGCGCGCAACTTTGAGGCTGGCCTAGGGTATCAGATCAAATCGCGCTTTGGCAAGTACGAGTCGTATGAGCGCGAGTATTTTGATATGATTCGCGCGGCCTTCCTCAAGTATTCACTTCAGGTCCGTATTGGGCGCATGGACGGGATTTTTGTGGCGTTCCACAATATTGAACGAATTTTCGGCTTCCAGTACATAAGCTTGTCGGAAATGGATCAAGCGATACATGGTCAACCGGACACGGCGTTGGGTGACGGTGAATTCCGTCTAAGCCTTCAGCTCTGGAATAAAGTACTCAACAGGGCTACTGAAAAATACCCTGGAAAGTCTCTTCGGTTCCACTTTGAGACTAGAGACACCTCGACGCCATTCATGTACATCTTCTACGAACCCGTCACCGACGAAGAAATCGAAGCCATTCAAACCAGGAACAAGGCTGAAATCGACGCCTACCAGCAACGGATCCTAAAATACGTCCCCGATGCCGATGGCCAAGATCCTGCTCAGGAAGATCAAGAGCCCGAAGTTGCCGCCACTGAAGATGAAGCCACTGTAGACACCCAAGAGCCTGAAATTGCTGCCGCTAAGGATGAAACTATTGAGGACATCCCGCCCAAGTCAGAAGACCCAGTCAACACAGAAGCCTCTTCGAAATCCGATGACCGCGAGATTTCCGGCATGGTACTAATGGCACTGAACCGTGTGAATGGCCGCCCTGTTGGCCGTCCCTACGATATCACTGAAAATGACAGCTGGAGCGTCGAATACGAATTAACTGATTTGGAGGGTCCAAAAGTTAGAAGTTTCTACAATGCCTGCCAGCACCGTCGTAAGACCCTTCTTGAAGGGAAGGACGACTTTTCGGGCGAGACGGCGTACCTCAAGAAACTGAGGCGACTTGCATATGAGGGCCGAAAACTCCGCAAAACGCAGGATAAACATGACAAGAAGAATGGGGTCACTGTTTTGGATGGTGTGGAGCATTGATGAATGATGTCTTACTATATCGGATAGATGTTTTCTTCCTCTCTGAGGTCTGTATTATACTTGAACTTTTGGTTGGTTTATATATTGTACTCTTGTAATATAATTCTGAGCGTTGAGTTTTTAAAACCTCAGTCACCCAAAACAACAGCGTTTGGGGTATTTTGTGTACTTGTTGAGTTTACCTTACCCTCTGAATATTCATAACCATAGCGACCACGTCGACTCCGCACATTAAGCAAATATGCGTACGTTGGACCAATATCGCCAGTTACTACTAGAGCAAAACCACAAATGACCAAAGGCAAGTCAACAATTGACAGTATATATACAAAATCCCTGCCTATTATATGTACACCCAACCCGCAAGTATCGACAGTAGTGGTATGTAGGTAACAACTATGCTGAAAATAAAACCAGTCAATTTACACGAATTTCGCCGTTCCACAGAATATGACAGACAGCATGCGTGGCTTGGGCTAGAAGTAGCGTTCCTCCCAAGACCGGGTAAATCTATATCATTAACGATTAAGTCATGTTGAGAAATGCGCAAAGGGACAAAGAGTATCCTGCCGGGCCTCTCTAATGACTGTCGGATATGTTCAAGATGGAGCTTGTATAACGACAGTCGATTTGTGCGTCAAGCACGCCAGACACAAATCAAAACAGACAAGTATGTTTGTCTTTTGACATCTAGATGGACGGATGGAGTGGTAGAAAAAGGAAAGAAAAGAGAATGATGAACGAGCTGGGTACGATGCCGGTTGTCGTAAGATAGACAGGAAAAGTGAGGGTATCGAGCGTATAAAGAGTATGAGGACTTCTGTAGGCCTGCTCATTTATAGTAGGAACAAAGGAACTCGAGCGAGTGGTAGCGTCAAACAAAGTTTCAGGGCGTGGTATAATAACGAGCAGTCTTGAGTAACGATGATGGTGTTCAAATGGTTGATCATTTAGGTTCATATATCTTGAGATGCCCACGGTCGAGTCCGAAGTTTCAGAAACTTGGGGTGTATGGAGGACCTCTTGATTTAAATATGGGTGACCTAACGGAAGTCGCCGAGATCAAAGTGAGGTGGAGACCAATCTAAAGTTGGTGGTCTATCTCCAGATACACACACTGTCCCAGATTTCATGGTATCCATCTTCTTCCGCTCTCTCGACGAGAGGAAACCTCTCAGTGTTGAGGATGCGGATCCATATGCGCTCTTTGCGCTTGCACCTGTGCCGGTACTCGTGGAAACAGTGCTTGAGGTACGAGTGCTGCGGATACTGCTAGACTTGCTCACAACTGATGGGAGCATCGGAACTGGAAGAGCAGAACGGGCCGACACACTTGAAGCAGCATAGTCCGATGGCAGAGCCTGAGAAGGGTGACTGGAATAGGACGATAGATACGGTGATTTCTGTAGCTCGTCGTCCAGGTTATTCTCAGTATCAAGGCTTTGGAATATCTCCAGATGCGGGCTCTTATCCGCCCCGCTGGTCTGTGATGGTGTTTGCGACGTGGTCGATTGGATTTCATCCGTAGTTAGCGCCACATCAAGCTTGAGTTGCTCCAGCATGGTCCCAAGGCTCGCAGCAGTTGCAGGGCGTCCATCACTAGCGGCATCATCGCTAGTGATGCCAATTTCTTCATCACTTATACCGTTGACTAGGTTGAAGTTCCTGAAAAGGTATCGGCGCAGACGCGAGACTTCTGCGTCCCATTTTGAACTCAACGACTGAAGGATGGCCTCCACTTGGTCATCCATGGGTGGCCTAGAGTCAACAGCCGAAAGTGAGCTTGCAGTAGCACGGATATGACCATAAGAATGCGAGTGTTTGGCCAATTTACTACTGACAGAGATATTCTTGACATTGATCGCAGCGTGCAATGATCGACGTAGAGAACTCGTCGTTGGATGTTGAGAAGCACTTAATTCCCTTTTCACATTTGCAATCTCTCGGCGTACTTTGTCGAGCGACCTGGCTCTATCGCGGTCCATGCATGATAGGCTCATCAAAGATCGGTTTTTTTGAAGCCCATTAACCAGAACCGTGAAGGACTGGAGGTTGATGTCATTGTTCTCACAATGGACCTCGTGTAGGCTGGTATTGTTTTCCAACACGGAAGCTAGGGTGGTTGCGCCTTGTAATCCGAGTTTCTGGTGTTCAATCCTCAGCACCTTCAGCGAGTTGTTCTTTTTCAAACCAGTCAAAGCCAGGTTGAGGCCGATTCCGAAGCGTGCCATATCCAACGGGGCGCTATCACCACTGATATCCAGGTCCTCCAGGGTATCGTTTTCTTCAAACATCAGCTGTAGCGACTTGCATGTCTCTGGCCCGGCATCGTACGGAAGCGATGCCTTCGAAATATCAAGATATCTCAGAGTGTGATTCTTGCGTAGAGCCTCAGCCAAATCCTGAAATTGTTGCTCTTTCTTGAAATCGACCATCCTCATCGATAAATGAGACGGGGTTTTATTTTGAGCAATGGCATCGCAAAGGTAAGGAATCCCAAGGTCTAGCCGGTTGTCATTAACGTGGAGATGGACATCACGGCCATGCGAGACTGCCGCCAACGAGTGCATGAAAATGGCTACATCCTGCCCAGTGAGTCCGCATTGATCGAGCCGGATAACCTGTAGACATTCGGAACGATCACTCGCTAGGTAGGTGGCGATGGCATCAACGGTCTCTCTGTTGACAGGAGTTTGGCTAAGACAGAGTTCTTCAAGCCGCCAATTAAACAAATTTTCAGCTGTGATAAGCGGCTCAGGACCCGAAGTCCTTGAGATGCGCGATAAATCAAGCTTCTTGAGTTGGCTGAAATAACCAAGGTACTGCTGTAGCATATCGGGCTTTATGCGGCCTTGTACACCAGAGATATTCAAGGCCTCGAGACTCGAGACCTGGGCGACAGTAGTGGAAAGAAGAAGATCAATATCATGGACAGATAGACCGCAATTTCCCACCTCTAGCGCTCGGAAATGACTTCCCCGCTGGGAAGCTGCGTCGACGAGGTAATCAAGATCGGAATCGCCCAGTTTTATGCCGTTCAGAATGACCCAATCAACATTGGTGAGTTCTCGCCGACAAATAGGGAATATGGCCTCGGGAATCCCGCAGCCTGGGTCATGACTGTCACTGTCAGACTTGGGAGTTCTGCTGAGAGTATATGAAAAGTCTAAGCGGCGGAGCCACTTGCTTTTCAAACTCAGTGCCCGGATTTCCTGTGACAGGACAGACAAGTTCTCCTGTCCTGGAACGTGAATCTGAGCATCTGCCCTGGTCAACAGCGCGTCCCTGTCGTTCCCATAAATATCCCGCAGGCTTTGGATTGCATCCAGGCTGACCCCACTGAAAGAAACCGAGCGAAACGACTCATTATATCTCAATGTTCGCGTGAGCGCGATAAGCTCCAAGGCGGTATACTTACTCCGGAGAGGCGAAGCTGGCCGTAATAACTTGAAGCAGGGCGCATCGTCGCATTGTGTATCAATAGTATATCGAATGTTGGAGGTGTCAATGTCATAACTAGCGCAGTAGGCGACCAAAGTTCGATCGAAGCAACCGTAATCCTCGTCGAGGCAGACTGGCGGGAAGTTGTTCTCGTTATTGAGATCACGGGGTACAATAAAATCATACGGTTGTTTGAGCCAGAGTGGGCGCAAAAATTCGGTCTGTTGCCTGATCCAATAGGCGATTTCAAGCGAGTGAACAGACGCTAAGAATATCGAGCAGGGCTTTTGGAGAGGAACCCGAAAGGTCAAATGCAGACTATCGTCACCCCACTCCATCGACAGGCAGGTCAGGTTCATGAGGCCAAAAGATGTTGCGGTGTCGAGATCGGTTAGAGACGTCGTAGAGCTGCGCGTAGAGAACTTGTGCAGTGCAACCAAATGGAGCTTGTGCAATCCGAGGGCAAGATAGCATCCGGTGGGTGACAGCTTGGTGAGCTCGTCCGACGACGCCCGCGTCGGGGACTTGGTGGATGCCATCTGAATGACTCGAAACATGCGAAAGTTCTCAGGATCATAATCGCGTTCGTGTTCTAGCATCCTGACAACGCAGTCCAATGCCCTTGGGTCAAATGGCATTGGGGCGGTGCCGCGAGTCATTTCAGCAGCGGATCGAATTCCCACCATCCAGAGGTTAAGCTCCTGAAGGTCCGGGGTCTGCATTTGGATAAAAGTGGTCTTTTGGGTTCGTTCGTCCATATATGCCACTTCTACCGAAGACGATGGCTTTCCATCATCAAGCATGTAGACTGCAACAATGCTGTTCAGCGGAATGCCTGTGGATGCATCACCCATGGCGCCGAGCTGCGGATCTTGCAGGGAGCTGATAGAGGCGATTGATTGTCGGCTGGAGGATGCTCGAGCCATTGACGGAGGGATGGAGGGGAACATCTCCAGCGCTTTGTTCAGGTTTTTGAACCGAACGAGATGTGTGTCGGTTAGAACAAGGTACTGGCTCTTCTTCCTCCACACTCCTCCAGTTATCTGAACTTCGCCATGGTGTAAGAGAATCGATCCAACCCCATGCCCATCGTCACCGTCAACAGAATACCGAGACGGGTCATCATCCTCTAGTGAATGGAGCGACCGAAGCGAGCCGAAAACTGAATTCCGTCGCTTTTGGAGTGGTCTTTGACGGCTCCGGGGGGTAGCGTCCAGGGCAGGTGATGAGGCCACTCTGACTGGGGCTGCGGTTCCAGGACCGCGGTGACCGGTGGGAGCTTCGACTGGACTGGGGTTCCGGCCCCCAAAGAATCCTGAATTACGCCGCTGCTTCTTCTTCAACACATTTGGATCGTGAGTCGTAGAACGATCGAGCGGGATCGGACCAGGATTGGAAGTCGTGGACAGCGGGCCAAACGCACCCAGACTCTTTCTTCGCTCTCTCTTTCCCAAACTTTGCGCCATCACGGGGGAGAAGCACGGAAGCTAGAGAAAGAGGAGAGGCAAAGGGTGGTCGAGTGGGTTAGGAGCGGGAGGAGGCAATTGTGAGGGCGGAGCAATTGTCACATCGAGGCCGCGTGTTGTCGCACTCACTAACGGAGGGAAAGAAGAAAAAGAAAGTCAGCTGTCACCGGACGATAAGCAGCAGATATTGAATGGACATGATGCAAGACAAGCTAAGGGGATAGGAATTAGAAAGGTGGAGAAGGGAAGAGACAAAGCAAATCGGGGTGCGAGGAAGGAGAACCTTGGGAAGAGGGGGAGGAGGAGAAGTGGAACATACAGCAGACTTCACGAAGCCATGAATCACCGACCAGGCGAGGCTTTCGACTGTCGCTATAAGTAGAAACCAAAAGGAGAGGCTTGAGAAGCGTTGGACTAAACGAAGCAGAGTCGAAAAGACCGAACGGTGTGGTGTCTTCAGAAGTCAGTTAAGAATCTGAGACAGCGGCCCAATTAAAAACAGAGCTAGCGGCTGCTGCAAGAGAGAAAAATATAGTAAACTTTATAATACAAGAAAAGGAGCGACTTGAAAGTGAGGTTGCACTGCAAGAGCAAACAGTGGTAGCAGTGAATCTGAGGTTGGATATGCACCGGATGAGGCAACTGAGAAAAGATGAAAACAGCAGAGGCGCCAGGGCTTGGAGAGAGAACGAAGGAGAACAGAGAAACCCCAGGAATCAAACAGGAAGAACCAAACGGCGAGGAAAAGAAAGCGATTGTGATTTGTGATTTGTGTTTCCCGAATCCGTGGTTTAGAGAAGTTCCTGACCCAAGATCCCCCGATCGGATGATGATGTCAATCGCGTTGACCGAAACTTGGGGACGTGAAGAGCGGAAATTAGGACCTGCAACGAGGGCTGGCAATTGCAATTCGACGGGGAACGAGAGGGCTCTTGAATCTCAAGAGAATTATGTAAAATCCCCGGATCAGGGAACATCCTCAGATCTGTTGAAACTTGAAGCTCAGAAAATGGAGCAATGCAGTGTGCATCCCCGAATGCGGATACGAGGCCGTCCACTTCATCCACACAGCGTTTGATGCCGACCCACGACTTTGACCGACCTGGAGTTGGCTTCAATAACGCCACGCTTTCTCTGCTGATCATCCTGTTGACGGCACCGATTGACATTCATCCTCGACAGTGCACGGAATCCATTGCTACACAATTAAGCAGTATCTACGTCAGCGGTTCTCCTGATCGCTGTCAGGTAGTGATAGCCACATTCCAAGACCAACTTATAGCTCCTTAAGCTCCTTATCGCCCAAGACAGAGTGTGAGACTGGTCTGATTCGCCCCGTCGTTCTGGAAGTCGACCTTTCGCCATTTAGACTCTCGCCCGCCCTGAACACCATTACCGCTAGCTAATGCGTAAGTAGGCTCAGAGGCTGAGCATAGCTCCACCCTTGAGCTGCCTGAATCGCCTCATTCCCTGGAGCAACTGCGACTGAGACACACTTGAACCAATACTCGTCTGAAAGACGCGCGTCTGAGAGGAAGCATATGCAGAGTTGCCCGCTCCATCCCTTGTTCTTCACGCTGGGTGATATGACAGCAGGGTTTCTTTTATATTCTCTGCATCCGGAATCTCATCGTCCATGAATCTCTGACTCCGGTGTAGACTTCGGCCCTAGCCAGCCGTACGGATACCAGTTAATTTAAAGATCGACGAACTCCTGTCTCGTCTCTACTTGCTTACGAGTCAAATGATTTCTCAAAATCAAAAATTGGCGACAAGCGGCAACTCGCGGTTCCATCTGGGCGATGGCGCCACAACTTGGATCGGAGATTGCCCTGTGACTGAGATTGAGTTTCTCGCTATTTCCTTACCATTTGACCGGACCACCAGTCAGATATCGGACTTACCGAAGATCCAGCACAGCTTCTTTGCAGAGAGCAAGAGTTAACAAACACTACTCTGCATGGAGTAGTACTACCATAATAATAAACATAATGTACAGTGTTATCCTCTGCCCCCTGAATGCGGATGGTATCCGGATTGCGACGAGTCAGCCTCGATCTCGGAACCAGCAAACATGAAACAAGCCCAGCAAAATTACAGCTCACTCGACGACTCCGCTGCTGCTGAAGAGATTTTGACCCCCAATTTGGGTATGGATCTTTAGAGTCGAGTTTATTTTTATTCCAAATACCGGGCTTCTCGTTGTGCTTGCAGCCGCTCTGCGCGTTTCACCTTCCGAAGCGTTTTTATATAGTCATTAACCCTGTGTTCAGCCCAGACACACCCGCCCAGTGTCATTGCTGCGACTTGAAGGAAAACCTTGAATTGTGGTGTCAAACCCCTGTAGATCCGGGCTGTGGGGGAGAGCCACTCGGAAAAGCCTTCCAGGGGGCGGTAAAACAGTCTTGATTGAATGAATTCTTTTGAAAAGCGCGACGGCCGTGGTTGGGCTTGTTCCTGCGTGTGTTGTGGAGGGCCTGCTGTGGAAGAGGACGCAAACTTGAAAGGGTGAGGGAGTATCATGATCATATGGGCGAGGATAGAGACGGAGCCAAACTATATTGTGTTCCAACTACATCAGCACAGCTCTATCATTGATACAATATTTGTCTCGGCAGGTCGCTTCGCGGAGTCCAATGATCTTCCAAGCTCCCAATCGAGCGTCCACCAGAAAACGCAACAAGCCAAGGGGGTTCTCGAAAACATACCCGAAAAGCACCGGTCAAAAACCCACGAACTGCCTCAGATGTGATCTCATCTGGGGGCTCGATATCTGCCTTTTGCGAAGACGGTGGAGGCATCGTAGACCTAACAGCTCAAGAGAGCAACTTGTCTGGAATCATGAATTTATCAATCTTTCTTATCGATTGCAAGAGGGGAGAGGACCAATGACGCACCAGGATCAACAGTTGCTCCAGACTCCGATACCGGTACGTAATACCAATACGTACCATGCGGGAGAGGTTCCGCCGAAGAAAAATCCAGAGCGCAACCAACAGCATCACTTCAATTATTCAACAACTTGTCTAAATTGAACGGCCGAAGTATCAAGCGTAACCACAGGACGTTAAGCTTGGCCAACTACAAGCTTCAAAGCGCATCGAAACAGCCAGCATCTTACAACCTTGTTCTCATATCCACCATGCCCCTCCCCGCCCGCACAGCTACGCTCTCTCGAGACACCAATGAGACCAAAATCCAGGTTTCTCTCTCTTTAGATGGCGGCATCCTACCTCCATTCGAACCCTCCAAGCATTTCCCAGCACCCTCCGACCCCCAGGAAGCAGAAGCCGCAAAGAAGGGCATCGTCCCGTTCAAGGATGCCGCACATGCCACCCAATTCACCCCCACGCAACAGATCACCATCAGCACAGGAATTGGATTCCTAGACCACATGCTGCACGCACTCGCGAAGCATTCTGGATGGAGTTTGGCTGTCAGAGCTAAGGGGGATCTGTACAGTACGTTGCTTACCTCCCTCTGATTAGAATTACAAACAGTTATACTGACGACTCACCCACCGCAGTTGACGACCACCACACAACAGAAGATACCTTCCTCGCCCTCGGCTCCGCGTTCACTGACGCTCTTGGAGCTCGCCAGTCTCTCGCGCGGTTCGGCCGTGGTGATGCCCCTCTCGACGAAGCTCTCTCATGGGCCGTCATCGACCTGTCCAGCCGGCCGTGGGCTGTCATCAACATTGGTTTCAAGCGTGAGAAGATCGGCGACCTTAGCACGGAAATGATCACGCACGGTCTGCAGAGCTTTGCACAGGCCGCGGGCGTAACTCTCCACGTTGGCTGCACATATGGTGACAACGACCACCACCGAGCCGAGAGTGCGTTCAAGGCGCTGGCCGTTGCTGTCCGGACAGCTTGTGCCCGGAGAGTAGAGGGAGAGGTCGGTGCGGGAGACATCGTTAGCACAAAGGGTGTGCTATAATTTCTTTTCTTTTCTTTTCTAACCAACATATCTAAATGCCATTCGAGATGCAGCCCACGAATCAACTAGCCAACCATACATATACACCAATTTTCAAAAGTACACAATCGCTGTCCATTTTAAAATGTAACAGCAAAACCACTTAAATGGAACATGAAAGAAAACAGGCAAAAGAAGCTCTAAGCGCCCAGCGCCTTAACAGCAGCGGTCCAATATCCCTTCCTCTCTGAATTCGCCTCCGTGCCCACACAGTCAACAATGTACCCCTTCCACCCTTCCTCGCTACCACTCTGGAGCTCCTTCCTCACACTGTCCTTACAGTGTGTGGTCAAGAACCAAGCACCAGATCCGAAATCAACAGCCGGCTCTTCGAGAAGCAGATCCAGCACCTTCCCAGGCTGATCCTTGACCGCCTCAAACCTCTCCTTCAGGGAATCGATGGAGGCCGCGTACTTCTTGTTGAAGTCGGGGGACTGCATGTTTCGTGCTGCAAGGTTCAGTACCATTAGCGCCCTACCATACAAACGAGAGAAAAGACAAAGATAGATGTAGAAAGAAAGAAAGAGAATAAAGGGGATAACATACTGCCCTGTCCCTCAACACCAGGGAAATGGTTCCTGCTAAAGCGGAACTCGCCGCTCTCAAACGCAATCAGACCAAGAACAGCAGCCTGCTCTGCCTTGGACGTTACACCATATTTCTCAAACGCGGTTGTCAGCGCGGGTGCGGCCTGCTCGGCTGTTGCACACTCCTCTGGAGCGATTTCTTCGGGGTTCGCGCAGGATGAGGATTTGGGCGCGACGGCTTCGATCTGGGCTGCCGTGAGGCTGTCTCCTGAGGGCGATGGCTTGCAGGTGGGAGATGCAACAGCTAGGAGGGGGAGAAGAGGGAGAATGGCGGAGAGTTTCATTTTGGTGGTGTTGTTGAAGGTTACGATGGATAATATAGATGGACGGGGTGGATGTGTTGATGTGAAGATCGCTCAGATCGAGATCAAGTACAGAAAATATGTTTAAAAGTGGGAAAGATAGACAGGAACATTACAAGGATGAGGAAAGTCAAGAGCGTACGCGCCCGATCTTATGTAGGGTTGCCAAACTGCCAGGCTGAGGGTAAGCCATTCATTGTGCTATTAATGAAAGGTCTTAACCGCAGCAGCTGGGCTGAGCCAGTCAGGCCCGCCGCTCAGCCCAGCTGAGCCTCGGCGTAAGACAGAGAATCAAGAAGGATCAGAAGGGGGAATTGAGGATTCCTTCTGGCATGCCTGAGAGTGGACAGTAAGCCAACGAAAGGCCAAGGAAAGGTGGAATGTTGGCGCTCTTGCTCACAAATATGGGGGCCAGAAGATCATTCACTGGTCTCCCTGGCTGACATCTGAAACAGGAACAGCTTTTCTGAAACGGGGGGCTAGAGCTTGAGCCGCCTCTGGCTTATGGTCTCAACCTCCAAGCAGGATACGGTAATATCATTATATAAACATACGAGAATAATGCAATCTCACAAATCTCTAGTATCTTGACATTATTATTATCTCTTGTCTGCGACTCAGCTAGCTCCAGGCATCTGAAACGCCGACGACACATCCACCAATTCGGTGCTTAGCAAGTCTATATAAACGTTTCAGGCTGTTTAAAAGTGATAGGGTGTAAAGGGGGAGCAAGAAGCGAAGACGCTCACGTGAAAGCTCTAGAAAATCGAGACATCCAAAAAGAACCAAGGCAGATAAAACGCGGGCTGCGCTGTCTAGCAGATCGCACTGTGTACAGATCACAAGACATCTTGCCAAAAAGGAAAATGTACAAGAAACCAATGCCTTTCAAAGCGATTGGGGGTCAAATAGAATCCCAGAACTCCATACATGCGCTGGAAAGGAGAAGAACATCCCGGAGACTTCAGCGAGCCTCTTTATCACGGGAATAGATTCGTGAAGGCAAAGCAAATCAAAATCCGTTTCAAGGAGGCTGTGGAATAGGCACAAGCAATTAATAAACCCAGTTAACTCCAAAAGAGCCCGCTTACTCGCTTCGGCTGCCGTATTCATAAGAGGATTCGGTGGGACCAGCTTCTTCGTCTTTGAAGCTGACCCGGCGAAGTAAAATTGGCCTCGCGTCACGCGGTCGACGCGACGGAGAGGACAAACGAGCGAAGCCTGGAATTGGGAGCTTGGTATACCGGTAGCGGTACTTGGAACCGAGGAGCAGTAGACGGCCGTAAGCCCACCACAAGCACAAACCAACAGTGCCGGCAATAACGAAGCCAGCGACCGTCAGGAGCATCCAGTGCTGTCCCATCCAAAAAATCAACCTGGCGTCTTTCCCGTGCCAGCTATTTCCCACGTGGTGCGTGAAAAAGCTCCAGGAGTACCGGTTGTATTCATCTTGCATAAGAATTCGGACGCGCCCCGCTTCGGTGGGGTTCACCGCCATGTATTCTTTCCAAACCACAGATAAGAAAAGAGGCCCGGTTGAATACATGACCGTGATATACGGGAGAAGCCAACTGCGGTCATACGATTGCAACAGCTCGATCACGTGGAGGAAGAACGGATGTTGTGGAACAGATCCCATGGCATCGTTCGAAATACCGGTGGGAGCGGTGCGACGCACCCAAGCGGGATACGAGAGTAGAGGATCTAACCGCCGGTTGCAACCCTTTTCATCATGTTAGCACATTTGCCGTTGCATACCAGGAGAGATAGGGGTATGAGCGTACATCGTCGAGATCAATGTAGGTACCACCGTAATGAGCCAGAACAAAATACCGAATCGAATCAGCACGCTGGATGGGATATTTGTAGTTGTCAAAGGTGTCCAGGAACCAGGGATATTCGGCAGCAATAAATGAACGGGATTTTTCATTCGTCCAAAGCTATGGAAATGTTAGCCATGCCTATTCAGAAACAGGGGGCGGGCCAAATACAATATATTCATAATCGGGATGCAGATCGATGCAGCTCTGCTGGGCGTCCTGCCATACTTCGGGGATTGATTCGTTCTTATATGTTTGGTGGATAATCTTGGGAATAACCTGGGGTCGTTGCTCGATCAAGCTCGAATTTGGCGAGGGAAGCTCCGCGCGATGGATCGCATCAGCTGCAGCGTCCTCCAACAGCAATGATAAGAGTGTTGAGACGCTGCGAATCAGAAATGTGACAATAAGAAGGTTAACAACGAGGAAAACCAAGAGTCCGCGTCGCATGTTGATGGGAGCGGTGGTGTAGGACACCGTTGGGCAAATGGGAAAAAGGACGGAGGTGACGGCGACCGCTGTTGACGTGAGAACGCAATTGAGAAGATTTCAGTTCGTAAGTTCGTGGCAGGCGAAGAAGGTTTCGAGTTTAACGGAGGTCGTGAAAGATAGTCGAGACACGCGACTCGAGTCGAGTGGGAGGAAAGGGGAGGTGACAAGATTAGCGACAACCGTGATTCTCGAGCATTAGCAGGACTCGACCTGTATGTCTCGAAAAAGAATCGTGGGGAAATGTAGTTGTAGATGATAACTCGGGAAAGGAGTCCGCAGTCAACGTTTTTTTTTTTTTGAGTTTCCCTTGACCCGTGTTTTTCTCGAGCTATATTAGGTTGGGAAGGAGTGAAGGGGCCTAAAGCCGACTAGCTCGAAGGATAGGGCGATGATAATATAGTACAAAGCGCACGGAATCAGACCAAGCCCAGCAGACGAGGAAAAGGGAGGATGGACGACAAAAAGAAAACGATGATTGGGGAAGCGATCTTCTCCTGAAGATGGAGTTGGGGAAGGAGGGGCGTTAAGTACAGAGTAGGAAGAGATGGGCGAAATGAGGGTAAATAGGGGAATTGAAAATGGAAATTAGTTATTTTTAAATAAAAAGAAGGTTAAGCAGGTAGAAGGAGCGAACGACGCCGTCGCAACCAAGCCGTGGCATCAATGGATTTGGAAATTTGGAGGCGGAGGGAGAGATGTAAAGATGGAAGAGCGAGAATAATGGGAGTCGTAGTCGTGGTCGGGCCCAGGTGGAGGAAATCTGGAGCAGCTGCCGTTAGTGTGGGCGGCGAAGTCAACAACGGCCCATGGTTAGCGCTCTGGCACAGCAGGAACCTTGAACTTGCGCAGCCGCCAATTAATTCTCACTGGCCAAGGAAAAGGGGCCGCGCAGGTCGGGTGGAGGGATCCAAACGCGTTGAACGGATTAACTTCATTGAACTGATGGCTGAGCCTCCGCCACTGCTGCTGTGAACAGCTTGCAGTGCAGATTGAATAATTCGACGCGTCGGCGACACTGTCAGACTGTCAGACGCCACAGTTATTCTGCTGTTCATCGGACGGCGTTTTGAGCATCCTCTCAGCTTCGGCGTCGACTGATCATCCCCGGCCGAGTCCTGACACCAAAAAAGCGCGCGCTGGGCGCTGTTCTTCTGGCCCCGTTGGCGTGTGCAGTGGATCCGGCCTGGGGACTCAGCCACTCTCGACTGGTCCCCTATTAGATCATTTCCTGGACGCCCGAACGCTGGTTGAAGGGGCGCTAAGAATGTGCTTGCCTATGAAATTCTGGCTCGGTCCCAGCCTCGTCAAGCCCGTCCACTTCGTGGCTGTTCGTCAAGGCGACGGTCGCGACGGTCGACTGGTCCCGGCAAGGATAAGCGTGATTGGCCTGAAAGACGGTTAATCTTTCGCAAGCCAGGCCCCAACAGGAAAACCCAAGTGCAGCTTCACAATTTCACATGGAGACCAGGTGGCGGATTGCTGCAAAACCACCCGAATTGGGTAAGGCCGGCCACGGTTAATCCAATAAATTTAATGATAAGCATGAATTAAAGGGCAGGAAGTTTATCACAGAAGTCTAAAGCTTGAAAACTGAAACGCGAGGCTGAATTGCCGACCCCGTTTCAAGTCAAAGATGATGACGCTGTCCTCGTCCTCGACCTCTCACGGTTTAGGCAATTCGTCTTGCGCACGTCGCAGGTGTTATTTGGTATATTGGAAGGTAGACTCTCAATAATTTCATGGCACTCGATCCGTGGGGATTTTCTCATCAATAATTGGAATTGGCGTGTTCTTAGCCTAATCTGGTACGTCTCTTCTCAGCTTAGGAGACGCTATTTAGACAGCAACCTATAATATCACGCACGGATTTTGTTGGGAAGAAGCGCCAGGACGAAACGAACGGTTCAATTTCCGCGTTCTGAGAGAGAGCGGCAATATTATTGCACCGGCCCTCGTACTCGTACACGCACACCCTCTTTAAACATTAACCAGCGGAGCTTCTCCGCGGGTCATCTATTCTTCTCCATTTTCCAGAAAAAGAATTGGCGATGAAGACGCCGAACTCGGACTCGCTCACTCGTATGAGTTGTATCCAGCCTTAACTTCCTCGGTGGTGTGATGAAAATGCATCAAGAAACAGCGTAACGCCGTCACACGAGGAGAAGAGCCAGGGTCTCATTGGAAGCGCCGGCCGATTCGCCAAGCGCCCGTCAACCAACCTCGAGCTTGAGGCCCGTGCTGTGGTCTTGAGACTACTAAACAGACGGTCAAAATCAGATTAAATCTGCAGAGTGCAGTTATTGCAACAAATTTGCAAGATTTAGGTGGTTATCCTGGTGCCTGGGGGCTGGAGAGTGATCATCTCCGCTGACGAACAACTTTGGAGCCTGGAGACACGATCCTCACAGATGAAACGATATACACCGGTGTACACCCCTCATTATTGGGAGTGACACTATAGAGATGACGATTAACAACCAGTATCCTCTTTTAAGGCTTAGAGCTGTTATTCGACGATAAGCAGCTAAACTTGGGACGTGCGTAATGCTGCATATGCACTGCCATGATGAATATAGAAAATGACATCGTCCTTTTTTCTCGTTTTCGTTTTATTCCTATAAAAAAAAAAAACTTCATTGGCAAAGGCGGGCAATGACATACACCACCCACAGTTGTAGGCACCTGGATTTAGCCGATCCGTTGGGGTTCCCGATTATTATCCAGACGTCAGTAGTGACATTCAGTGGCAGACAAACTCCGGGAATGTCACCCAGCTGGTGGAGGTAGTATTCAATCAATCCACCCAAGACGGTGACGTACCCCGTAGACACAACTTATCATCTCCCTAATAATTTATTTTTGCGTCCCACCATCCACGAGTTATCCAACCACCCCAGACTCCAGTGGCTTGAGCCCGCCCGTCTCCAAGTGGCAGGCTCTGTCTTTCGCCCGACGAGCCTGTTTCCAGTTTCCACCGTTCCTGGGTCGTTAATCCGTTATCGCCATGGTTACTGACTATCATTACTCGTCAAGTGTAGTACCCCACATGTGCCAGCCAGATGGCCTGTGCCACTTGAGTCTCTCCGCATTCTCGGTGGCGTTTTCTTCCTCGGAACAGGAAGGCGGCGTCCCTGTTACCACAGTTGCAAACTCTGGAGGTTTACGAATCCTGGCAGAGACGACACTGCAGTCCGACGAACTCGGTGGCCCACGCTAAAAAGGCATGGAGTGCTTGGGAATGGTGGGATGGTGGGGGATGTTGAAGTCAGTGGCTTGCTAGGCAATAAAGCAGTGGACGGCGTTTCTTCTCGAGTTACTCATGCCAGTAGATTTACTGATGGCTTAGCGACGACTGAAACGGGCCTGGAGTTGAAGAACATATATCAGAATACTTCTAAGATCCATTATTGCTGTTCCCATATCCAGGAAAGATCTAATTGCTATTTTATGATAGATGATAGAAAGCTAATACGTAGTAACTACTAGCTTCCTAAACGTACCCCAGAAACTCTCCACGCATCCCCACAAGTGATTTGCCAACTCTCTGGATGGTAGATTGACAACATAGGTGAGGTTGCCATGCATCACCCAATTGCATCCCATCTATCCTAAGCTGGGAAGGTCAATGCTGCATGACAATGACTGATCGCGAAACGAGGTCCAGCTCATCTTCGGCAAGGACAGATGTAACCTTGGCAAGCCTCTTCATCATTGCGGGGCTTTAGCAGTTCGCAGGTAGAAAACACGGTCTCCGAAATCAAGATATCTTGATGATTTGAGTACACATTCCTCCAGCTATGTTTGGTTCCGTCAGATGTCATAACGGAACTCACCGAACCTCTGGCGCCGCAGCCGCAGCAAACTCTTGGTTGACATTAGCAGCATTTGTACCTTGATTCTCTTCAGCTCTCGCTTGTGGATCAAACAACCGCAGCCACCACATCGGGGGGTCGAATGGGCGATGACCCCCATGGAGAGACGGATACACATCGTTGAAGAAGTACCAAATATGGCCAACCACAACACCGCATATCTCATCCTTAGGAATAACCCCATGCACGACAAGGCTGAATGCCATTAGCACCCAAGGAAGATACGGGGCCGTGAAGACTAAGACCCCAAGGAAGCTGAGGCGAGTTTCTGGATTGCGACGGCTCCAGATATAAACCAGACTCGAGGACAATGCAGCCCCCAGAAAAGGAAGCGACAGAAACGGAGATATGATGAGAAGCAATATCATGGCGTAGAGTAGTAACCACGCGAAGTGGGCGGGGGATCGACCCGATGACTCCTCGAGCAGCCTCGAGTATCGCTGGAGAAAGAAGACATGGAAAAGCAAGTCCAAGTTGAGCGGTCCGAAATACAGGAATGTTGTGACTAGGCGCCAATACTACCACAAATTAGTCCCAAGGGGCCTGTCTCTGGTGTTGTACCTGACCAGATAAATTCGCGATGACGTACCTGCGACTTGACATAGACCGCCCGGAAGCTGTAGAACAGTTGCAACGGCGTCAGGATATGGCAATGGATCAAGACTGATGTCGCGACGGTCGCCGCTGTCCACCATCGAGTCACAGGGGGCATTTCATAGAACCACTGCTCGAGAGGGAACTGCCCGCCCTGCCCTCCATTGCCCCAGATGGCGGCCATTCCGTCGAAGATCCGCGCAGGCCACTTATGCAGCTTTCAACCGGCAGACGACGGGGGTACGGGGTGAGAACTTGACGGTATGTCTGACGAAAGAACGAGACAAAATGCAACCGCGCCTTGAACAGAAAAACAAACCAAGAAAATATGCAAAAGACCAGCTGGAGCAATCGAGGACAACGTGACCTTTACCCCAGGCCGGAAGAACCACGGACTGACGGGGCTCCAAGTGGCCTTTTCCGCCTCAGGCCACAACCCTGATGGTGATCTGCCGCGCGCTAGGAGGATGACGCGCTGAGACGCGTGAAACTCGACGGCTGGGAGACGCTAAGCTTCGTTTCGAGACAAGCTCTACCCAGCCCCCTCAATTCTTCTGACAGGCTGTCTGTATGCGCTTTTCTCTGAAAGGGTTTTGATCAGTGAGGGGTCCTGAAGCTGCATCTCCGGACATATTCGAGTCGAAACAAGTACATCTGCTCCGTCATTCACTGCTTCTACACAGATCGGATAAAATAGCACTATCTCAGCGAACTTCAATTGCCAATTAAACCACTTCCAGAAAAGATCTCCGGTCCGATCTTGGTTTGCCAGAACGAATTTCTCTTTCACAGAGCTCACAACCACCTCTCACACATCCTTGCACAAGAACTTGAGACTTCACTATGCCTCCGAAAGGACGGAAGCCGGCCTCGGCCACAGCCGGACCCTCGAAAACGCCCGCAGCAGGCCCCTCCAAATCCGCCGGAGTGAAAAAAGGTCCCAAAGGGGGGAAGCGACCAAGGACATCAGACGTTCAACCAGATGTTCAACGTAAGTTACCAACAACTTGACCTCGCAACCATTCGAACATCCCAACCAACGCTTACGATCCCAGCCGGAGACCCAACCCCCAAAGGCCGCCGCCACCGGTACAAGCCCGGCACCGTCGCCCTCAAGGAAATCCGCAAGTACCAACGCTCATATGATCTTCTCCTCCGAAAACTCCCCTTCGCACGATTAGTGCGCGAGGTCGCATTGGACCTCCTCCCCGCAGAAGTCGGCGCGGAGCTACGGTGGCAGTCGCATGCAATCCTTGCGCTCCAAGAAGCCGCCGAGGCCTTCCTGGTACATTTGTTCGAAGACACGAATTTATGCGCCATCCACGCGAAACGGGTTACGATCATGCAGAAGGATATCCAACTTGCGCGTAGAATTCGCGGGGCGTGGGGTGGTCTAGGCTGAATTTTTCTTTCCCTGTTTTCTCTCTTTTCCTTTTCTTCTCGATATCCTTTTTCCCTGGTATACGGGTAGGACTACAGAGTCGAGAACCACCGGAACGGAAGCTTGTCGAAGCTATCAGCTTTGTGTATTTCTTCAGTCTGATTTACCTTCTTGGTAAGACGGATTCCGACGCTTCTTTTGCAATTTCGCTTCATACTGGGCTTCTTTTATTGTTGGTGCACGGGGGTTTTTCAGGCGCAGTGTGTTAAGGGAGTCGCTTCGAGACGACATGTCTACATTTTGAAAGGGTGTTGTTCATTTTCTGCTTCTATAATTGCGGTTTACTCGGTGTCTACGGGATGTGGGTTGTACTTTACTAGCAAAGAGGACAGTGGTGCCCATGCCATTGCATCGTGTCCGAATATGATCGATTCAGCTACCCAGGTGTAACATACCTGGAATAATTATCATTACTTATTAGCTTGAATTAGATATCTGACCAATTCTAGTTGTTTGTAAGAGTAATATTCATTTCAATAACGGATAAATATTTACGCCACCCATCCATCTATAAGCTGCTTTGACTAATGACACTCAGTATGCATGAAAACAATCCCACCCATCACAACCGAAATAGAAAAGAAATTCTCAAACAATCGAAGATCTCGTCATGGAAAGGAAAAAAAAAAAAAAAAAAAAAAAACCTCAACCTAAATGCGCCGATACCCCAGGGTCAGAGAATAATGGTATCATAAATTTGCACCCATGCCAGAGAAAAAAAAAAAAGAAGAAAATGCAACCGGAGAAACGAGAAAGAAAAAACTGCATAAGAAGCAAAAAGAAAATATTCCGTACATTGGAAGAAGAAGAGGAGCAACTGTCGAGATGTATAGGTATGATGATAAAATGATGTGTCGGCTAGGAAGCAAGCTAAGCTGGTCGTCTCAAAGCTGGTGGCAGGCTCATCATCACCCGGTTCCCTTCTTCTCGTACACCATTCGCCTCCTCGCCCTTCCCCTGCCGCTCAAGTGTTTCTGTAAGCATTTCATCCGTAACACTGACCCAGAGACGGTCACTGGCCTTTCCTGCCATTGCGCGACTGGCTCGAGCGCTCTTCTCTGCCTGTTCGCCGACTACTCCGCGGAAGTATTTCCAGCTCATGAACGTCAACGTTATGCACGTTATTTGACTGTTTCCGATTGCCGTGGCAGATTGGAGGGCTTGCTGGAGGTTTTGCTTGGTCTGAATCGTCGACTCCGTATGTACGGTTGCGCAGAGCAGGTAGTAAGCCGCCTGAATGTACTTGTTGGGGCTTGAGCGGCAAAATGATTCAAGGGCAGATAAGACGTTCGGAAGGTGAGGGTGAGATGGATGAGATGGGTCACCGATGATGAGCACGGTATTTATGGCAGCTAATATAGCGATATCGCGATGAGGGTCGTTACGGGCGGTTTTGCTAAACCCAGATAGTGAGAATATAGGGGACTGGAAGGCGGCTAGGGCTCCCTGTAAATCACCCGTGGCCTGCGCGATAGTACCCGCTGCATATTCCATCAGGCATTGGATAGATTCTGGGAGGTCATCACCCATCGCTTCGGTTTCCTTCTGGAGCTCTTTCAGGGTTCTATTGGCGAGATCCCAATCTGTCCGGCTACAGGCCAGAAATACTTGGTGGGCGAGTAGATTGCAGAATAGCGTCCTGCGCCATTCCACGCGCCTATTGGCACTGACCAACGATTCCGTTATCTCTTGCGGCTTTTGGAAGTTCCCTGCAATATGTCAGCGGCCAGTATTAGAGCATACAACCAATCAACGAACCCTTGAGCATGCGCACTCCTTCCTGCAGAAACTTTTCAGCCTTGCGTCCATCATGTGAGTTCTTACAGCCCAGCGTAATCGAGCTGAGAAAATAACAAAGTGCATAGAGGTCGTGTTGAGGCAGCCAACTAAAGCTAAGAAGCAACGTGCCATTCTGGACTTGAAGAATGTCTCCTGTGTCCATGGAGGAAGGCCCCGCTGATTTGCCACTTAGTGGTATGGAGAATGATCCATCGGCACGCCAATTTGAGTCATTCAATCGCTCGTCCATCAGGTCTTGCAAGACCTTGAGTTTTTGTGAAGATTGATTGACATCGTATTCAAGCAAACTGCAGCAGATATCCACAATCTGTACTAATGTTGTAAGCTGCGGGATATGGCGTAGTTCATCGTTCAGCTGATGGCTTCGCGCAGTGGCTATAGCACGCTGAGCTTGCTCAATCGAGTCAGAACTTGATCCTTGCTGAAGGTGTGACAATGCTTCGGCGATGGCAGACATGGCGGAAACAGCTTTATCCCCATTCCGGCTGGCCATGCTAGAGATCTTGTGGAGGTTTTGCAGAGCTGATGTCGATTCTTGATGAGCTAGCGAAGACAACGAAAGGGATACTCGAAGAAAGCGAAACGCGAATTCCCAGGCGGAATGGCGGTATCTAAGAACAATCAAAAACGGAGCTTAACCGTATGGGCAACGGGCAACTTACGCTTCAACGTCCTGAATCATCCCATCCACAGCTTTCAATGAAGCTTTCGGATTTGTCTTGTACAGCATCCGCGCCAACAAATGCTGCATGCTGTATTTCAGGTCAAGCATACGATTCTAGATATGATAAGTATGGTAGACTCCGAAAAGGTCCTAATAGCCCACTCACTCTTTCACATAAATCAATCTAATTGAGCCCCATCAGTAATTAAAACCTTATACCGTGGTCTAGAGTTTGTACATACCCCTTTACTCAACGCCGTCTCGGCCTCCAGGTCGTTGTCGGTCTCTTCAAAGAGGATCCGAGCGTACCTCAGGCGTACCAAAGCTTCCACGCGCGGTTGTAATCTCCAATTCTACACCAAATATGTCAGAATCATGAAACGGCACAGCTTAGGGAGGTCAAACCTTCAGGACCGCTTCCAAACACCCAAGGCCCGTTGCAACCAACCTATAATACTCCTCGAGCTCCATTTCCCTCCTCAGTAACGCCACTGTAGTCCCATGACTGTGTGCAGCATTGAGATATTCATCAGCCATTGCCAATAAAAGCACCTGATAGTCTATACCCGGTTTCGCGGGCTTTTGTGCAGGCTGCTGGGTTGGCTGTTTTTGTGTTTGCTTCTTAGGCGGCTGACGCTGAATCTGCTGCTGCACCTGAGGCGACGGGGCTGGTATCAGGACTTGAACTGGTTTCGGCGATGGCGCTGGGGGAGTCGCAGCAACCGGCGGGGGATTTACTGTAACAGGTTTGGCCTGTGTCGGAGGTTTCGGGGTGGCGGGGGGCTGCGCAGTTTTATTGGAGTGCTGATTGTTCAGCTGGGTAGGGACAGGTACGGGGCTGTATGTCGGGGTAGGTGCTGGTATAGGTGTTGGTACTGGTGCCGGCGCAACTGGAGTGGATGTGGTGAGGGTCGGGGGGCGGTTGTTGTCAGCAACAGGTACCGCAGGTTGGGTGTTATATAGAGGCGGGCGATGATTGCTGAAGGATGACGGTGAGGGAGATGGAAGGAGAGGCTGTTGGAAGATATCCGAGGGATTCACGAATTGCGGTGGTGGTTGCGGTGGTTGTTGCTGTTGCGGCGGAGGCGGAGGCGGAGGTTGCGGTTGATGATGGAGCTGTGGTTGATGTTGTGGATTGTATACCGGACCGTAAGCCTGGTACGGTGGTACCATGACCTGGGGGTAGGCAGCGGGCTTGCCATACTGGTACGCCGAGGCGTTGGCATTAGCGTTGACAGCGTTCACATTGTTATACAGGAGCTGGGGTTGGACGGTCTGCTGGGGCGGCTGGAGGTTGTGATGCTGCTGCAGGTACTGCGGAGAATATTGGCCATTATGGGATGGTGGGTAGCTCATCGCCCCGGGACACGGATGGCACTCATCCAAGCCAGTGAAACCTGCTAGATACCTGTAAGGTCTGGAGTTGATGCGGTGGTCTGCTCGGGTTTCTCTTCCACCAGATCGCGAAGCCCTTTACCTTTTTGGTTTCGGGATCGGAGAAACACCAGCGCGCAATCGACTAATATGGACTAGCGCAGGCGATCGAAGCATACAGCACGTGAAAAGTACTTGTGGCACGTTTATTTAGGAGGCAAAGGACTCTCGTATTATAACTAAAAATCAAGTCTATGTAAGTTATATATCGTAAGGAATAAAACCAGTGAATTGACGCCCAATGCTTTAAGTCGACCCCCAACGCCGCATAACACCACTACGCCAAACCCTAACAGTTGCATCATCTATGCCGCTCAATTCGTGTCGATGGAGTTATAGAGCTGGTTGAGCGATTGATCTTGAATCGCAGGATCAAGGATGTTCATTTCTAAGGATGGAGGGTTCCGGAGAGGAGGGTGTTCGCGAATAGTCCACGGGCAGAGCTCACTGCAGTTGTCCAAGTCGACCAAAGCCTCAGCAGGATGGATCCTCTGCGCAGCCCAGGTCCCATCTGGAACGGGCAGCGTACTCCCAAGACATCTTTCGGTCCAAAATGAATATATGACCGTGCCTTTTTCTTCGTCTACTCGGCAATGCTGCTGTCGAGGGCACTTTAACAAAGTATTGCAGGAGTTGCAGATGGCTATTCGCTGACAGGAGGCGCAGTGATTCTCGTATAACCGGCATATTGTGGTCTGACAAACACCAGAGAGCCAAAGGTCGACTGAGCGATGCGCACATCCAAAGCGGGAGGTCATGAACTCTTCTTTTCCAAGTTGTCCCGGGGCAGTGGTCAAGTGGTATTCAGTTTTGATCTTTAATTGGTCTTCATCGTCCAACTCGGGATAGATCTCGATCTTCATTTGCGTGGAACCATAAGTGTGGCTGCACGAATGCCAGCAGAAGCGCTCTTCCATACCGCCAAATTGTGAAGTCAAAAGCCCCACTGACTTTCGGCGTATCTCCAACAGCTCCACGAGCTCAACCTTGTCGCGGAAGGTCAGCTTCTTACACGGGCACAGGTCAACAATGCCAGCAAGGTTTCCCAGGATGCAGGTTCGATCCTCAGGCTTGCGTCTCAGCTCTCGGGGTGGGAAAGCGCTGCGCGGGTGGAGTTTGAGACATTTTGGACAAGCTCGCCATCTCGGATCTTCGAGCATCTTGATCAGCTGCCATCGAGTCGTGGCAAAGCTGTGTCCGTTGCGATAATGGTGAAACAGCGGAGCGAAGTCCCGACTGAATTGAAGCGATTTGGAATTTAGGGTCTTCACGGATATCGAAAACAGCCTCTTGCATGTCAGCGCAAGACAAGCTTCCTCTAGTACCGGTAGGTGAGAAATGATCTCGAGCAGCAATTCTGTGGGAAGCTCGAGCAGATAGCTTCTCCTTTGAGGGTTTTGGTCTCCAGCTCGCGCTTCTAAACCGTGAGACCGGCGAGTCATGCTCATTACAACCTTCAGTCTAGCTCCAGCACGACGAATACTGTCTGCCATGGCGTCCTGGATGTCTCTAATATCGACATGGGCCGTATTAGGCGCGATGAAGCTCAGGAAACGAGCCCGGCGGCTTGTAAATAGCAGCGAATCGTACTTTGACTGGTTCTGGCAGAGTTTCATGGGGAGCATCTAGAAGCACTTGCTTTTTGTGTGCTCCGGGGCAACATAGTGTATATAGTAGAAGTAGAAGTTGTGTAGGACAGGACCGCGTGACGGGCAGCTAGGCGTAAAAAAGGAAAGGGAGGGCCTTTTGACCTGGAGAAAGTCTACGCATATGGTTGTGGGTTTTCACGCAAACGGAACACGCGCGAGTGTCACAGATTCAGGTTCGACATCAAGATGTCATCACGACTAGTCCGCGCAGAGAGAGAACCGCCGCTTTCTTTGTTAGGTCCCACCGCTAGCGGTTCGTCAATAATCCATGCGGGAAGCATCAGCCTTGGTTCATCAAACTGCGTTTAAAATTAGCATAATTTCAAATATTTCTGGTTTCGAAACGAGAGCTTGGAGTCGCCTGGGTATGCTTTTGGTTGTGGCCACCCTTGACAGCCGCATGCGGTAAGTCTCAATGTCCCACAGCAGTGAATAATCCCAGAGGTGTCAGGATCGGATTAACCACCAGACTTGCACCCCATTATCTGTTCATTTGCAGTGAAATTGGACCTGCCAATACTGCCGCGATCTGCAAACACAAATAATCAAAGGTTGTATCAAGTGATTGTTCTTTGCTCTGTCAAGTGACCGTTAGGGTCAGCTGGAGACGATCGGCTCCCCATGTTCCGATAAGCGATAAGCGATAAGCCCCGATAAGTTAATATCTAACTGCTTATGTCATCGATTCAGTCCATGCTGGAGTAACAAGCCATATAATCTTTGCCCAGCCAGAGGGAAAATTCCACAGTCATTACTTCAAGAAGTGCGTTTGAGGATGAATTTGAAGTGGCGGGAAGAAAGGTTGCTAGGTTGAAGCTCCTCCGGTGGAGAGTGCTAAATATGGTTATGTTGACCCATACCTCTGCACTTAGTAAATATATATTACCAAGATTTGAACCAATTTTATATTTACTTGGTGGCAGAGGTCATGGTTTATGACACCGGAATGCTCTAAGATACAAATTTATATCTAGCTGCTACCAGTTTGGAGATAGAAGACATCGCGCCTAGCTTGGGACTATGACGTACATAATCTTAGGCTTTGGTTCAACTTCATAAAGTCGTGTAATCCAGACACAATATTGATAGATAAATTCAGCATCAAAAGCAAAGGTTTCATCAGTTCAACCCTCTCGGGCCGGGGACGCTAGTAGCCACTTCCCCGACTTGGCCGTTCATTAGATATATCTTTGAAGGGGCTGTTCAATCTTCAATACTAATGAACCTGATTGTTGAATGTGCTCCAGTCAGCTAACCCCGTTGCATTGATTTGATCTAGGTGGGCTAATTTTGGCAATCTAGGGACATTTCCCTTCAATAGCCAAGAATAAGCCCTCATACTTAACAGTCAAGGTTATTTTTTGAATGTGTGAGAACATCATATTACTGTTAATTCTGTGACTTAGACCTAGCTTGTCTATGTTTCCCCAGGACAAGGCAACACCTGAAGAGATGCGGCTCTCAGCGAGACGTGGTTAGGGTTTGGGAAGCGGAGGGAGCCTTATTGCAGACCTCTTGTTCCTCGCAAGTCTCGACACGGAGCATGCCCGCCAATTTGAAACGGCCATCAATCCTCTACAGATTTACTGATGAGGATATCCTCTCCTTGTACTCAAAGCATTGGTACCCAGGTAAATCTGCAAAGCAGGGGTGGAACTAAAAAAATAGGAGTATGTAGGTATGCTGGGCCAAGTAGCTACTGTACAAGCTAATAATGATCCATACACACTGGGTCATATCTTCGGAATCTTGGCTATTTATTCAAGGGAATTGTATGCACTGAATTAGATTATCATGCTCTCTTCCCAAACAGGTATGCGTTATGCCCCGGGCTAGTCGGGCCCAAGACTCCAATACTCGGCCCATAGTTTCCCAGCTTCTATTTCGAATACAGAGCAAAGAGAAGAAAGCAACTTTTCTGCTTCTCTTTACAAAGCCCACATTCTACTCAATAAAAAGAGCTACTATACCCACTGACCGCATCTTCGTCGTCTGGACTGTTTGTGATCGGGTCTTGGCAGCAGCATCCACTGCTTAGCTTCTCCGCCACTGCACAAACTTCCGAGGTTGCTGAAACTAAGTATATCCAACCTTGGAACGTTGGCAATCTTTTTTTTTTTTCTTTTTTTCGCCCGGGTATATTTTCCGTTTGCACCGATCTCATAAATAACCCGTCCTAATCTTGCCAGCTGAATCGCTCCGTCTCCTCCTGGTGACACTCTCAGGTGGAGCTTGGTCCCATGGCTGCCTCGGCTGATTTTCAACCTTCCACTTTTTCTAGCCCTGGGCCCGTATCGGTCCTTGTAAGTCTGGTGATTGCAATGGGAATTTTATCATGGGCTCGCCCCAGTGGAAGAATCTCCTTTTTTAGCTCCAAAGAAAACAACCTTTTTCTCACCAGGAAAGCCGGCAAATCGGGTGCAAAGGAGCAGACCACACTGGCCAAGCTCTGCCGGACTGCCACGCCAAAAAGATGTGATCTCAATCCTTTCCTGTTCAACGGCCATCTGCAAACTTGCTGGACTGCAGTGAAATTCGACAGCGTTCCTGTGTACTACAAGCGCCGCATTTTCGAGGCGGATAGCGTCAGGTACCAGGGGCAGTTTGCGATTGACTTCGTCGTTGAGCCGTACGAAGCCCCCAATGACGCCCACGCAACCGACGCGGAGAGAAAGTACACCCTGCCATCGGGTCTCCCGGAACGGACGGCAATGCTATCGGAGGAGGAATTCGCTGCGTTGCCTTCAGAAGATACGAAGCCCATGCTCGTGGTTCTCCATGGTTTGAGCGGTGGCTCCCATGAACTCTACCTCCGCCATGTAGTCCACCCCATGGTTGCGAACCGCGAATGGGAAGCTTGCGTTGTGAACTCGAGAGGCTGCGCCCAAACAAAGATCTCTACTGGTGTTCTCTACAACGCTCGTGCTACTTGGGATGTCCGTCAGGCAGTGAAATGGCTGCGAAAGACTTTCCCTAATCGGCCCCTCTTTGGTATTGGTTTCTCTCTCGGTGCAAACATCCTGACCAACGTGAGTCTTTTACACTTCTTGCGAATGGACTGTCAGCTAATTTTCCTAGTACCTCGGCGAGGAAGGCGATGCTTGCGAGCTGAAAGCAGCAGTTATCTGTGCAAGCCCTTGGAATCTGGAACTTAGCTCACATGCTCTTCAAAGTAGCTTCATGGGTCTACAGGTGTATAGCAAGGTTATGGGAACCAGTATGAAACAGCTTTTCGAACAGTATGTGTGGCTGTATGGAATTATCTGCCGATTTTTGCTAACTATCTCGCAGGCATGCCGAAGAGGTTATTAAGAACCCTAGGGTTGACGCAGAAGCAATCCGGAGCATCACTTATTTGCACGAATTTGACAGGTGTGTACTATATTTTCTGTTTAAATATTGACTCTTCCTGACGATGAATTTTAGGGCCTTACAATGCGCGCTGTGGGGCTATCCTACAGAGGGCGCCTACTATCGTGATGCAACTTCTACCGATTCCTTGCTCGCGATCCGGATCCCCTTCTTTGTGATCCAAGCCGAGGATGACCCAGTAAGACTTCCCAATGCATTTTCGAATTATATAAACTAACGAGAAACAGATTGCAAGTATCTCCGCGCTTCCTTTCCAAGAGATTGCTCAAACGCCGTACGGCGTTATGATGACAACGTCCTGGGGCGGACATCTAGGCTGGTTTGAATTCGGCGGCGATAGATGGTTTGCGAAGCCGGTGAGTTCCCACCCCCCTCGCAGTCTAGTTATCTTTATACTAATACTTGGCAGGTAACTAATTTTTTGAATACCATGGCCAACGAAATTGATCTTAAATCGCCTCCTGTGGTTGAGAAGCCCGAAATGGTGCATGGCCAAACCTCCGACACCCACAAAGATGCCGCTATAGAGTCCACGGCGGCAAGCTTCACTCCGATGCAGCGTAAACTTACTCTGCCTATTATCAATTAGCGTGTTACCTAGCGTATTATCTAGCGACGATACATTGCTTGCTTTATGATTCGGTGGAGACTTGTTGGTTGGTGGACGATGACGATATTCGTCACGAGTGTCATTCATGTCATGCTTCGAAAGATATAGATAGATAGACCCATAGAAACGCCAATGACCCCTCTAAAAACAAATTTGAACATGCTATACACAAGATTACTTTTGTACAAAACCACTCAAGCAAAGGCAACGCTCTTCTTTTTGCCGCTTGATTTCGGCTTTGAACTCTCTGCCCCAGTCTTATCTGACTTTGCGTTCTGCGAAGCGCCGCCTTTGCCCTTGCGATTTTGCCGGATCGACTCCTTTGCATTTTCCTATACAGCGACCATGTTAGCAAGAATCCAGTTCGACACAGCCGAGTGCTCGTCCATACCAGTTTATTTTTCTTCTCCGACTGCCTAGCCTCCGCTTCTTTCTTCTTTGCCTCACGGATCTCTTCCAATTGTCGAGCCTTCATGATCTTAGATTCAATCTGACCCTCCTTCTCTGCATTAACCATAGCAAAAATAGTCATCATCGCCTCCTAAAAAGTAGCATGTGAGTTAGCACTCGACATCCATACAGCATGCATATCACAAGAGGGGCGACAACATACCGGGTCGTCAACAAAAGTCTTTCCCTTCTTCTTCCCCTTAGGGTTCAACACACCAACAGGCGTAATCATATTTAACTTGGGGAGATCCAGCTCTGCCTCGGAGTATTCTCTCTTCTTCGTCTTCTTGAGTTGACTTGGCTCGGTGCGCGCCTTGGATTTCACTTCCTTTGGCGGCGGTCGCTTGACATTCTTCTTGCTCACTTTTGAGCCGAGGACTTTGTTGCTCTTCGAGTCGCCTTTTCCGGAAGTCTTGGGCTTCGCTGCGCCTTTTGTTGGCGCCATCCTGGGGGAGAATGTTTCGGCGGGGGTTGAGGGGTTGTTAGGAGAAAATCAATCCAAGGAGTATAGACTTTAGGTTTCAGAATACGATATTATCAGCAAATTTTAAATGGAGAAAAAAAGACGATAATTTATAAATAAAAAAAACCGAGTATCAGAGCGAGAATTGCATTATGCTAAACCAGCCCGCAGAAAAAAAGTTTTCCTAAAACGATAGGCGGTGTAATTCTGCCCACAGAGGTTAGTTTCTCTCCACACGCGACGCTAATCCAAGCCAGGCCGGCAGCAAACCTCAGGTCTTCAGTATCCTGTTCTTCCCCTCACAACCACTCCCGCCCCTCCGCAGTGTGCCATTGGCGTACACCGAGAACGATATATATTCAGGATGACCATCAACCCGACCTACCTCGCGCAGCGCACCCGCTCCTGTATGTGCTCTCTCCCAGCCCCGAAACCGTCCGACGACTATCTTTGAAATTGCCGCGATGTCAATGGCTAGAATCCAACGCTGACCTGTTTTGCTTCTGTATAGCTGTCAACTGGGGCGATGCGAAAAAGCGTGTTCTTCTATCCTACCGAGACTGGCTCCGAGCTGTTAGTGCCCCAATTGTGTCCGTAAAATGACGCCGTCGCTCCCGGTGGTTGTGGTCTGATACCTTGATACCGGCATGGCTTCGGCATCTCTGTTCATCCTCCCACGCCCAGCCGCGGGAAATATACCAATTATCATGCTACATTTTTCGATTGCAGAGAGGAAAGCTAACCATGTCATCTATCGTCGCGCTTATCTAGTCCCCTGAGATCCAAACAATGTACTCGCTGAACATCCCCGTCTCCGCCATTCGCACCAAGATCCGCCAGGAATACGAGAAGCACCGCTACGTCAGCCAGCTCAATGTCGTCGATGTGCTGCTATTCCAGAGCCACGCTGAGTTCCAGGTTAGTCCGCACATATACACCCATACTACCAAACTTGTTCTCCGCCGAGCTACGCATCAACAAGCTCGGCTCTACACATGCAATTCAGTTAGACCCGACACCACACCAGCTCCAGCGGCTAACACTATCAATCGTAGGAAACCCTCAACTACTGGAAACAGCTCTCCCATGTGATGAAGTACTTCCGGCCAGAGGAGGACCCAGGTGCCCGGCTACCCCCCAACTTTATCTCCGGTTTCTTGGAGGGCCGCAATTGAATGTCTTGTTTCTCTTAAACCGTCTTTTCCATTTTGACTTTTTTTTTTAAACTTAGCATTGAGATTCCGATCCGATTGGGTTCCTCTTGTCGCGACGCTGATAGAGGGTATTATGTATATACTAGGGTTGTCAGAATAAGTAACGTCTTCCTTTACTCTGTGGGTATCTCTATCTGTAGTTTGCGTGTAGCAACGGGAGTGGAAATTAAATGTGCCATACCGCGATGGTTAATGCCAAGTGACTGACTTAGTAGTAGTAGAGGCTCCTATGATCAAGTGATAGCTGGTAATGCACCACCTCACCCATCTATCCAATCCAGACCGAATAGCACAATAAAACCAGGTATGCACGCAATGCAGGTCTATCATTTCGCCAATATACAATATATCAAAAAGACGAACTTTTCTACAACAAAAACGCCCATTCAAACACACAAAACCAGAAACAGATAATATAACAAGTCTCAGTCAGCAGACGTCTAGGCCAAACTGAGCTCATGACTCCATCTTATCCGCCTGCTCCGCATTGAACTTGTCCCGCGCATCAGTGAACTTGTCTGTTACAACGTCGCATAGATCCATCAGGCTGTCGAGGCCCTTTTCTAGAGCTTCGACTGCGGTTGTTGTATCTAGGAGATAGGTTAGCCGGGTGGGTTCAGATCCAACTCCTTTCGTCGCATGGAATAAGGAATTGGCAACAAAAGAAAATAAAAAAAAAAGAAGTTAATAACACACCATATGTTTGAATCCGAATGTTCATCTTCGACTCTGAGGGGTGCGGAATCGTATATCCACAGAATTCAACATCGGGGCTGCAAAGGGAGAAACCTAATATCAGCACCACGCATTTATAACTGAAAGACCAGTCACTGATCCGAAAATCTGAGAAAAGGAAGCATACTTCTTCATAATCGCATAGCGGAGCGCATTCCCTAATGTATGTCCCTCGCCCTCGAATTGGAACGAGGCTGCTGTGTCCGTAGCGCCGGGTAACTATTCATATACATATATCTGGTTAGAACTAATGAAATCCAAGGCGATCCAGTCCGGTACGATCCGCAACTGTTCAACTGGTGGCAAGTGAAGGACGACGTACAACAACAATGCGCTTCTCTTCAAGCGCCTGTTCCTGTTCCTGCTGCTGCTGCTGCTCGGTTTGCTCGTGCTCCTGGTTCTGAGCGTCGACCATGGATTGGTCGTTATCTTGAGAATGTACGGACGAAGGCATTGCGGTCTATAATATTTAATATTTTATTGGGAGTATGCGTGGACCGGAGTGCGATATTGCGGGGTGGGATTGATGATCGGTCGATCGGTGGTGGGGAGTCAATGCGATATCGTGTGTGGTAATTGTGTATCAGGATTTAATGCCAGTGAAGCTGTGATTTTCTAGCGACGAATTTAAGAGTGGAGGGTAGAGCTTGAGGGTGATATTAGGGAAAAGGCTTGTTCCTCTTCATGAAAAAAGTCGAAAGCGGTTATCGATAGGCACTGACCGCCTTCGAACGGTAAATGTTGCCTGAGGCTCCCATACACATGGTGTTGGCTCTCAGCAATTCAACTCCGCTACCATTAAAGTGGTAATTATTCAGGTGTCCCTTAATGTTTGATTTGGGGTCATAACGCCACTGTATAATGGCTCGTCAAGCGTGACTGACTCGGAATTGACTCTTGACCAAAGATGGTGTAACCTACTTGCACATTAGAGTCTGATCTATACAGCTTGGCTGTAAACCGCGGCCCAAACGATGAGTCCATGGTCTGCTTTTTGTTTCGATCAATGATAAGCTTAGTGCGGGCACTATTGGCAATCCAACTGTTGACCCGGAATGCTGGTTGCATGATTACACCATTCTCCTATAGCTCTGTAGGTATTTCCCGTCACGCACTGAGCTGGCGGTAAGGGTGCGAGTAGTTGATATATGAATCAGGATACATGACAACCGCAGCCATTTACCGATTATGGAGTGTGTAAATTAAGAGCAATGATAGCGTCAAACCCCTCCAGCCTAGCTACGAAGGTGTGGCAAGTCAGCATTGGCGCTGCAACCACAGCAGGGGTTGTGGATATAATCCCTGCATGGTGTGAGTCTGGCCATATAGATAAAGCATTGAAGCAATCTAGAAATTCCTCGACCACCCAAGGTGCGGCCGGTGGTACTTAACTCCACGTATGCGTTGGTAGATTGATAAGCCCGTGCGGTGCATAAGTTATGGGGAACTGTGTGCTGCCAGCTGGCTGGTGTGAGTTGTGGACTGACAAGTGTTCTGCTGGAGGGTATCATAGTAGCCATACTGCTCAGATATCGAGGTCCGGGTCCAGGTCCAGGTCAAAGTCCAACTGAGCCAGGATAAACCGGATAAATAGTCGGAAAATAAGCGACAGCAGACAGACATGATGGCGTGCTGGAGTCGGTCTCGGTAGGAGTGAACTACGTACTTTGGCGAGCAGGATTCCAAAGCGGCTTCTCCCCACCAGAAAAGTTACACCTGCAGAGCGATCTCCGCTTGGGAAAGCTTCCGGTGCAGTGGTCGGGATGGGACTAAAAGAAAGACGAGAAGAGACTTTTCCACTTTCAGACTCCAGCTTGGAGTTTGGACCCCTTCAGATCATCGATTTAGTCGCGAAGATCAATTCTGACAGCAGAGTTCAACTCGTGGAGGTCCAGCAGGGCCAGCACGGTCCTCCAAACTCAGTTCGAATTTACGAAGGAACACCACAGGCGAGACAGGCCCAGCTTGATGAGACTGTCTGGCAGAATCTCACCTCATCTTCTGCTGGCGCATGTGTGTCTGAATTGAAACCCGAGGAGAAGCCGGATTGAATGTGAGACGTCGAATCGGGTAAATTATTGACAAGAAAAAGAAAGCAACAATGCGGGCAACACTTCCCACACGTAGTTAACTGGGTGAGGGGGAGGGATCGTGATTCATAAATGTGTGACAGGCGATGGAAGCCGAGACAACCGACCACTGGGAGATGGCCCAAGTGTTGATTCCACCGGCGCCAACCAGGTGTATGCTCGTTGGGGCGATGAAACATTCCATCACCACCGGTACACAGCATCTCAGGCTCTCGGCATCTTGTCCGGTTTGAAGACAAAGAGCTTCAGACTTCAAACTCCAGCTGACGACTGGGCCCGGCTTTTGAAGTTGGATGGAGAGGCCCGTGGAGGTCCATCAGCCATCCCTCTCCAGGCCCCATCCAGAGCGTGCCCCAAGCGCCGGTGCCAGGATCTTCATAGGCTGGATCGATCTGGATGGGTCGCTGGAGCTGGAGCCCCTGCTTCACGAACTGCACAGACGCTGAGTTGCTACGTACCATGCCCTCGACTCGTCGCAGCGACCAAGTCAGGCAAAAGACTACATAGAATCCAACACTCGGCTGGGACGGGCGCGGCGAGTCGCCGGCGAGACCCTGGGGGCTTATATGGGCAGCACGGACGGCCCCTTGAATCAGGAGGATTGTCGCAAGAGTGTCACATCATCCACAGCCAGAAACAAACCATGTCTCAGCAAGTGCCAATCAGCGCTGCAGGCGGCCACCCGCTCCACCAGCACAGAGCCAGGAACTGGAATCTGGAATCACGATGCATGGGATTGGGAACTGCTGAGCAGTTCGCAGTTGGTGGCTCTGTTTCAGCCCAATTTCGTTTTATAAACAAGAAGGATCTTAATTTCAGCGTGGTCAGTGATCACAATTGTAATATTCGCTTCGAGCACTTGCCTCCCCTCCTCAATCTCCTCCTCTCCGTACTCCCGTCTCTCCTCTCCCTCCGCCTCTTCTGCTCTCTGGGTCTCCCCGCGAGCTGCTTCTTCCTTTCTCCATCTCGCATTCCCACGGGCGCTTCTTTTTCTTATCCGCTTTCTTTTCTTATTTCTTTTTCTTTTCTTTTTTTTTTGCTCTTTCCTTTCGGCCGGCTGCCTTCGTTCTGGGCCTGCCCTTTCAGATCCCGGTCTATTCTCCCTATTCTTACGAGTATTTCCTTCGATCTGTCGTCGCTGTCACACTGCCGCCCAGCTCTTGTTAGCCGCCCGCCTGCTCCTTCCCCTCCGCCGAAGAGCAGACATCGAACCATTCCCAGCTCTTCTTCAGCCCAACCATTTGACAAGCCTCGAAATAGGTGTTGGATCGCCTGCGGCCCTGTCACCCCGCGTCTCCTCTCGCCGTCTTTGTCCTCGTTGTGGGTCGTCGTTTGGGTTGTGGTTGTTGGTCGTCCAAGCCCCGTTCGCTAGCCTCAGCTCGGTCTCTCTTATCCCTCCATACCTTTTCACGGGAACAGACGTTCGTTCGTTGGCCGCCAATACAAGTGCACTCTTTTTTCATCCGACCTCGTCTGTTTACTGTCGCCAGCGCAGCTTAGACCTTACTATATATAAAAAGGGATTTCATGTTACCAGCCGCTAGGGTGCCCTTGTGATCTTCGACGATCGAGTATCATATTCGCTCTCGTTTTTGAGACCCGCTGCACCGCCTTCCAAGTCACCCGAGACCTTTACCGTCTGCCTTTGTCGCTCACTTTCCGACTTCATATTTTTGTGAGCTCGGATAATGTCTACCGCCGTCGCATCAGCCGCGGCTGCACCGCTCCCATCTCCCCGCATGAACAGAGACTCGAGTCCGAGACGGCTGGCACCAGCAAACACCAGCAACCAGTCCAGCTCTACGCCTCCGCGCGCGGCCGTTGTGTCTCGAGATGGGTCTTCCAATAAGAGTTCCCCTGCCGGAAGGAAAATAACATCTCCCTCGTAAGTACCTGACAAAGAATATAATGATGGGAGAACCGAATCTGATATTCCGATAGGTCGCAGAACGGTAGCAACCCCCCCAAAGTTATCGTGAAGAAGGAACCGCCCTCGTCGCCTGGAATACAAACCAGCACCCGGCCCAGGCCACGAAAACTAGACCTTTCTACCAGCCTTCCTACCTCCGAAAGATTGTCAGCCCGGGCCCCGGGTGGTCCTATGACTGCTCGCGATGTTAAGATGCAAGACGTGGGAATCGCCTGCCTGTCGCCTGGATTTCAGACTCACGACCCGGTTATGCGGGAACAACTGCAAAGAAGTCTATCAGTGCGCGACCAGCAGCGGCATATAATTGAAGCCAGGCTCCAAAAGTCGGCTAAGGATGACGGTCCAGACGGCGTGAAACCGTCCGAATCCAACCCATTTAGTATCCCAAAGGCCGGTGCTTCGAAGAGAAGAGCCCCCCCTGGGCTCTCCATTGTACCCCCAACGGCGGCCCAGTTTGCGAACGAGCGTGTCATCCAATCTGCACCACTTAACCAGACATTTACAGGCCGTCATCAGCCCCAACCGCTGACGCGGCACGTGGTGAACCAGAGCCCAACACTAGGCTCTAGTTCACATATTCACCATGTACCTGCCACACAAACCAGCAATCGCCTTCCACCCCTCTCAGATGTTTTTGGCTCCGATGCCCTGGCAGCCTCTCGGGACCATGACTCCAACCGCACCCCTTACTACCAGGGATCAACTGCATCTAATTCAACCCAGTCGAATAACCTACCTCCTCTACCGTCGCCCAGAATACCGGGGAGTGCGCAACAATCGAACCGACCTCGCGAATACCGTTCAGCCGAAGAGGCGGTTCAAGATTTATCTGGTGGGCGAGAAGACCTGCTGCCACGTATTGTGCACTACGGTGGACATCAACCTCCAACCCCGCCTTCCCCCCGCGCCGCCAATGGTCCAAAGTCGGCTGTGCCTCACCTTGAAACTGTGCCAATGGGGGGTGCACACGCTCCGCATCATCCAGCACCACACCCAGCGGAGGGAACCTCTCGTCGCCGTCCCAGAAGTGAATATGAGCGGGATAACGGAAGCCCACCCTTGGGTCATGGACCCGATCCTCATTATAGGCCCAATCCTGCATTGGGACATGGTGCGGGTGTTGCCTATGGTCCGTTTGGGGCAGGGCGCGACTCTCCCGAGACGCAGCGGAGAAAGAAAGAAGAATTTTTGGGTCTCTGTTCTCGCGCCTGGGACCTTTTCCATTCTTAAACTTGTGCCAACTAGTCCACAAGCGGTATTAATTATATACGGTCTTTGATGTCCATCTTGTAAGGCATAAGCCGGGATGGAATGGCTGCGCATGATGATTTGAGATGGATATTTGAAAGTATGATTGGCTACATGAACACAGCATGAACTGCACCAAGGAAGGTTTCACATTTGTTTTCGTTTGTTATTTCTTACTCTACGGAGTGCCCTGTTCTCATTTGTTGCAATAACATCCAGGTAAAAGGACACTTTTTTGTTTCGACCTGGCTCTATTTACAAACCAGGAGGCGTTTATATGGAGTTTCTTCTCTTATGTATTCCACGTTTCACAGGAATCCTGTCCATACCAGTTTTCGACCTTTCATTGTTTCGGTGATCCGTTGTATGGCTTCGATGTCCTGCTGCGATACCATCTGTTTATTCATTATCATTCCCCCTTCGCGTTTGGCCTTCAGGGCCATGTTATTTGCAAGACATTTCATTTAAGGTCATCTCATTACGCGATAGGGAAAGGATGCGGATAGTTTTGGATAATGTCAACTAATAAGTGTGGCCATCTTTTGAGTTTATATTCCCATTCTCGCCCTATTAGACGCTGTATTCTATCTCTAGGCATGTACAACCAATTTATCGTTTTGTGAACATTGTAAAACTGCGGCAGTTCAGTCGAGACGTTGCCGTTTCCTCGGAGCTGCATCAAAGCTATTACCTAGCCCTCTGCGCTCCATCGGCATCTCCTTCCTCTCCTTTGCAGCAGCCTTCTTCCTTCTTCTTTCCAGCGCCTTTAAGCGGTCCTTCGATTTCATACCCTCATATTTCTTCAATAAGGCCTGTTTCTTGAGATCTGATTTCTTCAAGAAATAAGGCGTAGCCTTCTTACCCTCGCGAATAAGCTGCTTTTCCCGTTTCTTATGTTCCGACAGAATATCCTTCTCCCGCTTATTATTCTCAATCGAACGCATCCGGTCTGATGCAGAGCGAATTTCTCGCTGTAGCGCCTCCCTCCCCTTTACATCCTTCGTCCTGGCAAGCTGGTTCTTCAAATCCTTCAGTTCCGCAGCGCGATAGTCGTCCAGAAACGCATAAGCGTCGCTCGGGGCAGATTTTCCTCCCCTGCGACCAACAATCGTCGGATCGAATCTCGGATCCCGAGATTTAGGTACACTCGGTGGTTCAACGATAGTGCGTTTTCGAGAAACAGCGAATTTGGATGATTGTACCGTAGGTGCATGTTTCGAGGAGCGGGAAGCTGGCTTCTCAAACCTGGAAGTCCCATCCTTTGATGTTGACGATGCTTTGCGCTTTTGTTCGCGTGCCTCTTGGATCCGAGCTCTGATATCATCTAGTGGTGAATTCGTAGCTGCTTCGTCACTTTCTTTCGCACCTTTCGTGCGTCGCTTACTTTTAGGTCCGAATGACGCTTGCGCTTTGGCGAGCGCGCCGAAGGATATGTTGTTAATGGATAATTTTACGTCGGCATCATTATCGTCGTCGCCATCGTCGTCTTCTTCAGAGTCGATCTCACTTGCTTCTGATTCTGAACCTTGGGCTTCAGAGGGGTTGTTGGACTGGAATGGTGCATTAGTTTCTGTCAAGAGCGGTATTTCACGAGACGAATGTTCATACTTCATCATCACTTCCATCTGAACTTTCACCGACTTTACCTGAGCCAGACTCGTCAGATCCCTCGGCATCGCTGTGTACCTCTGATTCTGATCCGTCGGAGTAGAATTCTTCATCATCGTCTGCGCGAGCTCGCACTCGACGGTTGAGAAGATCTGATATAGCCATTTTAATCGACCTATTTCTCAAGACTGGCTGAGATCTATGTCCAATCAAGCCGGAATATAGCACTGCGGACCATGGACTAGCCAGTTGAAATTATTGATAGCGGTCTGATTCTGCCGGAATATCACAAGCGGGCGGTCACGTGTGCCACGTCGATAGCTGATCTAGATTTTGCCTAACACAAGCAGAGTCCGAGGTTCACTCCATCTTTCGATGTTCCGTTTCTTCGTTGTACATATCACTGCTTCTCTTCACGTTTGGTTTCTGTTTCGTGTATGATTGCATTACATTCCGGCTTAGCCTGACGCCACTCATTACCTCTGTCTCTTCAGTCCCTCGCTTGTAGCCTCGTCTCTTCTGCTCCGATGTCCCAGTGTGGGGCGTACGATAAAGTCCGTATACTGAGTCGCACCTGGTGCCAAACACAATGTACCTAACTAACACCTAGAAGTTATTTTCTCGAACACTCGCTATCTATCGCTCTTTGCCGAAACATCGTTTACGCTTATTGTCTATTGCGAAAGTACCCGCTGCCCACGCTAGTACCAGCAGGTATCCGATGCTCGCTCCTGCAATGAAGAAGTCCCAACCGCCGACCAACTCGACGTCGAACACCGAGTCCAAAAAAGTAGATAAAAAGCGCCAAGGAGACACAGCACCCAACTCTAGGTCGGGTTGGAGGCCGTACCGCGGAAGATGGAATGCTAAAGTGGCCTACCGGGATAATCTCAACGAAGCACCCCGGGGAGAAGCCGCTACCCATGATACCCATACATCGCGACGAGGCCGGCCGCGTCAAAACTCAAGAAATCCTAGAGTATATTCAAACGGGGCGACGAATTCGAATCCTCATTATAACCTATCAGGACGGTCACTCTCTCCACGGAGAGATGCGCCATCGCAACAGACGCCCCAATCGCAGAATGGCCAGGCGGTGTTGCCTGCAAACAACGGTTCCGCCGGCTTTCCAATGATGAATCCATTTAATATGTTTAATGACCTTCCGGTTCCCTCTGACGTCTCGGCATGTCAGCCACGGTTTTTTCCGCCAAACATGTCACAGCAACAGCAACAACAACAACAACAACAACAACCACCACCACCACAATTTCCTTCACAGTTCGACCCGTCTTTACCGAATCCTGCATGGTTTCCTCTACTCGGTGGTGGGAACCCGTTTCTAACTATGCCACCGTTTCTATCACCGGGCGCTTTTATGAACCTCGATATGCAGAGTCAGGCAGCCTCGAACCCGATGTTAAGTACTGTTGATCAGAGCGGAACCGCAACTTCAGCTGGTTTCAGTGCGGCTGCTCCCTCGGCCCCGGATCAGAAACAGACCAGTGCTGCTAAAGCCCATCGCCAGGCCTTCAAAGCACCCCGCCCCCCTTCCGCGACGAAGAAGTACCTTCACCAATCAGCATTATCACCCAAGTTAACATCTTCTCCGCAACCTTTACTTATAATCCTTGACCTCAACGGTACTTTGATATACCGGAAAACGAAAAAGTTCCCGCCATCATTCTCGCGGAGAGCTGGCTTGGATGAGTTCTTAAACGTCCTGGTTGAAAAGTACAAGGTCATGATCTGGTCAAGCTCAACACCACCGACAGTAGCCGCGGTCTGCCGGAAGTTGTTTCCAGAATCCAAAAGGAACGAACTAGTCGCCGAATGGGGCCGGGATAAACTCGGTCTCTCGAAGTCTGAATACAACTCCAAAATCCAGGTTTACAAGACTTTGGAAACAGTCTGGAACAATAAGCAAATCCAGGCTTCATACCCAGGGAAGGCTCAAAAGGGTGGGCCCAAAGCAAAGAAACAGACATCTCGCTGGGACCAAACAAACACCGTTCTTATCGATGACAGCAAACTCAAAGCTCTTAGCGAACCCTACAACCTCATTGAGATTCCGGAATTCACCAACAACCCTGCCATTGACGAATCAGACATTTTCCCAAAGGTCCTCCAGCGCCTTGAGCTCCTCGCCAAATGCGACGACGTCAGCAAAATGGTCTACAAGTGGACCTCCACAAACCCCGAAACAAGCATCCTGGACCTCAACCCGGGTCCCATAAAATGCAAACAGGACGGTCCTGGTGATGACAACCAACGTAACCATGCTGATCTCGACCCAGCTGAAGCTCGTAAACTAAGCCGCAAGACACGCAAGCTCGAGAAAAAGGCCGCTCGCAAAACCGCCACCATCCTCGCAGCAAGGGCAACTGCCTCTGCTCCTGCCCTGTCGCCACAAGATTCTCCGTCAAATCCACCTGCAGATGAACCGGGAAACCAGGACCGCTCTGTGAATTCAACGTCAGAAGCACAAAGGCAGAGATCGCCATCCTCTGCGTCGTCTGTGCAATCAGGGAACACCCTTCTTGACCGATTAGAAGAGTCTTTGAACTCGTAATTTAGATTACGGCATAATTTCGGTTACCTCTTGTTAGTTGTTAGTTGGTTTCGGCGTCATGTACCTTGCATACATTGAGCTTCGTATGGCTTGTGGCGCGGGTTGCGCTGATGGCAGCGGCTGCAGCGCTCTATTTAATGTATATTTCTCAATAGTGATACCCAATAAATTAGCTACATTATATGTTTTGTTTTGTTTTGTTTTTATGTGAACTTGAACTTGCTTTGGATACATATATAAATCTGGTGATATTGTAGTGATAGGCTTATTAGGACATATATAAAGAACTCCAGTGTAAAAAATATATATCAGACGTGAAGAAATCCACTTCAATCGGCACTATACCTCTCTAGTGTTTAGACATGCTTATCAAGGTAAAAAATTGAACAGAAAATTGTTCGTGAAGAGTTTTTTTTTTTTTTCATTCTCAGTGACTAGACGTAAAACCATTGCATCGTGGTGGGGGCGTAGACATGACGTGATCGGGTTGACAAAAGTGGGATGGATATGGGTATGTTCCATCCCATAGGATATCACAAACAGATACTTTTAGAAGAGGAATTTATGCATGTTATTGAACAAAGGAAAGTGTCATAGTGTTTTGTTTGGATATCATCATCATGAGTCAGTTACTATGGCATCTAATAAGTCGTTTATTTGAAGACGTGGCCGTCGACGTTGGCAAGCTCCTTGCCGTCAACGACAACAGGGGCGTCCCAGGCCCAGATGTCCTCGATGTACTTGCGGTCAGCCTCGCTGTTGGGGTCGAGCTTCTCGAAGTTGTAGCTCTCCCAGTCAGGAGCAACATCGAAAGCAGGGGTGGCTTCCTGGCCACGGACAAGGAAGACACCCTCGTTGACACAAGCGTAGTTGGCGCCGTAGACACCCTGGCAACCGAAGAGGTACTTGCGGGAAGCCTCAAGACGAGCGTGGAAACCACCTAAACATTGGGTTAGTAACTGTGGAGATTCATGATGGATCGAGGGTCCAGGGAGCGTACCGATCAGGTTGTTAGCCATGAAGGTGAGCTTGAGCTCATCGTTGTACTTGTAGCTGACCTTCCAGAGAGAGAACTCATCGGCCTTGTAGTTTTGCCAGAACCAGGGCATAGCACTGGTACGGACGTCCTCGTTGGAGTATGTGCGCTTCCAGTCGTCAATGATGAAAGTGGGCTTGCCGAGGGCCTCAAGAGGGTGCTTGGGCTTCTTCTCAGCGGGCTGTGCCTCCTCAGCAGGGGCAGCGGCGGCAGCAGCCTTGGGCTTCTCCTCCTTCTTGGGGGGAGTGTACTTGATGGCCTCATCGACGAGGACGGGGTTTTCAACAACAGCCTTGAAGGCGGGTTGAGCGACAATGGTCTGGTACCACCGGGCAACAGCGGGGTTGTCAGAGCGGACCTTCTTGTCAATGACAGTGGCGAAAGCGCGGGTGAGAAGAGAAGCAGTGAAGAGATCAGCGAGGGTGATGCGCTCGCCGACGAGGTAGGTGTTAGCAGTGAGGTGGGTGTTGAGAACGCTGAGCTTCTTCAGGGCAGCCTTGGCAGCCTCGTCGACACTCTTCTTGTTGTAGCCGTCGAGGCCAAGGAGAGGGCGGAACCAGGAGCCGAAGCTAATAAGGAGCTCAGAGTTGGCGAAGGACAACCACCGGAGGATGGAAGCATAGTCCTGCTTGGTCTTGCCGAGAAGAGTGGTCTTCTCGTTTTGAGAGGTCACTTTGACAATAGTCAGCATAAAATGTTGCAACAAAACGAAAAATCAAATAAGTCATGAGTCACAAAAGCTATGCTGCCTTGGTCAAAAAATTTTGCCCAAAGGCGGGGTAACCAAGAAATTCAGAGTTGTATGTTATCAACAGTAATGTTCTGACAGGGATAACTAATAATGAAATTGCTCATCATTTAAAGAAGACTGGGACCTTAAAAAAGCGCAAATTGTGTGAACTATTGTGTACGTACCGTAGACGGCAATGGCGATAACCTCAGAGAGAGTGAAGCCATTGGCACCCTCGAAAGCGGGGATCTTGCCTAGAGGCTGAAGCTTGGTGTAGGCATCAGACTTGTTGAAGTCGGCAGCGGGGTTGGCCTGGGTCTCGACGAGCTCAAGCTCCAGGTCGTTGTGCTTAGCAGCAACGAGGATGGAGATGGTGCGAGTGTTGTCCTATCGAGGGGGTCAGCTTCTGTTCTAGTATTTCAGGGGGTAGCAACGTAATTGCTACAATGAAAACAAAGACAGGGGACAAATGAAGACGTACACGACGACCGTAGAGCTTGCCGAAAGCCATTTTGAGTGTGATGGGAGGTGGAAGGGGGATGATGGAGATGAAGGAAAGGAGAAAAAAAAGAAGGAGGGGAAGACTCAGTCTCCAAACTTTGCAGTGGATGAAATAATTTTGTGCGAATCAGACGGAGTCTCGGTGTCGGAGGAACATTTGATCGGATCACGTGGGCCAACATCGAAAAACCTCAGGATCGCCCAGGACGGCAGGCACCTGACTGCGAAGCCAGCCAGTCCTCCCTTTCCGCTGAATTCCTGTCGCTGACCTTCAATTGAGGCCTTTGACAGCCGGACTGTCTCATCATGGGCTTGAAAACCGCGAACTGTGTGGCCCATGCCATGCAGTCTCTCCAATCCACAGCCTATCTTCGAGCATCCATCTCCCAACGCTTAGCGGCCCCTACATATGTCGTCCCCGGAACTTCTATATCGACGCGCATGCAATGGCATGGAGGTGCCCGTGGCTATGCTACCGAATCTCAACAGCCCGCGCAGACCGCTGCCCCGGAAATTGACTTCGTAAAGCTTGAAAATAGGCCCGTACGAGTTATTCCCGCATCACCCTCCTATTTCTCCGGCAGTCCAAAATTCTTCGACCACTTATTGAGACTTGAGAGCCTTTTGGCAAAATATGCGACATTACCGACGGTGCCTGCCGGCGAGGCTCCTAGAATGGCTTGGTTGAAGTTACCGGGGTTCCGAGAATTCGTTGGCGAACAGGTTCCTACGAAGAAATACAAAGGCCTACTCCAAATTTTGCAGCGGTTAAATCGGATTGAACCCAACGTCTTGCCCGACGAGGTTCGCCTCGCGTTAAAAGATTTCCTTCGTCCAGGAAATCCGTATGCCATGCAGGCCGCGCCACCTACTGTGGATGAATTGGGTCGTGCTCGTGGAAAAGGAAAGCGTAAGTCGTCTTCTGCAGTAGTGCAACTGGTAGAAGGCGATGGGGAGGTTTTGGTGAACGGAAAGGGTTTAGTCGAGGCGTTCCCTCGAGTGCATGACCGGGAGAGCGCGACATGGGCCCTTAGGAGTTCATCCAGGCTAGACAAGTACAACGTGTGGGCTACGGTTAGCGGCGGCGGTACAACCGGACAGGCTGAAGCTGTCGCCTTGGCGCTTGGGCGGGCATTGATGGTACACGAGCCTGCATTGAAGCCCATCTTGCGAAGAGGTACGTATACCAACTATATCGAGAGGGTGAACTCTATTCGTTTTGATAAATATATGCTAACAAGTCCGTCTTTTCTCCAGCCGGCGTTATTACCGTGGATGCTCGACGTGTGGAGAGAAAGAAGCCTGGCCACCTCAAGGCACGTAAGGCTCCCACATGGGTCAAGCGATGAGGCACTGTTGCGGACAGTCATGTGTTTATATCCCTTTCTTACTTCCTTTCATTCACATACTGTATTATTTGACTTTCGGCGAAGGCATATCATTTGCTCTTTTCTCTCAATTTGGCGTCATGGTGTCGTTTCTAGGTACGACGACACTACATGTTCGCGGCGACCCGCATGTAACTATTGGCGTTCCTTCTGTCTGATCAAGTCAACTGAAGATAGTGTAGAATTTGTACGACCAGAATTTGCCGTGATTAATTTGAGTGATGACCCTGTATAGGTGTCTGGTTTTCAGCATCTTTCCCTCGCAACGAGGATTTCAGTGACTCGGCCATCCACCAAGCTTGACAAGCGAAGAAAAAAGGAACCATAATTTTACAGAGCCGAAAAGCAGGTCTGGAGCATGCTAACGCCGCCAGCTAAGTTCAAGGCCAAGGCTGGGAAAACTCAAGCTCGAGGCCTACGCCGTAATGCTCAGATCACCAGTCGATTTGCTAGAACTGGAGTTCATGATCTTTTGAGTTTGCAGGGTGATCACTGATCATCGCGAGGAATGTAAAATAGTGAAGTGGAGGAATCCAAAATGCAAGCACGGACCGATGCATTAAGGAGATCCCATCACTCCTAAACCACTGGATCGTACAGACTCACTGGATTAGATATGGTCTAAAAGCAACATAAGATAGCCTTGTTTTGGGCCCGGGTGAGGAATTTCCCCTCCGAGGCCCTTCGCACGTTCCTCCTAAGCTTCCGTTTAGAATGCTTGATACCCAGCATTCAATGGAGTTGATGGAGGCCAAGAGCAGAACCCAAGGCTTTGTACCTCGATCTTGTCCAATCAAAAGCTCCACATTTCTGTCTGATGTACTGAGGACATGGGGTGGCAGCATCGGAACAGAATCGATTGGATGAAGGGGATCGTAGTGGTTCGAGGCAGTTCTGCTGGCGACGAGGATGGCGTCGGTGAACCAATTGCGGAAATACGAAGGAAAAACTGAGCTAGGTTGTTGCAACAAGAAACCTAGAAGTAGGGCTGGAACCTGCAAGCTGCTTTGTGAGAAAGTACGGAATATTGATGACGGTGAGATTAATGGATATCGGAACGAAAAATGATCCTGAATCTGGAGAGCTGAAGCAGATAATCAGGTGATTCTTCTACAGCCAACATGTGACTCGGTATACAACAAAAAGAGAGAGCCTCGTAGTTTGTACTATCCATGTGCGAAGTCTATTATTGCCAAGAAGCAGCATCTTCAAACAGACATGATGCAATCAATCAGTGAGAACCAGACCGCCTAAATGAGGCTCCAGGGTTTCAACCAGTCGCTTCACTATTTACTTCCAACATAAGGTGAGACGAGTTTAGCCTCATTTTGAAATCGCATAAAATGCTTTATTTGGACAAGGTGAGGCGGGTTTATTTATCTCCCTTGTCTATCTGTGACCTCTGATGATGATATAGTGTGACGATTCCAAATTCAAGGCAAAATTTCTTTTCGTATCCTTCCCCGACGAAAACGACACAGATGAAATGGCTGTGCCTGTATCTTCCCGAGTGTACGATGATCGACAGCAATCCCCACCACAGAGTCCAGCCTCGGACAAGCCGTCGATCCAGCGTCAAATGAGCACACACTCCAAAACCCGAACGAGGCCGATCCTTGGTGTGGATGACCGACCCACTGCCGTGGGCTGCGAATGCGATCCACCTGGCTTTTCGCAGTGCATTCTGCCCAGGACTCTCGGGCCCCGGGGAAACTCAACCAAAGTATTTACTGGTCGAATCAGAACGGACGAAGAAACGATGACAGGCCTTTATTGGACAGAGCTGCATGCATTGATCCCATGCAGCACTGTGATATTTGCAGCTCAAGCCTCCCATGGACTCTTTTGGACTCCTTTTCCTATTTTTTAATTCCAGGAACCTTTGTCCATTTTCGTACTTTTAGCAACGCAAGTTATTATTATTCTTGAACTGACCATGCTAGTCATGAACCAGGATCACCTCCTGGATCCTCACAGCCTCGCAGGAACTGTCACTGTCAGCGGTTCTTCCCGTGCAGCCCGAAGGCGATCTTACGCTTCTGAACGAGAATTTGGAGTGACCGACGATTCAAGACTATACTTTCCAGTCTTTTCATTTTGCTTTTTATCTAGGAAGCCTCTATTTGGATGGCGCAGTTGTTGCCGGGCTACTTTCTCCGGATCGTCGAGCAGCAGGTCGCGTTCCAGCAATTTGGGTCAACCTCTATTGAGTAAGCTGACTGCTGGGATAAAACTGGGCCTAAGAGAGGAGCTAGGCAAATCGAAAATTATTTCCGGAGATTTGGAATGGTTCCAAGTTCGCAAGTCGCAAAAGGGAAAGTGAATGGTTAGTGTGGTTCCAGCAGACTGGTCGTGAACCTTATCGGATCCGCTTGAAGATCCCGTCTACTTAGTTGGGAGTCGTGCGTCCCTAGCACTGTTGCTCCTCCTATTTAGGACCGTGACAATGTCGAATGGGAATTGGATGTACCTAAATAGTTCCTCCGGGGCTATGCAAAGCCCCTCGACCTGGTCTGCCCGTGCCCAGGCTCGTGCCCGTCTGGGACTGCGACGAACGGATTCAGATATAGTGGCGTTAGACGGGCAGCATTGTAAGAGTAGAGTTATGAAAGGGTTAAAGAAGGGGCCGCCTGTCCCCTGAATTGATAACAGACTGGCAGGAGCGGCAGGTAGAAGCAAAATAGATCTATACTGTGTCCCAGCTGCATCATCTTTCTTTTTTTCCAATTCTCTGCCTGTAGATGCTCGCCCTCTCGTGTTTATCGTACTCGAGCCAGATCCTCTTTTTTTATTTTATTTTTTTTTATATTTATTTTTTTCCTTTTTCTTTTTCCGATTAATTAATTAATACTCCTCCCCACAGGGTATGGAGGGTAAAGCCGTGAAGTCATGGCGTTTGTTAATTATAATTTGTGATGCCAGGGCCATCGTCCTGTCCGGTGTCTCCCCGGAGCGTCAACTCGCCTCGTTCTTGAGGCTTTCAATAATTGCTTGGGGATCGCCCGCTCCATCGTCCACCATTCACCACAGAAGAGGCCGGTATAAGTTAAGGACTACTCTCATCTGTTTGAAGTTTCCGTCTCTCAACATTTCTTACTGCTCGATCCACCTGTGTTTGCCCCTCCCTTCTTCGCCGTTCCCCAATAATAAGCACGTTTGGGCTGCAAACACAGAGCAGACAGACGAGCACCTGCATTGCATCTGACATTAATCGCACAGAGGCTGTTGAGGGTCTTTGGGATTGAACTTTTTTTTCCCTTCCTCATCTTTCCCTCCTTGCTGCCTCTAGATATCTATTCTTACCCTTGAAACTCTGTGGCTCCTCTCTCCACCTGTGCTTGTTCTGGGCCTATCGTGTATTTCAATTGCTCCCGGCCGTTCCCAATTCGCATTTGGTGCGCGCCTGAGCGTGTTAAGTGGCAAGGGATCACTGTGCGTCCCTCGTTTTCTGACAAGAACAAAGATGACTGAGCTAAAATGATATCTAGATTGCCCTGGTGGTACCGACTCCTCGTGCAGAGGCGAAAGCGTGAGACTAACGCGCGTTTACAGTTTACTGGGTAGTACCCACGTCCCTTCCTAGGCGTATACATCGTCTTCGGGGGACGGAAAAGGCAAGGCGTAATTCGCAGCGCTGTTCAGGTTCACCGTTTAATCCCGCCAAGCTGGAATCCTACGCGAGCCCTCCGCTCTCCCCACCGACGAACTGGTCTCTTGACCTTGACTCGGTGCGTAGGGGTTCGTTTGGGGGCATGGATGGTGAGTTTCGACGCATGAAACAGCATGATCAGCAAGCCTATTACGCGACACAACCGGGCATGTCCCGTCGCTCTACCTCCAGATCGTCCGGCAGTACGGCAGACCGGTTTAGACAGGCCGGATTTCAGCCAACACGTGGAGATCCATCGCAGGCCGCTGGAAGACCACGAATGTCTGCGTACATGGACTATGGATACACAGAAGGCACCTTTCAGGGCGGTGCGTTGCAGGGTGACGAATTGCAACCGTATCCGCCGACGTTGCGCGACCACCAGCAGCGCCAGCAACCCTTCCCTCCATATGAGCCCGAGATTGTATACAACCTCGGGCAGCAGGGCCCAGCGCAAACCCCGTACGAGGTCGTGCCACAATATTCGTCACGGCACTCTGCATCACTGGATTCCCTCGCCGGCCAATTTCCCGTTCCACAGTATTTCGTTCCCAATGAACCGTCAGGCGCTGGGCTCCCACCATCTTATCTGCCACCGGGACTTTCTCTGTCCGCATATAATCAGCCGGGGCCCATTGGACGCTCGAACGCAACGCAGCCCTTTTCCGCAACCATGGCGGACATGACCCCCGTGGGGGCGGCGGGACAGCAGCAGCAGGCACTATCACCGTCCCAGCCACAGGTGTTGTCAGAACTCTCGGCGTCAGCAGAGCCATATCGGCAATTGCAGCGAGCATTACGGGGGACTCTCGAACATACTCGCGCCGGTCGATTGGTAGAGGCTAGTCGATCATTGCTAGAAATCTCCGAGTGGCTTGTGGCTGGTGCACGGGAGCTTGGTATGTTTTCTCTCTTAGCGTCAAGATGATTTACCTCCCACCCGTGGCTTCCCTCCATGCAGGACTAAACTTGGACTACTCGGACATCCTCCTTCAAAGTTAAGCGTTGGAAGACGATAAGTTAACATTATTATGCCCATAACAGGTATTCTCCGCGATGACCAAATGGTCCACTCCGATCGATTGAAACTATGGAACGATTTCAATATCTGCTGGTTAGCGTTGTGCCAGAAGCAGAAAGACATGACGCAGGACTTGCTTCGGACAGGCCGCCAACCGTCCCGAACTAGTCTTCTTAGTATAGAGGCTATGGAAACTCTGGGCAAACAATTGATACAGCTTTGTGATCAGATGGAGCAACATGGCCTGGTGGATTACCAACTGGGCATTTGGGAGGAAGAAATCTTGTCTGGTAGGTCCCCCCCAAGTCAAGTCACCAAGATGAAAATAATAACCTGAAAATCCAACTAGCCTTGGGCCAATGTTTGGACCTCATCGAAAGCCGACCTGAACTTTCTCGTACTCGCCCCGCCGCAGCCCACACGTGAGGCTTTCGGCTTCAAATGCACGGATCCCTTTATGGTGCAGATCGATTTTCCAGTGCCCAGGCGGCGCCCACTTTCGGCGCCCCATTTTCCTTTGGGTGACCCTAAGGCAGGGGCTAAATTAGTCCTTGGGTCATGACTTCCGTTCCAGCTTTTAGGATGCGCTATCGATTGATAGATCGAGGAATTCTGATGCCCAACTTTGTTTCCCCCACTACGCTAAGCGCTCCGTCATCTCGTCTTCAAACCTCCTCGCCCCTTGACGCCTAAAGACAGCTGTTGACTGGTCTGCCCAAAGCCCAACACCTCCTTCCACATTAGGATATCGCCGGCGAGCCCTAAAACCAACAGCTGGAATGCTCAACTTCGTAAACCCAAGATTATTAGTCGCTCGAATAGTCGACCATGGCCGCAGCGATACCCGAAATTGCTTCGGGGTCACCGTCCGAAACGAAACAGATCACATTTTGACGTCACGGATCTGATATTACGGATTCAAATCCACTCCACGTCCTCAGCCCGCGTCCGGACGATTAGTGTTTGGAGATACACCCTTGCTTCATCTGCAGGAATTGATCAGTTTCGTTATGAAAAATGAATGCACTATGGTTGATTTCACACAATATAGACTTTCTATCTGTCTTGTTTTTTGATAGCATTTACACGAATATTTTTCTATCCTCGTTCAGCTGATGCAAAGCAACAGGGATTATTATTAGTAAGGGTTCTTAGCCTTCCCACGCTGTTGGGGCTGCAGCGCATTTTCAGTTTGTACTTAGATCGACAACACTATTGAGGGGCATACTTTTGTTCCGATTTCCATTACTCTATGATTATTATGTCGGGTTTTCTTCTCATTACGATCGATCTGATCGAGATTGTCCCGCGATCGTGCCTTGGAGTTGGAATCTTGACAGTACAGTGTATACTAGCGTGGAGAAATTTCAAGACCCGTATATATTAATCTTCCGAATTCTGGTCATAATGGTTAAACTACCCCTCCCTATGTAGACACGACTATGGAATGGATACTTCACACCAAGTGGGATGGTTTTGTAACAGTATGCCACCCACAGATCGCTGTCTAACCCCGCTTCGAGCCTGATGCTCACTCTTAGTTATATTTCGTGTACCGAAACACGGGGTCATGTGCATATATTTTCATATACGCCGATGCTGTGACCCGCATGTAGTCAATATTTCTGAAAGAGCAGTGGTGGTGTTATATTTGTTTGATGGCGTGTATAGGAATATGGATGGAGTGAGGCTTCCTTCTCATGTTTCGGGCCATGGACACTACCTGTAAGCCTTGAAATATTCTCTGAAAGGGACGTGGGTGGTCACATGTTCCTTCTTACTTTATCGCAAGCCCAAACAGCAGAGAACGTCTAGAACTTAACATGAGTATTCACTCATGATGGTGGTTATCAGTAGGTAGCGTTGGTATGTAGTTGTACTCTAACCCCCGTAAACTATTTACATCTGGCGTCCTTTGGGCATATACCTAGAGCACGAGAGATTTGTTTTGAATACGTGCCATTGCATCCAATTAAACGGTAGCATCAAGAAACGAGGCTGTTTCAGAGTATCATTGTAGCGTAAGCAACTACAGCTTTTGTCGTCAAGATCATTTCATAAGAGGTAGTCATATCAGTCCATCCAGTGAGCCAGTCCAGTTTGGCGGCATCCGAGCAAAATAGAGTAAACAAGGGCGATACTTGGCCCGTCGATGTTGCGCTAGGAAATCAGATTTGATCTGATATTTCACAATATTAGCACCAGCAGCGAAAACACGCAGACCGCAAGAACAAGGATGAGCAGTCAAGAATTATACAAATAGAGGGGATGGGGGAACACATACCCAATGTCAGACTCAAATTAACATCGGTGTTTTCAACCATATCCGTAAACTCCTCGAAGCTAATCTTGCCATCACCATCTTTGTCCGCTTCCATGATCGTCTTGTCGACAATCTGCTGCAGCTGCACGTCCTTTAGGTTGTTGCCGACCATCATCTTCAGCACGATAAAGAGCTCGCCGTTGGAAATGAACCCGTCGCGATCGATATCGTAAACTTTGAATGCGAAGCGGAACTTCTCTTCCTTGTTGCCTTTTGAACTGAAGGCAGATAAACCGGAGACGAACTCTTGGAAATCGACATCACCGCCACCATCTTCATCGAAAATTGCAATCATTCTGCCATCACATTATCTTGTCAGCTTGGACTTGCGGAGTCCGGGTTCGGGATGAAGCGCACCGTGTGGCGAGAGGGTTGGATGATACTTGTGGGAGGGAGAGGAATTCTTCGCGGTCGATTGTGCCAGAGTTATCCTAGAAGGATGGTTAGATATGACTCTCTTTGACGAGCTGAAGAGCGCACCTTGTCGAGCTTCATGAAACGTTTGCGGAGACGGTCCACCTCATCCTTGTCGACTGGGGGTGTTAGTGCGGGGTGACTTATATTGTGTTGGGAGGAGAATACAATTAGACGCGGATATAATGTTTTCGAAGATCTGCGACGTTCCTACAGAGTTCTGTCGTCTCCGTGAATACATGGCGGCGGCGTTTGGTCCGCTGGATGGATCCATGCTGAAATCAGAATAGGCAGCAGGCTGGACAATAGGAGTGATGGTGCGAGGAAAAATAGAACAACGATAACGAATGTAGAGTTAACCTCCAAGAATGTACGACTGAGTTGGTCTATAATCAAAGAATAGAGATGCGTCTGTCAACAACTTGGGTCAGGAATGCCAAGCAAGGTATGCCGGGGCTGCATTATTTGATATTCCACCCCGCACTAGTCCTAAACCAGTTAGTGGATTGCGCCCCCTGAGGACGCACTGGTGCAAACATGCCAGTGCTTTCACTGCTTTGGGGCAGAAGAGGCCAAATCAGCCCCAGCACTGAACGACAACCGGCCGACCAGCCGAATTTTACGAGATTTCAGCCGTCAATATCAACCACCACCCATCTCTGGTCATCATAAAAATACGACTACGCGATTTTACATGATCTGAACTTTCTATCGACACCAATTTTGGGCCTACCCATGATCGCTGCGGTCGCTGAGCTTTCAACGCCGCCCCAAACGTTCCTATGACTCGTTATGGCGGTTTGGGTAGGACGCGCCCAAAGAAGCTCACCACCAAGGCGTCTATTCCCATTGTTAGCGAGCATGAGATAGATGCAATCGAAGAAGAGATTCAGAGTGGCCTACAACAGATCGAAACTGGTGTTGAAAAGGCCGAGGAGTCTGTAAGTTCCCCCTTGTTTAGCACATCACGTGATGACCACCGTCACGATGGTGCAGGCTTTTTCATGAAGCACTAGCTCCCAACCAGCCCATGCTAACGCATTTATTACGTATAGGAATTCCATTTGCAAGTTGCAATAAATGCAACAGCACAAGGAAAAGTCGTAAATGAGGCTCATATCCCAACGCCGGAGACCGTTCTCAGTAACCTCCAATATGACGAGCTATACCCCCCGGTCTTCTCGCAACCTGCGACATATATTCGCTTCTCCTCCACAGTGGAGGATTGCTGCGGCTGCCCGTATGACATGACCGAAGAGGATGATGTATTCCTGAAGATCATGAACGAAAAGCGGGACCCCAACGACAGGTGCACAGAAGACCAATTCGAAGAAGTCATCAACTTCTTCGAAGAAACTGCGCGATTAAAGCAGCCGTTTGCATCGGTAGATAGCCCGCCAGTTTTGAGCTTTTCGGACATGCAAGAGTCCATGGATGCAACCGTAGAGGATATCGTAAGGCGATTTGCCAAGGACGTATATGAGCATTGGAAGACATTGAGGACGAACAACGGCAATCAATCATTACTTGCCAACCTGAAGGTACGCACCGCCTCCTGCAAAGCATGATTCCAAAAAGTCACACATTGCTGACATGCATATGCAGTTCGAAACTGGTCAAGATACAGATGATACAGATCCTTATGTCTGCTTCCGCAGGCGTGAGGTTCGGCAGATCCGCAAGACTCGCGGCAGAGATGCCCAGAGTGCGGACAAACTGAGAAGGCTCAGGAAGGAACTGGAAGATGCTCGTCAACTGGTTGCTCTTGTGCGCCAACGAGAAGTGGCGAGAAGAGAGATGCTGGCGGCAGAGCGGCATCTCTTCTTGCAGCGGGCTGAAGTCAAGGATATGAAGCGGAAGCTCAATATCAAGGACGATGATGAGGACCTCATCAACCAAAAGGTACGACCCATTCACAAATATTTGTCGTCCTGTTCAGATGCTAATGCAACAAGCAGCCCAAGAAGAAGCCTATGGAGGCACCACCCATGCAACGCCCAGCGGCAGCGCAGCTTCGTATGCCACAAAAGCCTGGAACCCAGACTGCGGAAGACCTGCAGCTGCTGGAGGACGTCCAAGCGGAGAAAGAAAACGAAATTCTCCGCGATATCAAGGCGAACATCGCCAAGCATATCAAATGGAACGAGGGCTACGTGGACTTCACACGTGCTCCGCTCTCACCGTCTCCTGAAAGGACATTTGAACATTCATTCCGTCCTGCGATCACAACGCAATTGCCAACTCCCCCATCCTCAGATTCTTCCGAAAATATGTTGGGTTCAGCATTAGATACCGCAAGTCACATATCTTTCCGCGATAAGCTTGCCGCACACGCTATGATAACGAGCGAGGATGCCAACAAAATGCCTTCGTTCAGAAGACGTATCGGGCGTGGCGGGCGTCTGCTGATTGACCGGCGTAACCTCGCTTCTCGATGTAGAGTGGAGTTAGACGACTGGAAGGCAGACAGATTCAAGTTTGATCAAGAAGATTCAGACGAGGATATCGACTATGAGATGGATCAGTTTGATATTCAGATCATGCAGAATCGGGCAATCATGCTCGCCAAGGCTCGAGACCAAGCACATGCTCAGGCACAGGCAGCGCAAGCACGCCGGCTGCAGGCTGAACAAGCCGCAGCCAACAGCTCAAATCCGGGGCAAACTATGGGATCGAATCCTGGGCCTGGCGCCATTGCCCCGACAGCTGAAACTTGAGCCGGGCCTCGTTTTCTCCTCTCCTTTCGAACCCTTTTTGAACTCCCTTTCCGCAACATTCTCGCGTCGACAACTTTTGACCATCATCTTCCTCCAAACCCCAGTGTACTTTTACTCCCTTTATATTTTGCTTCATGGGGCCCCTTGATTTTTGAGTCCTTTTTCCGCCACAAACCCTTTCCCGCTTGGATGTTGCAAAGCATTCGAAATTCAGGATAACGTCGCTGATGATTATTTTCCCCTTTTATGACGACCTAAGATTATGCGATGTTAGTGTACATAGCTATTTTTCTCTCTCCCTTTATCTCCTCATTTTGCAGCCGATAGGTCGATGGACCTTGTACGGATAGTTGGGCTAAGAGGTCAGCAACGAAGAAAGATAAAAAACAATTAATAATATGTATCAAAAGTGGAAAATATAACTTTTCTTCTGAAGATGGTCGATAGCATCGTAGGATCAGTGAGGCGTTAGGTTCTTTGGGCTTTCGTTCTCCTTGAATCATCACCGTCTTCGTTTGCGGTCCGCTTCGTAGTGCCACCCTCAGCATTTCCCAGGTAGGTATCGACCTTGAGCTTTACAAGTTCGAAGACCTCCTTTTCGCCTATTCGAACCTGTGTGGCCATTTTTCGTCGTCGTGAAGACCCTTCGAGAGGGCCAGATGCTTCGAGGTGGTAAAGCTGGGCGAGGAGTTCACGATCTTGCTCTATCGTTGTGCTGTACCGTCCCTGGCCCATCACAATTGCAGCACGAAGGAGTCTTGCTTCTTCTTGACCGAAGGTTGGCTTAGGTGGCTTCTGCTTCTCCTGTTGACGTGCGAATTGTTCGGGTGTCAACGTCAGGGTTTTGAGGAGCACGGCCAGTTCTTCTGGTATGATGTCGGTGGCCGCATCATTATCAGAAGGCCTAGGTATGTCATAGCCATCATCGAGAAGTTCCAAGTTCTCGAGCAGTTGAAGCTGTGAAGGTGTTAATCCAATGTGTAAAACGTGAGTGGTAGTGAAATTGCCTATTACCCGTGGTTGATTTTCGATGTCAGAATCGCCGAGACCCGCAGCGGCGCACAAAAGGTCGAGTGAGAGTTCAATAACGTCGTACGGAGCGTAATTATCAGTAACGTAACCATACCGTCTCAGAAGATCAGCACGGGGGATTTCTCCGTAATCGTTGAAAACCTCCTCCCCAGCTCGGATGGGCTTGATTGCCTTCATCACTAGTGATTCTTCTTCCTGGAAGAGGCGCGCCTATGGATTGATGTAAGTGGAGTGCTGAAAGTATATACTGATATAAGTGGGGAACTCACGTTATTTCTGTCCGCATCCGCATTGAGCATATCAGCAAGAGGAACCATGCCCTTGGAGGACTGTTCTTCTTCCTCGTCGGTGAGATACCCATCTTCACCATCCCGCTCATCCTCATTCTCCGGTTTCTCAACATCAAAAGCGTAGGCCATGATTAGAGATCCCATTATATGAGCAAGGTTCAGGAGTGCCTGGGCACCCGCATCGCCGTCATACGAAGCGAGGCCGCTAATAGGAGGAAACAAAGAAGAGTTGGCTCGAACAACAGGAATGATAGACTCCAAAATGGATTCCTCAGCCCCTACTCTCCCTATTTTTTCAACAACAGCGCTCCCCTGCAGCTCTTCAAGTTCCGCCGGCGACCAGAACATCAAGGTGTCAAAATTCTGCGGCAAAATCCGGAAATACGGTGCCCAGGTGGAATTATCACCTTGAAGACACTCGTATATCATGACAAGCATCAGAGACAGCCATGGGCCGAGCTCTTCTAGGTTTTGAGAGAGTAGACCTTTCAGCTTCGAATTGTGGGTCGAGAGGACGAGATCTCGGGGGATAGTGAAAAGTTCTTCGCCTTCGAGAATATCGGATTGAGCCACTGGAGGGAACGAGGGTATCGTATCAGAAACAAGGTAATTTTTGGATAGAAGTACAACTGAATAAAGTCGACGGCAGACCGCTGGGACGAGTTTTGCCTCACCCAGGTGGAGAACATACCGACACCTCTTCCAGCAGCGATTGCTCTCAGGTCAGCTATATTTATTTTTGAATTCACTGACACACCAGGCCTAGAAGACAGCCATGCAGCAAACTGGTCTGACTGGAGTTGGAAGTTGCCAGAGTCGGAAAAGTGGGTTGAGGAGGACATGTTTTATTAACGAGGATTGTGGGCGAGCAAAGAAAGAAAACCACGCCAGTCCCTCGGAAGATGAATTTGGGGAATCAAAAGAGGTGGATAGCAAATATACAGAGGTATAGAGATATTAAAACGGACGGAAGTGAAGATTTTGCCCAAGAGGGGGGAGAATAGAGAGGAGAAGAGGAGAAGGAGTGGGCTGTTGTTGAGTTGTCGGAGTAGCTTCAGTCTAGTTGATGGGTCTGGTTGTATACCGTCGGATAAACGCAGCGGCGGATTTGCCGTGGCTGACCCAGAGCAGGCGAGCCAATCGATAAGGCTGCTGATAAGAAAAAACAATCTCCGACCTCCGCCCGACTTTGCCCCTCCATACCGAAATATAGCTATCCAACTTATCCAATTTGATGCTATTTGAATAATTACCACACTGTGCACTCCATATTCCTACCTACTATTCAAAATGATCGCCATCGGCCTCGAGGGCTCCGCCAACAAACTCGGCGTGGGTATTATGCTACATCCCAAAGATGGAAGCACCCCGCAAGTCCTCGCCAACGTCCGTCACACCTATGTCTCCCCTCCTGGAGAGGGATTTCTCCCCAAGGATACAGCAAAACACCACCGGGCGTGGGTTGTAAAACTCGTCAAGAAATCTCTCAGGGAAGCCCATATCTCCGTCGACGACGTGGACTGCATTTGCTACACAAAGGGTCCCGGGATGGGAGCTCCTCTCCAGAGCGTGGCTGTGGCTGCCCGGATGCTAAGTCTACTATGGGGCAAGGAACTAATTGGTGTCAATCACTGTGTTGGACGTATGCGCTCCTACCCCAACTCTCGCTGCAATGCAGAGTGAAGTTTTGAGCTAACACTGGTGGTAATTGTAGATATCGAAATGGGTCGCTTAATCACTGGCGCATCAAACCCAGTGGTTTTATATGTTTCTGGAGGAAATACCCAGGTTATCGCATACAGCTCACAACGGTACCGAATTTTCGGGGAGACTCTTGATATCGCCGTGGGTAACTGCCTCGACCGTTTCGCGCGCACGTTACACATCTCCAACGACCCAGCACCGGGGTATAATATTGAGCAACTTGCAAAGAAGGGGAAACAACTAGTCGATCTGCCATACACAGTGAAGGGCATGGACTGTTCCATGTCGGGTATTCTGGCTGCGATCGATGGACTCGCTGCGACATACGGGCTGAACGGAGAACAGAAGGACGTGGAAGAGGAAGAAGATAACACGAGGACGCAAGATACACCCGTAACAGACGGTATTTCGGAAAACCGGAAGCCTACACGGGCAGATTTATGTTTCTCGTTACAAGAAACTGTATTCTCAATGTTGGTTGAAATTACAGAGCGCGCTATGGCACATGTGGGATCGAAGGAGGTTTTGATTGTTGGTGGAGTCGGGTGCAATGAGCGACTACAAGAGATGATGGGCATCATGGCTCGGGATCGTGGCGGAAGCGTTCATGCGACTGATGAGAGGTTCTGTATCGACAATGGGATCATGATCGCGCAGGCCGGAATACTTGCGTATAAGACCGGATTCCGGACACCGTTTTCAGACTCCACGTGCACCCAACGATTTCGGACAGATGATGTTTTTGTGCAATGGAGAGACTAGATAAACAAATATTTACTTTAATTAAACAACAGTTGCCAGGTTTAATCCATTTACATTCAGGGTATACCATTAGCTCATCTTCAATTTACCATTTTGGTTAAGACAGGGCAATGAATCAGTCATTCTGATATCTATACTCAGATGCCTAGCAGCTAATATTGAGCCGTTCAGGCACCTCGGCACTCTAGCATGTATATGAGAAGGCAGTTTATCCCAAACATAGGGTTAAGTGTTTGGAGGAATGAGAGGAAATGCGCATGCAAACACCTAACCAACCAATTTCCTTGATACCATGGGCGTTTTCAAGGTGCCAAGAATTTGAAGGACTGTACTGCGTGCCATGACCGCCCGTTCCCATTAACCGCATCCGCGGCTTGCCATTAGAGTGGACTCCCAAGTCTGCGTCCTCGGTAGGTGTGGTCATGAGACGCAATGCAAGCGCCTTGAAAGGTTTCAAGGAGGCTTTTGCCAATGACTTTGTTCTAGAATGCTGGGGTGATGGATTCCTTTCGACGCAGATTGTCTAAAAAGGGTTAAAGCTGACTCGTAAGGAAAATACGTGTTGCTTGTGCCGCGGTGCCTAGATACAGGGTTTGGGGAAACCGAATATAGTAGCCGTTTATTCACCGATATCCCCCGTTGGCTTGTACAAGATTGTCGTTACGTACTGCAAACAAGCGAATCAGTAAACAGGTCCCATCTTTATTTGAAATTTCGAAATCGTTACCTTTCGTTTATATCTCGTTGTCACACTGGTGGCTAATACGCCGTTTTTGATGCTGCTTGTGGCGAGATGGTTCAGCACGGTATGATTAGGGTTATTGAGAAGACTGCTGTCATCTTTCATGGGTGTGGTGCCGTTTAGGATAGACTTCCCAAGGAAAAGTGGAAGGCTTGGTGGCGTTGGCCCGTCGCCAATGATGCTGACAGCTTGCTGGTAAGGTGCAGTCTCCTCGTCTTTGTCAAGATCCAGGAGGAACTGTGGGATGACACCACGGAAATCTCCGATTGGGATTTCCTCCGGTTCCTCCTCCTTTTCTGATTTATCGTCGTCAATGGCGGACTCGGTCGATCCATCCGCGACTTCATCGAGAGCTACTTGGGGTGGGTTGGTACCCGACGGCGATAACGCCCCATCACCGTCCCTCCCCGGTCGATTTAAGTCGTCCGCACTAAGTTCGATATAGTTGACCAGGTGATTTGTAAAATCGACAGCGGTTGGGAGATTGTCCGCGGCGCGCATCTCACCATCAACAATAAACTTCAGATGGTGCGTTCCCGGGCGGAGATTTAACTTGGTGGAAAAGACACCAGGGTTGTTTTCACTGGACAAAGGCGGATTGATTAGTTATCGTTGAAAGAAAAAAAAAAGTATACGTAGCTATTCAACAGTGACAAACCTCTTATGAAGCCGAAACTTCTTCTCCCAGTTAACGAAAGTTCCCGTTACGTAGACCTTGCTACCACCAGATGTCCATTCGATGGTTGTGGGAACAGCTTTTCCCACACCGCTTGTAGTATATGGCTGGAGTTCATCCACAGTTTCTTCATCTTCGATCGTAGTCATGTCGGGATTGGCCGTGGCGGTCTTATCACTCGGTGCCTGCGCAGGAGCGAGGGGACTCGCATCGTCAGGCCCGCTAATAGGTGATCCCGGAGTAGCTGAAGCATCACCAATCGGCAGAGGCATCCTGGGCGGACGCTGGAGATGGTGGGACGCACTATAGTACATCTTGTGAGGCGGGGCCGACGGGGTAACAGCAGATTCGTACGGGTCGCGTCGAGCAGCTGCGGCGCGAGAAAGAGGGACCTGAACAGGGTGGGAGGGATCGGGAGATCGAAGCTTCGAGGGAGGAGAAACTGTCCTCTTGGACTCGTGGGGATCAGACCGATCTACGGTCCGCGTTGGCGAATCTGCGACATTGCGGGTCTGCAGGTGCCGTTGGACAGAAGCCTGATTTTGGGAGGACGATTGACCAGTTGCAGTTTCTCTTGAGGCAGATGCATCGGCTACGGGCGCTTTGGTGGTGCTGGAGGGTCCGCTGGGTGAGGGACCGCGAGCTGCTCTTTTATCACTCGTCGATGCCGTCAGGCTCGAGGTGCCCGAAGTTACCGGACTCGGGCCGTCTCCGGCAGGGCCCTTGGAAGGGTTATTGCCCATCTTTAGGGGGCGGAGTGGTGGCAGAAATATGCGATAATCGAGGAGGGACCGCGGGGCAGGGACGATTTAGACTATCGAGTCGGAGTCCATCAACTTCAGGAGGACCGCGGGGCAGAGCACTAAACAAGTCGAGACGGACAAACAGGGTTGCTCGGTGAGTCAAGGAAGAGAGTGTGGGGAAACAAAGGAAATGAATAGTCTATCACGTATAAACAGGGTACACATGTGGCAAGAAACCCGAAGAGCCGGGGGAGGGAGCGCTGGAGTTGGCAGCAATTGGAGTCTGGAGATGATGTCGATAATCTCTTGATATGGTCGACCCCGGAGTCTGGCCAGAAACGGTCATTAGGGCTTAGGGTACGCTTCTTCAAGTAAGGCTTTATGTATTCCGCAGCAACCTGAGCATAATCCGTAACTTGATACAGGATACTATCATACTCTGGGTTTGCTTTAGCTGAGCGGCGCGTATCTCGTGGGGCACAATACACATGCTGCCTTTGCGCCTGTCATACGAGTTACCCAGGCCAGAGTCATTCCGCCGCCCAATCGAAGGCTTACTGAACCAGGATCTATGCACTGTCCCCAATTTGGCCATAATTCCTTTCTGCGAGAGAGAGAGTCTTCAATTTCCATTGGGATTTAGCCTGTTAGGCTTAAGGGCACCCTCCATACTTGACACCCGTTGTGTACGTATCGTACGCTCATATCGCTCGGCGCCAAGACTTGGGCCTTCCAAACAGGAAGTCGCGACTGTCCTGCGGCATCTCCGGGCCGACTTGCTGCTGGAACTTGGAACTGCAACTGTTACCCCCGACCTCCTACCAAGTGAATGTCAAGTGTCTGCATCATCACTGCAGCCCCCAAGGATTTGGTGGACAACCATATCGGCTTCCAGGGTCCCTGATCATGAGCTAGGCCTGTACCCATGGGCTTCCTCTCCGCTTTGTCAACGTTCGCCTCCATCGCCCTCGTATATCCCGTTTATTATGTAGCGTTTTGCGCATACTTTCTCCTAAGCCTTGTGGCCTCTCCTTTTGTATACCTGGGCTCGTTATGTCTGTGGCTGGTTCTCTTGCCAGTAAAGATCGTGCTCAGCCTCAAAGTATGAGAATCCTCTAGGGAGTCATCAAGGAGACTTGAATTCTAACAATACCAGGCGCTCTTAATCTATCTCGGGGTGGCTTCACTGGCTGGTGCTGGTGCGGCTTTGTTGCTATACTCAATAACGACCCTGGCTATTGATGCATTATTGAGTCGCGTTTCAAGCCCTCCAACTGTTGCCCGCCTCAAACCCAGGCCGGCGCATCGTGCAATCGAGGGTATCAAGCGCGAACCCTCCAATGGCTTTGCGGAAAGCGATGACTTATTAGCTAATTGGGGCTGGAGTATAGGCGCCAATCCCCTGAAGAAGAGTGGATTGGTGTCTGAAACGATCTTGGAAGAAGAGAGCCAGGGTTCTGAGATCTGAATAGCATCTTACACCCCCCGATCTTACACCCCCCGCCAGCGTGTGGACTGATCCGAAAATTTAAGGACATCATATAAGTCCCTCGAATCATCTCTTCTACGGTAGTAAAATAGATAATGAATAATGGAAATGGAGAACTAGGGCCTGGATGCTGTGGAGCTGGGACAGTGTTATGACGTATACTACTGGCACTGGACCTGGCTGGTAAACATCCTTAAAATCCATCTCCATGGAACATAATTCTCTGGTAGGGACATGGTTCTGATCCCCTGCACTCCTCAATAATACCACTTGCGACTAGCTGTAGTCCTGTTGTTTGCAGCATATCCTCGCGTCCGTTTTGTTCACCAACTCCTTCACAATCGCTTGACCATCACCTCACCGTCCGGCTCGGACAGCCTCTCACTTCCATCAATTTCTATCGCTAGAGGAGCAATCTCCCCCAAAGTGCAGATATTAAGTCAATGAAAACTTGCGTTACACCGGCACTGATTTAGTCCACAACCGGGCTGTTAGGACAGACTTTCCGCGTCCTTGACCACAATGGTTCCTCGGCGGCCAATTGCACGATTACGCCTGTTGGTGCTTGCAGCAGCTCTGGTGGTGTTTTACCTCTGGTCATTGAGCAGAAGCTATCCACGCTCATCTCCCAGTCTACCGGGCACTTCCTTTAATAATGCCCACAGTCAGGTACACCAGCCAGTAGCGCTGGGGGGTCATATTCGCTTTTGGAGCCAATTCCAACCAATCTTAATTTCATCCATGCCAAAATGTGATCCACCGATGAGGTTAGGAGAAGCACCTTCGCTTAAATTTGAGGAATCAGACCCAGTCAGCCGGCCGGAGATGCTGGACATGCTACCGGACGAAGTCGAAGAAATGAAAAACGCTCACGCCAGATTTGTTGATTCTATGAGCACGGTTTCGCCTCATCTGCACTATATCCCGAATACCAGGGGAATAATCTCCACGGCGGGGGGGCCATACCTTCCTGTGTTGGTCATCTCATTGCGAATGCTCAGGCGGACGGGTTCAAAACTACCTGTCGAAGTCTTTTTAGCCAACGACGATGAATACGAACCGCAAATCTGTGATGCGGTTCTTCCATCTCTGAATGCACGATGTGTTGTGCTCTCCCATATACTAAACGCAGCCCCGAGGATTATAGAGATTGAAAGCTACCAGTTCAAGCTCTTCGCCATGCTGTTCTCCTCATTTGAAGAAATCCTCTTTCTAGATGCCGACTCATTTCCGATTATACAGCCGGAGTCCTTATTTACAAATGAACCATTCAGATCAAGAAACATGGTTACATGGCCCGATTTCTGGGCATCCACCGTCTCATCGTACTTCTATGAGATCACATCCCAGCCAGCGCCTAGCCCCGGAAAACGAGTCCGGCAATCCAGCGAGTCCGGCGAAATCCTTATCTCGAAAAAAACCCACGCCAAAACGCTTCTCCTCAGCGCCTACTACAATCTCTGGGGCCCAAACTATTACTATCCCCTTCTCTCCCAAGGCGCCGCCGGCGAAGGCGACAAGGAAACTTTCGTCGCGGCCGCCATGGCCGTCGACGAGCCCTACTACCAAGTCAAGACGGGCATCGTAGCAATAGGCCACAACTCAAAGGGCCACCTCGCGGGCTCCGCAATGGTCCAATTTGACCCAACAGAAGATTATGCACTCCGTGGATCAGCTGTTAAAGACATTAGAACTAAAGGAAAGTCCGAGACGCCACGACCCTTCTTCATCCATGCCAACTTCCCTAAATTCGACCCGGCTACCATATTCCAGCCGCACGAGGTCAATCCTGCATTTTCTGATGATGGGAGCTATTCACGGGCCTGGACGAAACCGCAAAGCGTCATTGAGAACTTTGGATCGGATATCGAGAGGCACTATTGGACGGAGATTATGTGGACGGCTTGTGAGCTTGAGAATAAATTTCGGTCATGGAAGAAGAAAAAGAAGATTTGCAAGGGTGTGAAGAAGTATTGGAATGCGGTTTTTGCGAAGGGGAAGGGCTGATTATCCGATGAATGCTGTTCATATCATATTCCATCCTTACAGTGTGGGTGTACTAGCCCATGCGGGAATGAGCCCGAGGCCTTATCTTCGATGGTCTATGTTCAGGGGTATATATTATATACTGCAACGGTTGAAGTTGGTGGGTGGCAAGCGTCACTGGAAGGCCATTGTTGCACCCACCCAGCTTATGCACTCTGAGGAAACGTTCCTCGAGTTTCATATAGTAGGTCTTGACCAAGGTCTTATTCAGTACTGACAGACACCAGCAGTCTGAAGGTATACCTCCATTGTCTGAACAATGGTTTATATATTCATTAGAGTAGTGTTACAACTAATATACAAAGTGAGTGTAGTCTTTCTATACACATAATCGTACAATACTTATACCTTTCGCCCACACTCGGGTCCTATAGATAAGCCGAAAAGGGCTAGTTAGGTACTACTTACTACCGTCTAGCTTCTCCATAGCATCCTTGAATAGCTCTTTACAGCGGACTTTGCTACCCAGCCTTGCGCAAAGCAAGAATGCCCCGCTCAGCTTCCTATGCAGACTGTATGTCTCCTCAGGCGGTGGTGCTAACCTCTCCCTTATCATAACAGGGATTAAATCCCGTACGCGGTCTGTGATTGTCTGGTCTTGGAAATCATAGACATCGGGCGACGAGTCCATAAATGGTTCTGCGAGGGTGAGGATTGAAGATACGTGGGCGTCGACCATGGCGCGAGATTCATGGCCTGTCAGGTAGCCTAACTCGATGGAGAGAGTGTGGCATGTCTCTCTGTCTGATCGCGAGGCAGCGAGGAGGGTTTGGACATATTTATCGATAAAGCTGGAGGGGTAGGCTCTTGAGGCACCGAAGTCAAGGAGCTCTAGATTGTTGGTCGAGGCGTTGTAGAGGAAATTTGTCCAGTTAGGGTCTGTCTGCATGTATTTGAATTCGGTGATTTCACGGAGACACAGACGGAGGATTTGGGTTCCAATCCAGTCGCGCTGGTCTTGTGTGAAATTTTGGATCTTGGTGACGGCTATACCGTTGAGACGCTCCATTGTGAGGACGTTTTGGCCAGAGGCTTCGGGGATGATCTCGGGGACGTGGAAGACGGGGTCGTCCTTCAGGAGCTCCCGGAAGCGGTTCCCGCATTCGGCTTCGCGGGTGTAGTCGCATTCCCAGGCAAGTTCCGTTCGGGCGTTTGCAATAGTCTTGTCGAGGTATAGACCGCGGGGGAGGATGCGCGACGCCGTAAGAAGGATGGAGAGGTTGTTGAGGTCCGAATCGATGGAGTCAGCGACACCAGGGTATTGGATCTTCACGGCTACTGGTTGTCCTGTGCTTTTAAAAACGGCTCCGTGGACTTGACCGATGGAAGCGGCTGCCATCGGGACTTCCTCAAAGGACTCGAAGAGGTCCCGCCAGTTAGGTCCCAAGTTGTCCGTGAGGACCTTATCCCGTTGGTAGGCTGGCATATAATCTGCGCGGTCCTGAACTCTTTGAAGAACCTGCTGAATCGAGTCTGGGAGCATTTTCGAGTCTGCTGTAGTTAGTAGCAGTCCATCTAAGAGATAATACCGTGGGGCGTACCTTGGAAACTAATCATTTGACCAAGCTTCAGAGCAGCGCCGCGCATTTTGGATAACTTGGCCACGAGACGCTCCATGTTCCCTGCGCTGAACATGAGTGATCCGGCAGCATCTTCTGCATTCCCCGTCACTCTGCGAAAACTCTCACCGACGGCTCCAAAAGCCATCGAAGTTGCGAGGCCACCATACTGCCAAAGCCGTCCTATTCGGGAAGACGGAACTCGCGATTCAACCATACGATAGACATCTTCCTCTTTCTTGAGTTCTGCAATTACTTCCGACTCTATCTGCACGAAAGAGTGAGTATCTATACCTCAGATTCGTGAAGCGTGACAATTTACCTTCGAATCCGACGGGACGATATCCTCCACAGCCGTCGGCTCAATGTTGCCAGTGCCTCGCGTATCAACTTTCTCCGCAGCACCCTCTCTTGTGCCCAGAGAACGGAACCTCATGTCTGCTGCTGCTTTCCGAGAGAGTGTTCTGGCAACTTTGGGGCTATGGAATATGTCCTTCATCATATCTTCCGGGAGTTCCTGCTCTTGTGCTGCGGGCGACTGGTAAGTCTCCGCGTTTATATCCTCATCAAACCCGGTCTGTGCGGTATTCGTAGCGCGTGGTAGCTCGACTTTAGGCAATCCGGTGCGACCAGCAGCGGGCTCTAGCGTAGGATGGTAGAATTCCTCCTGCTGTGGGCTCACTTTTAAACGGTCCGACCCAGCATTTCCTTCCGTGTGCCTCCCAGATGAAGCTTTAACAGGTGATTGATAAACTTCTGCATTTATATGCCCATCTAAACCAACTTGTGTATCGCTTGCCGCCTGTGGTACTTTCACTTGGGGTGTCCCGGCGGGCTCTGCAGCTGGTTCCCGCGAAGGCTGGTAAAATTCCTCCTGTTGTGGACTGACACCCAATTGACCTTTCACGTTATTTCCACCAGTGCCGGTAGCTGATGCGGGTATCTTAACCCCAACATGAGGTTCGTTCTGCGTCCGAGGGGAGGGTTCGGAGGGATTTGCGGGGGTTGTCTGCGGCTGAGAAGGGGTGTCGTCGAAACGTTTAGCAAGCGCCGCAGCAGCTTTGGCTGTGAGAATCAAGCCATCCGTCTGGTTCTTGATACCCTTCGTAAGGGAAGACGTCCTCGTAAATACATCGAGCTGTCGTTGACGCACTGCGAGGTGCTTCGTCGCAACTGACTTGGCGACATTCAGGAATTGGATAGCGTCGAGTAGACGCTTGCCTGACATGACTTCAGTGCGCCAATAATAAACCAAAACCAAAGCTCCAATATTCGAGAGACCGTGATTCACCGTACTCGCATGGTTGAGTTTCCGCCTAGTTGTACCTTGCCCTGAGGATGGTTTTGACGCTTGAGCTTATTTTGTCTGGCCGCATTCTGCCGCCTGTCGCCGCCTCTGCAGTCTGCAGAACCACCCGCCGGTTTCGGTCCTGCAGCCCCGGCGCGCGGGCCTTATCAGTCGATTCCTTATCAGGAAAAGGTGGGAGAACCCACCATGATGGGTCTGCGAACTTCCCAACTTCCAGGCTCCTTTTAGGCTCTTCTTCTTGCCAATACCCTTTCTCCCAGAAATGCAGTGATGACACTCGAACCTGGTGTCCACGAATTGAAGCAAGAGATCTCAGATCTTGAATCTCGTCTACAGAATGCAAAGTCTCGGCTAGCAGTTGTCTCTCCGCTCGACTCCGAGTCGCAATCGCAGTCCCCATCGTCTCCAATCCCTCCTCTACCTGCCGGTATGCGGTCCTTTACCGACAAATATTGCAGGTATATATCCTTGTATGGCATTGTGCTGACCTTCTGCGTTTTACTACACCAGATACGCTTTCCCCCGCAACTACCCATGCACTCCTCCTCCTATCAGACTCTGCCCTCCCTCTAGGCTCCTTCGCCTACTCCAGCGGACTAGAATCATACGTAGCACATAACAAGCCACTTTCTCGCTCCACAACACCGGCTGCATCGTTTTACCGTTTTCTACGGCTATCCCTTGCATCGATGGGCAGTCTCTCGCTTCCCTACGTCCTAGCAGCCTACCGCGACCCAGCCGATCTTGAAACTTTAGATAACGACCTCGACGCTTCCACGCCATGTCCGGTTGCCCAGCGAGCAAGTATTGCGCAGGGACGAGCATTACTGGGTGTATGGGAGCGGGCATTCCGAAATGCGTATGCGTCTCGTAGCAGCGACAACGTAACCCAGAACTCCGGATCGCAGGAAGGCATCAAGGCCGTGGAGAACTTTTCGGAGACCCTGAAATGCTCTATGGATGATGAGCTAGGCCCCAAGGGCCACTTTCCGCCGTTATGGGGCGTTGTATGCTTAGCTATGGGGATGGATGCGCGTCAAACGGCATATGTATTTATGCTGAACCATGCCAAAGCCGTTCTTAGTGCGGCTGTTCGCGCGTCTGTGATGGGCCCATACCAGGCGCAGAGCGTGCTTGCTAGCAAAAACTTGCAGAACATGATTGCCGAACGCATTGACCGGGATTGGGACACTGCAGTAGAAGATGCGGGCCAGGTAGTGCCGCCGCTAGATCTTTGGGTTGGCCGCCATGAGCTTCTTTATAGCAGAATATTTAATTCATGAAATATTCGCATGATCCATTGGCATTTGTGGCGCAACCAATTGTGGTGTTTGTGTGGCCTCTTACTGGCTTTGGCACACACGCAAGATTTGGAGAACATTGGATATGGAGAAGTCTACGTGAAAATCGAGATCAATATTCCTGGCATGGCACAGTGTCAGCTCTAAGTGACCTCTCGGAGCTACATCGAGGTATTGATCCGGCACTCGCATGGAATTCCAACTAAGCTTCCAGCGGTTCAGAGGTAGAACGATACGCCACGCATGATGCGTGAATCTCTGTCGATCGGCCTCGATGCTCTGGTGATATCCTCCTGGGTATCCCAATCGGGTGAGGATATAGCTTGAGAATCAAGACGATATCTCTACTTGAGGGGAGCGAAGTGATGTACCTTGTACTATGTAGCCAAGCAAATGTAGGGAGAAGAAGATGTTTAGATAAAAAGATATTTTTACACAAGAGACCATTCTAAAATGTTACCGGGAAACTTCGGGCGAAAAAAAAAATAGAAAAAAATGCTCACTGCCGGAATCGAACCAGCGCTCTCTTGATTGCGAGATGTTGTGTACAAGTCAAGCGCCTTACCACTTGGCCAAGCGAGCCAATTGATGATGAGGTCCACCCCCGTTTTGAATTGTTACCATTTATTACTTTTCTGTAGGACTGGAGTTCTTTAGTCGATTGTCAACACCAACATAATAGATATAAAAATATAAAGGGAGTGTGTTTATCACTGATTATTACACGTGTAGCCTTAACTCTCTATTTTAAATAGGCGAATGCACAAGCTAAAATGTCAATGCTACTTCATATATATATATGTTCTTAACACGCAATACAACCCGCTCACTAAGTATTATATCTAAGGCTACTGGATTTTTAAATTTCACCGATACGATTTTTCATACCGCTATGTTCACTCGGCCTGATGTATTGATCAATCATCATGAAACCACATATTCCTACCACATCTACAGGCGGGCAATGATTACTGGACAGACATTGGAATAAAAGCTACCCAGCTTCCTGGGTTCAAACGCCTCTTGCTAGTCCTACAACCGACACAACTATGTGTGGCTTTAGATACCCGAACTTCATGGGTATCCAAGAAATGGAAATAACAGAGGGAGGAAAATGAAAAAGAAGGAAAAGGAAAGAACTTAGAGGAAAAGAAACACGAAGACCAGGAAATCCGATATCAAGTAACAAGAGTGAAACGCCAGCCCCTGAGTACCTATCCTGCTAAACCGTAGACAAAACACCACACCATGAGCCTTTTCCGTGGAAAATCAAGATGGTAAACGCAAGTGAGATAATAAAATCAAGTATGAAAAAATTGTGGGAAGGGGGGTAGAAAAGGAGAAAACTATGATACATGAATGGAAGTGTGCAAAAATGACCAAGATCATGAGACGAAAGGGTCACAGCGTAATATGCATATAATCGTTATTGCCAAACGAGCGGTTGCAATTCGGGCATTTCCGAGATCTAGACGTAAGTCGTTCTTCCACGCAATCTTTGCAGAAAACGTGCCCGCAGGTCTTTATAGCAGTGTTCTTGAAGTTCCTGCGGCATACCGTACAAAGAGCGAGCGACTGCAGTCAAGTTAGCAAACATGAATCAGGAAGTTAAAACCTAGGTTATAAGCGCTTACCCTTAGCATTTCATACTCAGATGACGAATTCCCAAGGCTCTTGTTTTTCCAGTTGTCCAGACTCTTTTTCGTATCATTAAGCGTTGCCTTGAGCCCCTCCACCTCCGTTTCGGCACGACGACAGGCGCTAGATGTGGCAGCCAGGGTTGAATCCTTTGAAACTGAGAGCGCCTTAAGTTCGGTGATCTGCCCTCGCAAGCCTTCCATTGCAATGCTGCTCTCCGTAATTTGTTGCTGCGACGAGTGGTACTTGTTGGCCATGCTATTCAAAGCTTCCCTGGTCTCGCTGACTTGCTTCTCCATATTCGCAAGGAGTGACCGCGTGGTTGCTTCCGACTCCTTCAGTTGAGATACTATGTCAGAGCTCTTGGCATTTTGCATTCGCAATGTCCGGACCTCCATTTCGCGAGCCTCCTTGCCCTTCATTGCGCCGAAGTATTTCTGATCTGCCTTGGATTTCTCTGCGGCGAGACGTGCCATCTTATCCTCCAGCGCACTGAACTCGGTGACCTTTTGAGATGCCAATGACGAGTATTTCTTGCAAGCAATTTGCATGGAAGTCAATTCAGCATTGAGCATAGAGTATTGGCGGTCTAGGTTGCTGTGCTTTGTACGCAGTTCCTCGACTGCGATGTCGTTAAGATTTGCTTGTTCTGCCTTCTCTTGTCCAATTTCTATCCGTAACCGTTCCACTTCTGATTCCAAGGCAGTTATTTGAGCCTTTCCGGCATCTGCAAGCTCCTGTATTTTGAGCGTCGATGTCTTCTCTTGTTCTAGGGCGGCCTTCCGCATCTGTTGATCAGCTAAAAGTTCATCACGTGTGTTGCGTATCCGTGCCAAATCGTTCTCGGTTTTCACTAGCTGCGCTTCCTTCTCGGCAACAACACTTTGTGTTTCTTCGTCGACTTGATTGCGGTATGCCGTCCGCTCCGACCGTAGTTTCGCTGCCTCTTCACGGAGCTGTACATTGGTTGCCTCTAAGTGGTTTATCCGTTTCACAACATCGTCATATTGAGATCTTAACTGCTTAAATAGGTCTGTATGTGCATAATCGTCGTCGGTAAGCTTCGTCCTCTAAAAAAATAAAGATATGTATTAGCACCACGTTAAGTATAGTGAATGAAAACAGCATACCTTAATACTTAAATCTGTGATTTGGCCAAGTAAATTGGCATTTTCGGCCTCCAGTTTCTGCAACTGCTCTTTCTGCTTTTCGGACACGGCAGAAAGCCTGCTGTGAAACTCATCGGATTCTGGTGTGCGTTCGCCTGTAGGCGTGGCACCATTTGTGCTTGGCGGCTCTTCACGGTTTCCAGACGCACTATCGCCACCCGGTCGCTGAGCACCTAGTATATACTGCTTTTCTAATTTGGCGACAGTCACACTCCGTGCACGATCAAGTTTCTTTTCGGCAACCATATACCGTAAGGAGGCTTCTTCTAGGCTTTCTTCCAATTGTTGCTTCTCGGATAGCGCTTTGTTGAGCTCGGTAAGAGTGGCTTTCTCTTCAGATAATTTCCGTGCAAGTTGAGACTGCAAATCCACGATCTCAGGAGGGCGTGTTGGGGACTTGGCGATGAGGCGGGAGATAATGTCACGTATATCATCAGAACGAGATTTCAGATGCTTCTCAAAATTATCGACATCACCAAATTGCAGCGAACTTTGGAAGGAAGAGCGATCTAGGAGATTGTTAATTGTATTGTAGACAAAAGTAAAGGAAAATATTCAACTTACCCTTGCTATCGTCGTCGGAGTTGCCAAAGAGGAGTTTGATCTCGTCAATCAACTGGAGGGCATTAGTTATCGAAAGAAAAAAACAAAAAAAACAAACGAATATTGTGAATGGTCACTTTACTCACTTGGCTATACCATGAGTCGATTATACGAAGATGGTCGTTATGGTAGGCGGTGGCCTTCGACGTTTCCTTTAACTTCGCTTCCAGGGATACCTTGTCACGTTTGTATTCCTGCATTTGACGCCAGATCGCGTCCTTCTGAAATCGCTGTTGAGTGGTAGAGAAGGCCTCAGTCAGTGAACTGGCCAACGATCAATTTTCGTGCGACCCCTGCGAAGCTTCACCCCACGTTGAAAGGTCAGTGACTTACCTCGAGATCATCTTTCCAGGGCATATCAGCATCTGGATGGGGTTTATTGCCACCATTCACCGAGGTGGCTTGCTTTTTCAGCGGAGGCGCCGATTCATTGTTATCATATGTGGCAGCTCGCTTCCGGTCTTCCATCTTGACAAAACCGGACTCGGGAGGTGCGACGGGGGATGGTTCGGCGGCCGGCATCAGTGGCTACTGTATTCATATGGAAGAGTTAAACCGTGACCACTGAGCAGCGACTGGCCGGTAGCAGAGACTGCAACAGGATCCGACGGTGGGAAGATTTGTAGAAGGGGTAGTGAGGGAGGACAGTTGGAGCGGTTGAGATAAGTAAGACTTAAAGGAAGCCAGGAGGATTTTCGGCTTCAAGGTTAGCCTCCCACGTGACCATGCCCACTTTCCCCGGAAGTTCGTCTGGGCTTCTGCAGGTGAGTCAAGGCAAACTATAACAACAGCGACGGTGATCGGCTTTTGTGATGATTCCCCGCTAAGAATGAAGTCGTTTTCGAGTTCTGCCATTAGTATGCGTTTCCCATACCTTTCCCGTCTCTGAATATCGCTAAAAATTGCCAGACAAGTCGGGCAAAAAGTTTGCTCCAAAGGCGCCCGTCCGACGTGCCGCTCCAGCCCCTCCTCGAGCGCCATCAGCGCCCTCGCGGCGCGCGAGTGTTGCATCTCAGGCATCGGCTTCCCATCCTCCTGCGCCTACGAGCGAGACAGCAACCCCCGAACCACCAACCTCTTCTTCAACCGTCGAACCGACCATCCCATCTGAGCTAACGGTTGCTGCGTCATCATCTGTTGCGCCGATCGTTGAACATGCGCCCACCGATCAACCTGTAACTGCTATCCCGACCCTTAGTCCTAAGCGCAAGGCATCTGTTCCCGTTCCGATTATCCGACCAACGAAGGATGCCCCAGTGGCTCCACAGCCTTCACCTTCATCGAGCACTACGGTGATTCCTGAACCCGCAGCGCAGGCGCCAGATCGGCACGTTGAGATAAATGGAGCGAATGTGGGCGCGGGTAAGGAAGCACCTGCGATTTCCACCATCGCCGACCACGATGAAGTCACAGTTGAAGCCAGGCCTTTAAAGCGCCCAAGGACCACGATCGAACCTACACAAGTAACAGTGGTAGGGCAGTCGGTAGAAGAAACTTCTCAGCTCGCCACACCCCCAGCGACACAAGCGACTGTTACTAGAGAACGCACGCAAAGCCGTGATGAATCTGAAGTACCAAATGCGACACGGCAAGGTGGGGGCGCAGCTAAAGCGGGAGGCCGGAGAGCGAGCAGATCTACAAGTGATGATGTCGGGAAGGCCCAGAAGAAGGAAAGGAAGCGGCGAACTCGCAAGCGCGAGCCCACTCCGGAGGGCGCTGAGCAGATAGAAATTGCGCCGTCGGTCGTCAAAATGTCGGATCTGTGCAAAGATATGCGAACGGGAAAGCGATCCAAACGTGAAACAGAGCTTCGCGCTCACGAATTAGCAGAAGCCGAGCGAAAGAAGGCTCAGCAAGAGGAAGACCGTCAAGTTGAGACACCGGTGAAGCAAACTCCGATTGACAAATCCGCCCCCGAAGATGAGGATACGAGTACGCCCAATAAGAAATCACAAGCTGGTCCAGTTATGCGGATTGTAAATGGGGAGATTGTATTGGATACTGCTTCTCTGCAAGTTGATCGTCATGCAGACGCAGAGAGAAATGGAGACGACTTGGAGGACGTTGTTGAAAACTCACTCACTCGAAAGATCAACCAGGCTACGTATGGGAAGCGTTCCAAAACAGAATCCTGGGACGAAGACATGACAGATTTGTTCTATCGTGGCCTCCGTATGTTTGGAACCGACTTCATGGTGATTAGCAAGATGTTTCCTGGTCGGTCTCGGCGACAAATTAAGTTGAAGTTCAACAACGAAGAGCGTCGGGACCCCCAAAGAATCAAAGAAACGCTTCTTGGACCCCGGGAAACCATCGATATCAACACCTATTCGGAAATGACCAACACGGTGTACGACGATCCTCGAATAATTCAGCAAGAGTTAGATGAGGAAAAAAGACTCATCGAAGAACAGTATGAAAAGGATAAGAAGGCTCAAGAAGATCTGCTGCGCAACCCAGACGGTCTCGCGGGCAGCAACGCTCCTGCGCCTGATAAAGCATCCATTAAGGGCAAACGCAATAAGAGACAGAGCGCGCGAGATCTAGGAGGCGGAACTGAAGAGATTTTGGGTTCAATAGACGATTGATCATTTATAATTTGGCGAACTGGGGTTTCAGGGCAACTATATATCATTAGGGTGGTTAGGTGCTTTCCGGCGTTGTTAATGTTAACAAATTATTTGAATCACGAATATTCGTGGAAATGACCAAGATGATTATCCCGTCAATGAAATTCAACTTACAAATCGCAGTCTGTTGGTGCATGGTCTCAGAGTCATTTATTACACCCAGTGGTGAGCTGAACTAATTGTGCAGGTGCATGCAACAGACAATCCAAGCCTATTGTCCAAGTAGAATGTCGCAAGCATAGCAGGTAAATCACCTGCGGCTCGTAGAGCCAAAGCCAGTGCTCGAAGATGGCGCTGAGAATCGGGATGAGGAAGACGAACTCCCTTCGCCAGAACCATAACCACGCCTGCGCCCTCCCTCATATGGCGAATCGTAGCGGCCGTTTCTCCTTCCCAGACCATACCCAATCCCACCCCCGGTCATAGCTCCCGTCCAGAATCCCGGTCTCCAACCTTGTCCAGGCATAGGACTGTAAGAATAGCTGCTACTGTATGGCGGAGGAGGATCGCCAGGATATGGTCCTCCGTCACCACCACCACCACCACCACCCCAGCCCCAGCGGCGACCGGGTCGTGGCGGGTTTCTTTCCCCACCAAAACATTCCCATAGCATCGCAAAGATGATCCAGAGGAAAACTCCAAGAAAGATGCCCCAGAAGAGTAGGTTACCCAAAGAATTCAGGAGCGAGTGAGAATCGCCGAACCGTCCCCACGGCTTCTGGCCACGCCACCAATTGTTTTCATCGAACGAGCCATGTCCAAATTTCTGCTCTCCTTGATCGGTCAGAAGTAGCCGATATTCCACCCCACAGCTCCCCTTCAGAACCCACGGGTCGTCTGCGTTGCGATAGCCCTCGCACACCACATCTGTCGAACCAAGCTTGAATTCGCCGGGGAGGGACGCGGTGCAGGTCCACTGGACGTCCTCTTCGTCGTAACCGTAGCCCTCGTTAGTACACCTCATAGCATCTAGTTCGTACATGTTGCATATGCGCTTTGAAGGACCGGCGCATTTTAGTTGTGGGACGGGCGATACGCGACGGGAGCTGGTAAGTCGACCACCTCGCAGTGTAAGAGAGTGGACCTGGGAGAGAAGGATGGCATTCTTGCCCGGTGGACTTCGCTGCGAGTCGCCTGCAGAGAGCGACGAGGGGAGAAGACAGAGAAGAGGCAGCAAGAGCTGTAGGGGTGTTGTTGGTCGCATGGTTATAGGTCGGTATTATGCAGAGATGGGTATAGGTGAGAAAGAAAATGCGGGGTAGAAAAGAGGTTCTTATTTCTGTCGGGTGTTGTTTGCTGCCTAATGAACTAGGCTACAGATTCATCAAGCCGTATCCATGATCAAGCGTCGTGAAGAGTGCAAAATGCGAGCTTTATTGGCGGCTGCGATGTTGTAAGCTGTAAGTTGTTCTGATGATCGTCACTGAGCTACTATTTTACCGAGCTCCGATTGCTCCTCCGACTTGGCGTCACTCCCGCCACAACTCCTACCTCGTTTTTTGAGGGCCCCTCTCGCCGCCTGGCTTCATTCAACTACTGAGTACGAGGACGAGTCATGGGCATACGGTGACGCTCTACAGCGGCTGACAATGGCTTTTCAGCAAGGTATGTCCTGCCTCCCTTGGTTGGACTCTGCTTATGGCCCCCTCACTGACGAACTCTCTAGGTGAAGTCACGCCTGTACCGGCCCAGTCCTCGTTTGTCCGCCTCTTCTTGCTCTTCCGGTAGCTTGCTAATTTAGATTCGCAGCTTGTCCTTTACGCAAGGGTTCCTTCTGGGTCAGCTCTCCGTGGTGCTGCTGATTGGCGCCTTCATCAAGTTTTTTATTTTTGGCGAGGCACCGCCGCCGCCATCCCGTGGCCTTCGGGCTTCGACCCATCGACGCTCTAATTCGATATTCTCCCAAGATGCGCCTCCTAGATCGTTGAGGGAGAAACCCTCTACATCAAATGTCCTTCGTCCAGTCCCGTCGTCTGCGACCAATACGCGATCGATCTTGCGAAAAACATACTATAGTGCGATCCCGCCCAACCCGTCGTCGAAACATGGCAGACACCGGATACATCATTCTTCCCACCAACCCGAGTCTTTGGACTGGTTCAACGTTTTGATTGCTCAGACAGTGGCGCAGTATAGGCAGACGGCATATCTCCTGAAGGACTCTCGGACATCCTCCATCCTACATTCATTGAATGCGGCTTTGAATAACCCAGAGAAGAAGCCATCTTTCATCGATAAGATCGCAGTCACGGATATTTCACTTGGAGAGGAGTTTCCCATATTCAGCAATTGCCGTATAATTGCTGTCGACGACCCAATGTCCGACGGTGGCAGGCTCCAGGCCTTGATGGACGTAGATATGAGTGACGATAACCTCTCCATCGCCGTCGAAACATCATTGGTTCTCAACTACCCTAAGCCGTGCTCCGCTATCCTACCTGTCGCCCTGTCGGTATCTGTTGTTCGGTTCTCGGGTACACTCTGCATCTCACTTGTCCCTGCATCTACCCCACCACTTCATACACCTTCTCCTATGCCGTCACCCCCAACAGCAGAGGCACAACAGGGGGATAACCATGCCAGAGAACAACCGACTGATGCACAGGGCGGTGACGTTCCGCCGAAATCTTCACCAAAGAGCAATGTTGCGTTCTCTTTCTTACCCGACTATCGACTGGACCTGTCCGTGCGGTCCCTGATTGGCTCTCGTAGTAGACTTCAGGATGTGCCTAAGGTCGCGCAGTTGGTAGAAGCACGGGTCCATGCCTGGTTTGAAGAGAGGGTCGTCGAGCCTCGAGTGCAAGTTGTGGGGCTCCCGGATCTCTGGCCGCGCATGGGTAGGACAGGCGTGCGAACGGGCGACGACTCTGAAACTGGCTCTAATACAGCTTCTCGATCAGCAATATCGGTCGATCTGGGCGGACCACTTCGGAGCGATGATGGTGATCATGAGCCAGAAGCCATTCGGTTTCGAGGATTAGGCCCACGGCCACCGATTCCTTTCGATGTCGTCTCCCGAACAAGTAGTTACCAAGTTGAAACTGGTGGTGCTCGCAGTCCGAGCTTAACCCGAGAGCAGAGCTTGGGCGACGACTACCACATGCCTGGGTCCATGCCCGATATGTCTGGCCCTAATTGAGGTTACGAATGCTATGTATACCATACATCACGGAATAACTATTTCGAGTACGTGAAATAATAATAAGAAATATAGATTCATATTCATTATGTCATGATTTACAGTTGCTTAACCGATATCGTGGTTTAGGCACCATTAAACAACCCAGATTTCAACAGCCTCCTAATTGGCAGCAACAGTAGGGACGTTGTAACTCTCAACATATGCCTTACGATGCTGATTGCCATCGAGTTCTGGCCCACGGTTCAGAGGAGTCCACTTAGGCTCCTCCTGGAAGAGGCGCATCGCCTTGATATACTGTACCACATCTGCGTCAGCATTGCCCAAAGCTCAATACAGAATAAAGAAAAAAATGAAGAAAAAGAGAAAGAAAAGGTAAATGAGGAAACCTACGTTCTTATCATCCGTCGTGAAACGGTGGTAGATGCCAGCGGGGAGGATAATCAGGTCATCCTTCACCAGCCTGATCCGCACCCACTCGTCCTCCTTCCCACGGACGTCAAAATATCCCTCTCCATCACGGATGTACCGGATCTCCTCATCCTCGTGGAGATGCTCAGCGAAGAACATCTTCACTTTGGACTCGTACGCCTCGCCCATTGTAGCGGGTGCAACGACGATCTCGTCGCGGTTCTTGTAGCCGCGTTCCTTAGCAAGCACATCGACGTCGGCGATTTCCGGGAGATGGTGATAGATGACGCCGAGGGAAGCAAGGTAATCTTCTGAGACCGGACGGCCCGAGTCGTGGGGCTCGCGCTGGTCACCCTGTATACATTGTAGGTCTCGTTAGTGTCCGAGTGGTCTGGGATAGATGCTGCGGGGTTAGAACGTACCGGCTTGTTGTCATACCAGTAGGCCTTCATTTTGACTAACAATTGAAGTATTAGAGGATGAGTTCAGTGGAGAAGAGTGCTTTGGTTGTAGGGAGAAAATCGCTGGATTGCATCAGCTTAAAAACCGCTGATGGACCGCGGGGTGAGAAAATGCCGCCCCGCAATTGGTCGATGATGGCGCAGCGTTTGACGAAAATCTGTTGGGCGAGGCCCGCTAAAGGACAAGCAGGGGGATAAGATTGTTATTCAAAATCCAGCCAGTGTTTCCCTCAGCTCGATGGACTACGTGTATTCGGCACCTACTTGGGGAGAACGCTCTTGTGGCCTTTAATTACAAAGATTACAGTTTGGTCTACTCCGTACCTGAAGATTGATTGAGGCTCGATCGCCTGTAGAAGAGTGGGGATCAAAAGGCGTGTATGTCATAATAGGATCCTCACCGCCTTGCCATTGATACACGTGATGCGATAAGTCAGCCAAAAATTAAAGATAAACTTAGGAGATTTTAGTTCCTCAAGCAGTGCTGGAATTGCCTGCCATCGAACTTTGCGTTATAATGGCTTTCCGGGCACGCTCAGGGGCAATTTTCCGATGTGGAATTAGCCCTCGGTCACGGGCCGTAGGTGGATTTCGCGGTTTGGCGTCGGTTGCTGAGTCTACGCGGTATGAGATATTCCTCGGAATCGATCGATTAATTTGCTAACTCTTTTTTTTTTTTTTATCGGTAGACCCTACGATGTGGTCGTCATCGGAGGTGGCCATGCCGGGTCTGAGGCATGTGCTGCGGCGGCTCGTTCAGGCGCTCGCACGGCGCTAATCACACCCTCAATTTCCAACATCGGAGTATGCTCGTGTAATCCGAGTTTTGGAGGAATTGGGAAGGGCACAATGATTCGGGAGGTGGATGCTATGGATGGAGTCGCGGGTCGGATTGTTGACAAAGCTGGAATCATGTTCAAAGTCCTCAACCGATCCAAGGGTCAAGCCGTATGGGGTCCTCGGGCGCAAATCGACCGGGATCTATACAAGAATTACATGCGTGAAGAACTTCTCTCTACCGAAGGGCTGAGTATTTTGGAGGGCAAGGTTGCGGATATTGTGGTTTCGAAGGATGACATTGCGGCTGGCCCTGCTGCGCCGGCTGGCAAGATTGTTGGGGTTCGACTGGAATCTGGCGAGGTGATACCGACCAATCGAGTGGTGATTACGACAGGGACTTTTCTAGGAGGCGAAATTCATATCGGGTTGAAGGTCTTCCCATCTGGCCGGATTGGTGAAGCCGCGACGTTTGGCCTGAGCAAATCGCTTCGGGAAGCTGGGTTCCAGCTAGGTCGGTTAAAGACAGGAACGCCTCCCCGGTTGGATAAGAAGACGATAGATTTCTCGGCGCTGGAGGTGCAGAAAGGAGATTCGCCGCCACTACCATTCTCGTATCTCAATGATCGGGTCCAAGTGGACGACGAAGCCCAGCTTACCTGCTGGTTGACACATACCAACAACGACTCGCATGATGTCGTCCGCGCCAATCTGGATAAATCAGTGCACATCCGCGAGACCGTGAAAGGCCCGAGATACTGCCCTTCTTTGGAGTCCAAAGTCATCCGTTTTAAGGAAAAGCCGCAGCATTTGATTTGGTTGGAGCCGGAAGGTTTCGCCCCGAACGAGGTCATCTATCCCAATGGAATTTCTATGACTATTCCAGAGGAAGCTCAGTTTGAGTTGTTGAAGACGATTCGTGGTTTGGAAAACGTCCAGATGCTCCAGCCGGGCTACGGTGTGGAATATGATTACATCGACCCTCGCAATTTGTGGCCAACGCTTGAGACAAAATTGATCAGCGGGCTCTATCTCGCTGGACAGATCAACGGAACGACAGGCTACGAAGAAGCCGCTGGCCAAGGGATAATTGCAGGTGCCAACGCTGGTTTGTCTGCCCAGGGACGAAAGCCTCTTACGCTCACGCGCTCCGACGGCTATATCGGAATCATGATCGACGACCTCATCACCAAGGGTGTATCAGAGCCATACCGCATGTTCACTGCACGTAGCGAGTTCCGTATGTCAGCACGAGCTGACAACGCAGACCTACGTCTTACGCGCCTGGCACACCAGGCGGGCATTGTGAAGGAAAAGAGGTGGAGTCATTTCAGCGACACGGAAGCCCAGATCAACGAATTACATACTCTTCTCTCCAACACCAAATTGTCAGCAACGGCTTGGAGCAGGAAAGGTCTCAAAGTCCGGCTTGACGGCACCATCCGGTCGGGTCTGGACCTTCTCTGCAGTGACCAGACTGACCTAGATGAGTTGATCCCGCATATAGAGGCCCCGTCAGGCACCGCATACACAGCCTCGTCATTCGCTCCCGAAATCCGCTCGCGGGTCGCTGTCGAGGGCCGATATGCTCCCTATGTGATGAGACAACAGCGAGCGGCGCTCAGATCGCGACAGGACGAAAACGTCCTCCTCCCGCCCGACCTAGACTACAGTGTTGTCCATGGGATCAGCGCGGAAGAACGACAGGCACTGGAGCGAGTTCGGCCCGCCAACATCGGCATGGCTCGGCGAATCGAGGGTGTGACCCCAGCCGGCGTTCTGCTACTTCTCCTTCACCTCCGAAAAAACGGGAACTTAACCAGGGAGGTCTTCACGGAGACGTCGGACTTGGAAAAGACACCCGATGATATCTCGACCTAAAAAAAAAAAAAAAAAAAAGGTCTGCTGCGCCTTCGATTGCGAAGCCCAGCCGTGAAGTGTATGATATAAGGCGCATTAATCATTGACCATCAGCTTTGACATTGGATTCAGCGACAAGGCGCAATAGCGGCAGTTTGGAGTTATATAGACAGCATTTCCTATTTCCTTCGTGTGGTATATTATGTGGACATACCTATTACTACTGACTTCCGGCTTCTCATGTACATTACCTACTATTACCAACTTACGCCAGTCACAATAAACAAATACAATTACAACCGCCCACCTCGTAGCTGGTGCTTAGTAGTAGCAGTCCCTCTCCCATCCATCCGGACAACTACATGCAAACTACCGCCCGTATACCTCAACAAACACCATCAGTAACATCACCAAAGGGCCTCCCACCCTCCCCCCTGATCCAACAGCAAAAGACCGGGAAAACCAGTTACACAATCCTGTGCGCCTCCACGGCGGCGGAAATTCGTCACCAGGAATGGTCATTGGATGCTAAGACATAACTACGTGCTACACCCTACGTCATGGAGGTAAACAAAAGTGCGGACTGCGTAGGGAGGCAGAAGCTGATGCGTTGCGAGACCTGCATGCCGCGCGAAGGAGGCTTGTTTCAGTTGCTGGGCGTTGACTGTTGATCTCGTTTTTGCATGGCCCTACCCTTTCTTTTCTTTTCTCTCTTTTCGTTTCTTTCTTTCTTTTTTTTTTTTTTTAAAAAAAAAAAAATCAGCTTGTCGCTGTTGAGGAGGGAGGCTGGAACTTGACCGCTTGAATCAATTTGATTACCTAGAGCTGTTCTTGGAGGATATCGGCGGGAAAGGTAGAGGTGCCAGGGCAGCTCGGGTGTCAGTCCATTTTTGGGTCGCAAAGTGAAGGAGGAAGTGACTCCGTATAGATCCACAGAAATGGGTCTCTCATGCAAGGGAGTTGTCTGTTATCTGGGGTTGCACGTATGACGACGGAAACCCCTTCATCACATGGACGCAAACTTCCTCCCTACATGGTCATTGACTAGAGAATCGCCTGTCACTATTGGCAGGCTCCAGCTCCCATTGCTCTGTGAGTCAAGTCTGCAGGCTGAGTAACCGTTCTGGAAGAATTGATCCAGAATATGACTATGGATTGATAATTGGGATGCACCTTCCAACTTGGCGAGTACTGTGATCAACACCTGCAATACTAACTAGTTTAGTTTGCCGATTTGGTAAGATTCAGGCTGTTCAGATGTTTTATTACAGCCAAGCAGCGTCCCAGTCGAGCCGTCAATAAATAATCGGGTAGCTGCATGCTTGGATATGCTGACTATTGCGATTCAGGGTCAGCTTGGTACATGCGAAATTGAGGTTCGGAGTTAATCTAATTGACTTTTGTTAGAGATCTTGCAACCTGGATCGACGGCGGTGGTTCATCATGTCTTTCCAGGTTCAGCCGGAGAGAAGCCCTATCTCGTTCTGATACCCCGGGATTGCTGCTAAAGGACGTGATTCCGGGCGGCACAGCTCCTGCAGGCACGACTGTTACTATTCACATGGAAGAGGTTGAATCCCAACGGTGTCACAGCGGGTCGAGGGCCTGCAGGCGTTCTGGCTCACCTGAGAGGCTGAGAGGTGGGAATCATGTTCTGTACCTTTGCAGGTGAGACGATCGTCTACGAATGCTGCCTCTGACAGCCCTGAGCCTAGTCAGTTCAGTGTGGGGGGAGCTCGGGTTGGTTGCCTTCCTGGAGGAGTTCATCCGAGAAGCCAAAGGCTAAATGAGACAGACGAGCGATTGTCTCGCGTGGAGATGATCATTAGAGGAACAGGAGCAGAGACTCCTCCGAGGAGAGTCGCACGACTGACCCTCCTCAGTCCTAACATTCTGGCAGTCTAACATGCATCTGGCCTTTCGTTGGAAGCTGTGGCGATCCGTGCTCAGCACTAGTCAACACAGAGACTAGTTGGGCTTGGGAGGAAGCGCCGCTGCACCACAGCCTCCACGACGAGATGGCACTTTTGCGCCCCCGCATGAATGCTTAGCCTAATCGTCAGCAAAAGGCAGGAGACCATTGGTAGGGGCAGCGTGCGGCCGGTCACCAGAAGGGGAGAAGGCTGCGAAATCCGCAATGAGCATCATGTCAGAATATCTCAACCCATATGATTCGCTGGGAGGTGGATAACTTCCGAGACAGATCATTGATGGGCGGCCACCTTCTCGTTCGGAGAATGCAGATCAAGCTGAGCACTGGCTAGTGTGGGCAGTGGACACGGGTGAGAGGTGAGTGGTGACTGCCATGGTGATCTGGGTCCGGGCTGTCGAGGCCAGATCATGAATCTCAAGAGCAACAAAAAAGACACGAGCGTGTGGAGAAGCGCAGGAAGAGGAGCCCATGCAGGCTCGCGGAGTTGGAAACCTATCAGAAGCATGAAGCTGATGATGCTGCTGCTGCTGCACCAGAGCAGCGCCGCTATTGCCAAGCCGCCGCGTTTCCAGCGTGCCCCCCCGGCCTGCTGTTTCACTGTTTATCCTCAGCTTTCAATTCTGCCCCAGCACTCCAATGGGAATCTGCCGATGCGAAATTAACTGTAGCCGTCCAATCGGCCAGGAATTAATACCCTCAAGGCCAGGGT